CGCAACCTGGGAAGGTAAAAGTTGGAGGTACGAGGCGGGATACATTGCGACTGTAAGTTACAGCAAGACAGGGCAAAAAGAGGAGTAGCGTGTCGGACGTTAAGCGAGAACCTCGGCCTTAACGGACCCGACCTTAAAAGGAGAACCCTCCCGAAATCGACCCTTCCCCGTCCTCTCCTCTTTTTCTCCCAACGAAACCTTTTCCCTTAATCCTCGAAACTCCGACGACCTTCCCGACATCACTTAACCGAATTAATTCGCGGGAATCGACCCCAATCACTTTTTTGCCCAGGGTCAAGGATGTCTCCCGAGTAATTGGTTAAATGACAAATGACCCGAGCGGAGTCATTTAATCGTCGTACCAGCTGTGGCCGACTTCGCCAACGAGAGAAACCAGTCGAGCCATTACCATATTTCCAATTTCCTATCCGCCTCTATAAAACGACTAATGAGTGATTAGACAATTAAATAAATTAACATTCCCCCGGTTCAAGAACGACTGACCCCCTCGGATGTACTTTTTATAGTCTTGACCCCCTAATTATTGTATGAAGAAATTTTAAACTGAAATTTCTCGGGGGTCAGGACCTTCCTCCCCGCTTCCATATTTTCGCGGGGGAGTTTTAAACGATTCGATAGACCCAGGTCGGAGAAACGTACAGAAACCGATCGATCCTTGGAAATCCACTTTCGTACCGCCTTAAGGTGAAGTGAAACACGTCGAGGAACTTGATCAACGTCGATAAAGAAGATTTTTCTAAATGCCTACGTTGCCGACGTTGGTTTTTATATTGACAGCTGGGTCGAATTATATTGGGTATTGTACCAAATGGCATATTCCACCTGTCGGTTTCGTACAATAAATTATAAAGAAATCGAAGTGAAACTCCAGAAATCCTTTGGATTCGTGCCTTCTGGGGCCCTAATTGACTGCAAAGGGACCCCCTGCGCCATCTGTGATTTCCAGGTGAATTAAATTTTCACTCCGAGACCTCGTATTCCCATCGTTTTAGCAAAGAAGCGCATACAACACTTTTTTTGCCTTTATCCCGTTCAAATGCGAGTTTATCGATTACCAGAGTGTTCTAAATTCTCGTAAAATTATCCTGACCCTTTCGATTCTCATATCAGAGCCTTCGATAATTGTATATCGATCGAAATATGAGAGCTCGACGCCATTTTGGTTCTGGTCTGGGCTGAGTTAAAAAATTTTATTAAAAAAATCCAAATTTTGAACGTGTCAGGACAATTCTTAGACGATCAGGAGTGATGTGTCAAAGTTTCGGACAGTTTGGTCTAATATCCTTAAAAAAAAGTGTTGTATTCGAATCGACTGATTTGAAGGATGTTTCACTTCACCTTAACGAGGAACACTTTGGAACAGTTCGCTCTCTGTCCAGGCTCGGCTCTTAACGCGCGTCCACCGGTCGCAGGATGCGACTCACTCGGGATCCCCTCGAAAACTCCCCTGGAAAGAGGAACACTGATTGCCACCATTTGCTAATTATACCTTAGGAGGGACTCGATTTTCTCGGAGGTCCCTTTTAACGCGATCGGATATCCCAGTTTTCCTGGCACCGGCCTTCGCCGATAGCGCCGCCCGATATATGCCCCCTTCCTTCCCCTCTCGTTCCCTTTTTCGCCTTTTCCTTCTCGCATCCTCCTCGGCTCGATCCTGCGAATCTAACGCACGCATCTTTGCCTCTGATGACTTTATTACCGTGCACGAGGGGCAGTCATCGATCCGAGGGATTATTCCGTAAAAGGGACCGACGCTCTTCAGGGTCCCACCTCGAATTCCCGACGAACGAGGGAAACGGCGTCGCGGCGTCTATAATTAACCGATAATCGTCCAAGACGTTACGAATCGAAGGAAAACATTCCACGGATTTTATTCCATCGATTTGCTTCGACCTGATAAACCTCGATATTTTAACTGATAATTTATACGAGACAATAGGAATGAAATCACCTGAATTTTCGAGAGATTTTCTTCCATCGATTCGCTTCGACCTCCTAACAAATTACGATATTTTTAATCGATAATCGTCCAAGACGTTAAAAATCGAAGGAAAACATTCCACGGATTTTATTCCACCGATTTGCTTCCACCTAATAAACCTCGATATTTTAACTGACAATTTATACGAGACAGTAGAAATGAAATCACCTGAATTTTTTGAAGATTTTCTTACATCGATTCGCTTCGACCTCCTAACAAATGACGATATTTTTAATCGATAATCGTCCAAGACGTTAAAAATCGAAGGAAAACATTCCACGGATTTTATTTCATCGATTTGCTTCGACCTAATAAACCTCGATATTTTACCTGATAATTTATACGAGACAGTAGGAATGAAATCACCTGGATTTTCGAGAGATTTTCTTCCATCGATTCGCTTCGACCTCCTAACAAATGACGATATTTTAATCGAAAAAATGATCCAATGATTCGGGACCGAAAAAAAACCTCCCCCGAATTTACGGTCACATAATTTGACTTTATCGGTTCGCGTCGACGACGTGATAAATGACGATTTAATCGCGAGTACACCTCGAGTCGAGTTTCTCGGCGGGAAAACAAATCGGTTGACGTGCTCCGCAGTTTGTCGGCCGAATCCGGCCGGACGATGGGGAGGGAAAAGGGGAGAGAAAAAAAAACATAAATCGCGGAATAAGGGAAAAAGTCAGTGGACGTAATTAATGGAGGGTCCTAATTGGTGTAGTTAGTCGGTAGGCTAGGGTCGCGGCCGTGAGGACGCTCGATCGGCCGATAATTGGTGATCGCGCGGAGTATCGGCGCGGATCGTTCCGGGCTCCCGAGTGCGTACGCGGGACTACGGGGGAATGCGAAGGAATACGAGGGAATACGAGGTATTATACCGGTTTGGTAAACTGGATTCCGCGGCCAGAGGGAGAGAGAGAGAGAAAGAATCACTAGTCCTCTGAGTCACGTACACGCAGGAAAGTACTCGAGATCGGTATTTCGGCGAATGCAGGGTTTTAGGTTTCGCGATGCGATCGCTCCAAGGGGTATTTTTACACTAGGTGTACTTTTGCACGAGGTGAATTTTTTTTCACTAAGTGAATTCTTACACAAGGGATACTTTTGCACGAGGTGAATTTTTGCACCAGATGAACTTTTATCCGAGGAGTATTTTTGCGCGAGGTATACTTTCGAAAACCCTTTTTTTCTCTCCTAAAAATACGGATCGTACAAGTACCTGGCTGGTTACCATAGGTACCTCGGCCAATTACGCGTAACGAGAGTAGACGGTGCGACGTAATCCTCGGCCTGGGTTTAAAGCGCCCGTCAGTCCCTAACGAATTTGGCCGTAGACTCGCTAAAAACCGGGCAAAATTTCCGGGATAAAAAAAGAAATGAGCCGTTAAGAACCAGAATCCCTTCCCGAGCGGCGCCTCGGATCATTTTTCTCCCAATAAAAATTACGTTTTTCTCCCAACAAAAATTACGCTAGCCCTACCTCGACATAAGTCATCGCACCGATTACAGTAATTTCCTGCGATCACAAACGCATAGTCAATAAAAAAAAAAAAATTGTACCCAAGCGAACGATACATATGGTTCGGCCCTAAAAGGGTTAGCGCTTCAAGAACCGCCCCTGAAATTTGAAAACGTTCAATTACCTCCGAAACTTAAAATCAACCCATCCGGTCCTCACGCCGACCTCCCGAAACAGCGTCATTAAACGGTAAAAATTCAATCGCCTCGTCATTACCCATCAATTAGCACTCGATTACATTATTCCGCAAAAACAGCTCGTCAATTAATCCCCGACAATATAATCTGTAATTTATTACCCCGATAATCCGTAATCGAGTGGATCGCGTGTGCGCTCGCTCGGGATATCAAGAAACGGAGAGAAAAGAAAGGAAAAAGAAAAAAAAAAAGTGAAGAAAAAGAGGAAACGAGGAAAGGCGCACACAACGGAATGGACGAAATGAAAAAGACTCCGAGAGACCCCGCCTCGATGGTAAATTAATTCAATTACAAGTGTCCCGGCACTTGGCAAATAGCCGCGGATTTATCGGGCGACTACCGGCGAATTCGCGTCGGCTGGGAAGCGAGCGAGGCGCGTAGTAAGTGCCTCATTAATTGCCGAGGCCCTTGCCTTCGGTTATTCCACCTTATTCCCATGTTTCTCTCCGCCTCCTATCCTAGGAACCGATGCGCGATAGGCGATAACACCGGGGAATACAAGTACAGGTGATAAGTGCACCGAGGCTCCCGAAAGGGGTGCGATTCGCACCTGGCGAAGTTATGGAACCTCGAGGAAGCTCTTATCACCGATATACGTATACCCCGACCGAAGATAAGGAAGGCGCGAAGAGCCAGCTAACCTCGAGCGGAAAATCCTTTCTTTTTCTCTTTCGATTTGATTAATGGCGACGCCGGGGAAGACGAGTCGCTTCCTCCACGTCGTGGCCTCGTCGCTATCGGAAGAGATATCGCCGGGGGAGACGAGTCACTCCGACTGCTTTCGTTAAACGATTTAACGGTCGTGTTGTACATTCTTGTGGGCTCTTGTACCCTACTCGGGCGTTTAGCCGAGAGCGATGGGGTTAACGACTCGATTTTTCCCCGTTACAGATACGAGGCGCCGTATTTGGGTTAACCAGCGATGCATCGAATCGCCTCCTCGCGACCGCAGGGGAAAAACGTTCCCATCGAAGGAACGGATGCATTACACGACTCACTGGCCACCGCCGATTCACCTGGCCTCCGGCAAAAAACCCTTTCCTTGCGGTTTCGTATTGTACACACGATAATGAGGATTTCACGGGCCCCTCAAGTATCAACCCCTCCACTCCGAGGTGCGCGTGGCTCTCCTTGAAATCCACAAAATCGTATTCCCTCATTTTTCTCCACGACCCTACATACATGACTCAGCGATGGAGAAATAATGAGCTCGATGAACAAGAACTACCCAAACGTCAGGCTCCATTCGCATCGATAGTATAACACTATACGTTACGTCTTATTACAATGTCCCATGTTTCCACAAAAGTCCAGCGGTAGAATTTGGGACCATATTCCCTGGCCACGATGGAATGCTTCGATCTGGAATATCCTCATGGTAAGTCTTGCATCGAGTGCACACATGCGTATACGCATACAGGACCGACACTGTAATTATTTAACAAGAAATTAGTGTTGCTAACTCGAGGCGTTGTAAAAATCCTCAAGGCCAGGCTTTCAAACGTACCCCGTAGTGCTGCGATCCTCTCGGTCATGTTTATAGGTAACCTCTGCCGTATTTCCTGCGTCTATGCCTAGATACCGATACCTCTCTCGGCTTACACCACGTCCTATGTACCCTCCGAGAGGCTCCGAATAAGCGTACCACCTCGAGCTGGCATACACACGTACGATTTCGAATGGATGCACGAAACCGGCGATAATTTATTCCGCGGTCGTAAACTCCACGGTAGACGGGCCTTCCTACGCTTGTTTCCTCTCGGGCCAAAAGTGCTAAGCAAACACGTATCCATAGGGCCCAGGAAAGAGAGGAGAGGTCGGCGCATAAATTTCCCGTTGTCCCTTTCTTTTCCTCCTGCAGGCCCTATCGCCGTCTCGCTCCGTCCCGGTTTCCTGCCCTTTCTCGAGGTGTAACGCAATAATCGCCGTCTCTCTCTCTCCCGTTGAGACGGGCCGCCATTTTTGCCGCGACAGGGCACCGCGACCTGACCCTACAATTATTAATTATTAAATCAGCCCCACGTGCAGTCCACGTATTTACGGACCTTTTCCGAGATTTCGTTACCTGCATAAAGCCGCCAGGAAGATAATTCACGCGATCATCTCCGGATTCCTCGGGTTGTATTCGGCTCAGGAAGACCCGCGGAATGCGATCCTCGCATAAATATTCACGACCGCGACTCGGGAGTCGGCGAGCGAGGCGCGTCCACGAGGAATCGCAGATCGGGCTCGCCGAGGCGTGAAAGACGCCGTTTACGGCATAAAACTCTTGGAAACCTTTTTTTCTTCTCCATAGAAAGGAAACGTAGATTCGTGACGAGGAACGCGAAGGATCCAACATGGCGGCGCTGGACTGCGTCTTCGAGGGTTATGTCCGGTACTACTTTCGCGCGCAATTAACACGGGATACTCCCTCAAATAGGAATATTTCGAGAAATCAAGTGAATAATCACAGGGCTGCTCTCGCCGATAAGCGCACTGTTCACGGACGACTTCGAAATCTTTTTGGTTATGATGAAACGATGCGTAGATCCGCGGCACAACACTGTCCTCCGCGTTCACCTCGTGATTTCGGACACGTTCGGCACTTTCGCGAGAGAGGAGTTCCGCGAGGAGGGAGAACGCGATACTTCCTCGAGATCGAATGCATAATTACGGGACTGTTCTCGTCTTTAAACACGCCGAGCATCCGGTCCAAGGCCGGGAGGAGATGGCGGGCCTCGCCTTGACTGGCAAAAAAAGAATGCGCCGGCCGGACTGAGTCCTAAAATTGCGCGCCACCGAGAGAGAGGGAGATACCCCACCGCGCTTGAACCTCGCTAGGAGCGAGAGAGACGCAACGAGGGAGATCGGAGAGACTCGGAGGTGCGCGCGGAAATTCTTCACGGCGTCGTGCCTCGAATGTCGGTAAGTGAAGGTGCCTACAATTATCGTATAAAGCCGGCGACACTATCTCGGCGTCGATTTCTTCCGCGGCCGCGATTACGGACTCTGAAGTGGAGAAACAAAAATTAATCGCCGACAGGTGGGTCGTCGTTAATCCCATATAAGGCGGACACGGAGACATTAGCGTGATATTAATTGCGGCGAAGTGCCCCGAGGGTCGCGGTTATTGTTCTCCAGGTGGAGACCAAGATGGTGACCGGGCGTCAAAGGCCCCGGCGTGGAATTTTATATTTTATTCCAAGGTACTCGAATAGCGACAATGCAAAATATACATGTAAATACCATCAGGTAATCCACATTTTTCAGGTCCAGTGGATAAAAATCCTCCCGTTGTTCGGGCGACGGTAATAATTATCTCTCGAGTACAAGCACCCGAGAAGCGTCCGCGGCGCGCCGCGAAGGAGTCCGTCACCCGCTGGGAAGTCCGATTTCTCAACCCCGGAGAAATAATTAATCACTTCGACCGAAGAGTCCTTTATTTTCAGAGGACCTCTTCCTTTTCTGCGGCGAGGGGATCACGCGAACCGGAGAGGTGTCGCGTTCTCCGCACGAGACGTCCATGCGTCTCGCCCGTGGGGTGCGCATCTGCGACGCCGCCATCTTGAAAAAGGAATCCTTCCCTCTTTTTCTCCCCGACTTTCGGACCGACCTCGCATCCTTCCCGACCATCTTTCGTGAGTAAAAAGACTTAGAAAAAATTCCTCGACTATCCAGTTTATTCTATGCAAAACTCCAGTTGCGAGGTGTGTAAAAAATCGATGTAAATTCCCGATCGATTTCGATCAGGGTATGCAATCGGACGTTCGCGGATGCCCACGTCCTCTACCCGAGGTACCTTATTACTTCATAGCCGGCGCATCCGGTGGCGATCGTCGTCCATTTTTTCCAACGGCGTAAAATCACCCCCTGTACACTCGCCGTTATGGACGCTCGTCTCTCGGAGCGGCACGAAACGACCGGCGTTCATTTACGGGCAGGGGGTTAGGTACGAGACGCACGTCCCATACCATATGCGAGGTTTTTGACGACGGAAATTGCTACCGTCTTATGAGGCTCCCCTCTCGGGAAAGAAACCCCGCGACAGAGTATCACGTAGTGCGCGTAATGGACGTACAGTGGGCACTCGATAGCGACCGCGTCGAATGGCTAAACGCCGGAGTGATCCGAGAGAGAGGTCCATTGTGACCGGGGGAAAATAATCGTCGAGAAGCATGCTATCTATTTCTCCCTTCATCCATTCCATGCCCTCTACCGCCCTCGATTAAACGCGGATTTCTTAATTTCTTCGGTGAGGGACTAATTTTCTATCACATTATTTTTGTCTTCCTAGTCCACGACGAGGGAGTAGAAAAAAAATTATTCCCGTTAAAAGTTCCCATCTTCTCCCCTTGTTGCGGAATATAATATTAAAATCCACTTTTTTTTTCCAGATACGGAGGACCGGAATACGGAGCAAGGCGCGTCTCATCTTCGAGGAGTCCCCTTGTCCCGCCGTGCGTTGAATGAGGAAGACGGGGAAGAAAAAAATGAAAAGGAGAGCGACTCGGGGGCTGCCCTGGACTTTCATCGGTTGCCCCCTTCCCCCCGGAGCGTTTAGATAAGCCGTATATAAATAAACAAGCCAGCCCCTAATTGCAACCTGTCGGCCAACTTGGGGTGGCACGCACGGCCGTATCGAGAGGGAAAAAGGGCCCCGAAGAACCAGGCACGGGTACTTACTCGCAATAATAATTAATGCGGAACACGGAGTAATGGCCGTAGGCGAGGGCTAAATCACTCGCCGCTTGTAAAAACGTAAACTCGCAATTACGCATTGTGAGTGGCGCGGGCATTGATTGCGCCCTATTTAATTTACCGGCCCCCGAGGAGAGCGGGTACTCGAGCTTCTTGTATTCCTCTCCGAGAGGTGTTCGCCTCGTTTTCCCGGAAACTTGGCCATACAACGCGTTCCGAATAGACATCCCCGAAGAAACAACCGAGTTTCTTTCAAATTGCCAGGTCGTGTCAAACCCGAGTCCGCTTCTTCGACCTCGGGGCGAGTTCGTCGACCCCGGATGAACCGATGCACCGGGAGGAAATTCTGCCAACCAGTTAGGAAGAGCCCGAAAAAGCGATGGAACCGGGTACACGTAATAATAAGAACGTGGAGAAGGAGGGACAGAGAGAGAGAGGTGAACCGTAGGGCAGCTTGTCGTTAAAATTCTGGACCGGATCGAGGAACCGCTGCTCGATCGCGAAGCAATGCACCTTTTTTTGCTATTTAATTTCCGCCCTGGAAAAAAATTCAATTTGAAACTCGCATTTTTTTTCCGCAGGAAATTATGAAAATTCATGGAAAGCGGAGGCGAGCATCGAGAACGCAGAAAATTGGGAGAGGGTGAAGACAGGTGACTGAATAAAAAGAGAGCGAAAAACGAGGGGTTGTACAGTTGGAAAACGGATTTCGTCGAAGAGCACCCAGCAAGAGGCCCCGAAAAGAGATTTCGGACAACGACGCGTCTACATACTTTTTCTATTTTCTCTTTTCTTTTAAGGAACCCGCGAGACACCGCGACGACAACGCGGTAGCAGAGGACGAGCACGTCGTGCCGGATATGGGAGTTCAGATTACAATCTGATGCATTCGAACGACCGTTGTCTAGAAGGAGATCCCATCGCGAAAGGGCAAGCTTCGTTGCCGTATGAGGCAACGGTGAGCGACATTTTTTCTTTTTCTCATCAGTCTACGCGGAATTTGTTGGGGCGAAAAATCGCTAAAAACGATCATTGACCATTGATTGCTCATCGACCTTAATCGTTCGGTTCGATCGTCATTATCGGCCCGAAAAAAATGTATATACGTACACAGGCGTACGTCCCAAGCGAGGCCTTCATCTACAAAAGCGGAATTAATCTGTCAACCACCCGCTGAGCTCAGCTCTCGCTATTGTCGCAAGACGGCTCTTCTTGGACGGGAAAGGACCAGCGCGTAAAAGAATCTCCACAGAGGGATTAATATCCAGAGCGAAGGTATCGTAAAGTCGCGTGGAACTCCCACCCAGTCGGTTCTAAAATCTCATCCATCTCCGAATCTCCTCTCATTTTTTCCAGCCTCCATCAACGGGAGAACCGGACCTGGAAAAGGTCTTCGAGGCGACGAGTGCTCCTCTCAGCCCAAATTGGATCCAAAATCTCTCAATTTATTCCCAGCGAAGGCATGGATCTCTTCGAGTCTCTCCAAGAAGAGGACTCCTACGTAAATCCGCGTGAATATAAAATACATTGAATAATTATACGATCCTTACGCTATAGAGACCTCTTTTTAAGGCACAGAACTGCGTTTCCGGTATTCGGCCGAAGAATTTGAAGCGAGGTTTGAAGTCTACGTCCCCACACCGAATGTGTTAATTGGCCTAACGATCTCGCCGAACACCCTCCACGTTCAGCAAGAACTCTCGACAGGATTTTTTTCCCGATTCCTCCTCTCCGGGCTGGATTCAATTTCCATCCGAGAGCGCGTCTCCCACGACCAGTACGTGCTTTACGGCGCAACGAGCAACACTCGTCGTCGCGTTTCCGCGAACAAACGACGCCGAACAAGTTCCTCGAGCACGAGGGTGCTCAACCGGGACCCCCCCGGCTTTTCAATTACTTCTCGAGGTGCGTCCCGTCACGTGGAGGCATTGCCCATTGTGAATTCAATATTTGCCGAGGTTCCCTCCTCGCTGGGTTTTTTCACCCAGGGATCGAGAGGCCCATCGAATTAATCGGTCACGCCTCGTCGTCGCCGAAGACGAGGACGAAGAAGGGCGTCCCTTCTCGCTCCAATTTTCCGCGGTTGACGTCTCGTCTTCGAGGTTGAAAACGCGTCCTTTTGGAATTTATCCTTTTTCGCGGTTGACGCCTTGTCTTCGAAGTTGAAAACGCGTACTTTTGGAATGTATCCTTTTTCGCGGACTCAATGGGGATTTTTTACTCCACGGCGGAGAGTCCCTGCTCGCGAACCAATGGCCGGCGCCGGGACGCTGAATGCGTATTGAATAGCTATGTACGCCCCGGGGCTTACTCGTGCGTGAGAGGAAATGGAAACGCATCGGGAATCTTGGAATCCGGCGAGTGCACGTAGGTGGATGCTTCGGTCGCGAAGGACTCGTGGGCACTTCCTTCGGGATCCTTCCTTTCGAGAAGGATCGATGGAATCAACTCTTTCGGAAAGTTTTACACAAAGATACCGAGTTTCCCGGGACGAGATCAAAGAAATTTAGTATCCAAGAATTTCCAATGGAGTAAAAATGTTCCAATATTCTCCAGTGCTAATAATAAATGTATGAATTTCCAGGATATGATTGATTGTCTGAATTTTCAGGACGCTGATAATAAGTGTGTATATCTTGAATGCCGCTAATAAGGAACGCATGAATTTTCAGGACGCTGATAATAAGTGTGTACATTTTGAATGCCGTTAATAAGGAACGCATGAATTTTCTGGACGCTGATAATAAGTGAGTACGTTTTGAATGACGCTATAAGGAACGCATGAATTTTCAGGACGCTGATAATAAGTGTGTACATTTTGAATGACGCTAATAAGGAACGCATGAATTTTCTGGACGCTGATAATAAGTGTGTACATTTTGAATGATGCTGATAAGGAACGCATGAATTTTCTGGACGCTGATAAGTGTGTACATTTTCAATGACGCTGATAAGGAACGCATGAATTTTCAGGATAATAAGTGTGTACATTTTGAATGCCGCTAATAAGGAACGCATGAATTTTCTGGACGCTGATAATAAGTGTGTACATTTTGAATGCCGCTAATAAGGAACGCATGAATTTTCTGGACGCTGATAAGTGTGTACATTTTGAATTACGCTAATAAGAAACGCATGAATTTTCAGGACGAAGTCTTACTCACCGGTCCTACATCCAAAGCCGGCCAGAGGTGCGGTGAAATAATCCAAGCTTTCACCAGCCTTTATTCGGTCCTATGAACTAGTCGCACTGTCACTGGCACTGCTTCGAGGCACTTCGACATCACTGAACCACGATTACACGATACACGATTTCGCAGTTCGCAGAGGAGGCTCCCCGTCGAACGCGGACCAGCGCGTTCTCCAGCCGGACGTTACCCAGGCTCTCCTAAGCCCACGACTAACTTTCCCCCAACACCGAAGGTAATATATAAGCCAATATCCCCAGTCTCTGTTTTCATTAGCGTTCACGACCGCAACCGTCTCGTCCCGTAAACAAGCCCGGAACCCGAGATCACCTTCGACCCGCGTGGTTCGGAATCGCGCACACGACTCATCACAGGAGCCCGAATAATCCTCGCTTTCCTACGTATTTTCAGGAAGAAGGCGAAAAACGGAGAAAAATTCCGCGAGGGATAATGAATTATGCAGCTACGCGGTCGGGACGCACCGCTTGTGCAGGCGTCGAAGTCGCCGCTTGTGCAGGCGTCGAAGTCTCCGCTTGGAGAACGCGTTGGTGCACGGGAGAGATCACGAAAGAGGACCGAAAGTATATTCCTTTTCCTCCAGAAGACACTTGCCAGGACCTCGAGCACCTCAAGCCCTGGTCTAGAAGATTCTACCCTCGATCGCGTTCCAGGGGCGGTGAAACTCGCGCTTCTTCAGGCCGACCTTGAAGAGGGAGACTCGGGGACGCGATTCGCGATCCGCGACGGATTAGCCGAATTCGGGACCAGAGGAAAGAGCGTCCGACCGAGAGGGCGGTTCTACCAAGACTGATCCATTGATCGCGGCAAGGATCGACGTTCCCGTGGATCGCCACAGCTACGAGTCCCCGGCCCCCTCTACACCTGTTTCCCACCCTCTCTCCTGGTCCTCCTCTCCCGTCTTCGGCCTTTCCTCCTCCCCCCACCGAGCACGTACCATATGTTCCCGGTAATCATCCGTACCGTTTCGGCGACAAAAGTTCCTACTTTCGCCGATCTTATTTTCCATTTCTAGACTGAGATAAAAAATATGCCGAACCCTTCACTGCACAATAGGTCCCTAAAAGGGATGAGATAAACGACTGCGAAATGATAAATAATTGAGATTTAATTAGGGATAATTTAGAAATGTGTTTTACGATTTATAAAGTACCTTCATTTTATGCAATTCTCTTTCCTCGCGGCACATGCGGTCCTTATTTCATGCGCAAGAAAATTCATTGAATCGAAGAAATGTTTTGATAATTAAAAAAATAATTAGACTCGAGTAAGCTCAAATGAATTGCCATAATTCCGAAGGAACATTGCATCCAATTTATTCGAGTCAAATAATTTGTTTGAGTTCTTTGGTTCGATGACATTTTTTATCTCAGTGCAGCATGATCGTAGAGAGGGGATAAATGGTTGATAATTAAGTTATGAAAGGTTTAAGCTCGACTTTTACGTTTTTTGGGTTGCAGGAGCGTGTCCACGGCACGTGCGTCTGAGATTTCCCCCAAGACCCCTTCAAGGCTCGAATATCGATAACTCGATGAGCATCGTCACCCGAGAAGAGAAGCCGAGTTCAGACCTAGAGTCAGGATTTCCGAGGACCTTTTTACCGTCCCAAGGGTCGACCCGATAAGTACTTCCTTAACGTCTGGACGAGATTTTTTTCCTCTTCGTGCCGTCGACTCGATGAAAAGTCGCCACTCGAGAGGGGAAGCCCTTTGCCGAGCAGACCTGAAATTAATATCCAGCGCAAAGCCTGGGCGATAAAGGGAATCCTCGGGTGGAATTACACGAGAGTAATGAGTCACTTCCTTCTCCGCGGGCGGATATGTCCATCCTCTCCATAAGAATGGCCAAACTACCCAAAAACCAGAAGATACCACCCTGAGTCATTTAAAATCCCATGCATCGTTCAGCCTATTAAACCAAAGAAATATTTCTCTGGTTAAATGAGTTTTTTTTTTCTCAGGTCAGGGTAGGTTACCTTGTCCCCCAAATTGTTACCTTCGATATCTGTTAAAAATAATTGTAACCCCCTAGTACAGTCTGGGGTACAAGGTAACTAAGAAAACGTCGGCCCGACTGTCGCTGCTGCATCCTCGATGATGCTTCATGACGATGACCACACTCCTAATATCTTGAGCAGTGGCCAAGGGATGCCCGTACTGGAACTCCTGAGCCAGAGGAAGTCGTTCGTTGGTAATCTCCCTAGCTTGCAAAGTAACCGCCTCCTTCCACGAGCCTCCGTTCAACCTCTCCATGGCAAGTTGCACATCTCGATTCCGCATCATGAGATGCCCGACCTGGTTCTGATCGGACCTGGACAGAAACCCTGTCTTCATCCCGGTCATCGAGTAGTTCTCGACACTCTCGGTAGCCCCAGTGGCCCCAGGATAGGAAGCGTGTCCTCGAGGATGACCATGTCTGCCATGGCAGTCGCATGTTCCAATCTGGGAGTTGTCGATGACATTGGCAGCCTCGCCGGCCGAATTCCCGTTGTACCTGGCCCCTCCAACCATCTCCACCAGACTCTGGATGTCGGATACTCTGTCCAGAAAGGCAGCCGGGTCCAGTTTCAATCTTTTGGCAGTCACGGATCGCAGATTCGAAGCCTCCGCACCGACCTGGGACGCGACCGCCGCGAAAAGGCAATCGTTTACCCCCGCGTCTACATTTTGGGGGTCCTTGTTCTCCAGTAGGGTCCAATGCCCCGTCCCGTTGCAAGGACCACCCTCGTGGTACTGAATATCGATGGGAAGTCCCGTTTCCTTGCCGATGGTGTCGACCAACCGCATCTCGGAGTCCCAGATCCTGATGGGCCTGCCTATGACGCGGCTCAACGCGTCGACCTGGAGCACTCCTGCTGGTCCGTTTCTTTCTACCTCATCGGCAACGTTTTTCAGGACTTCATTCAGTTCAAACTGTTCCCAGACGTAGCCAGGTCCATCGTCCTGGTCCGATGGACGTTTCCGTTTCCTGGGCTGGTCGCTGGTCAGCCTCTCCCATTTTGGATCCTTCTTCCTCCTTTTGGTCACCATGGCTCGTTCTTCGCCTACCGATCAAAAAACTCGGTAGAATTTCGAGGAAAACGCATAGTGTAGAATGATGAGCGATAGAATATTTCCGTAAGCCAGAGAGTCGAATGCAAAGAAAGTGACGAGACTTACTCTTCCTCCTCTCCTTGATTTAAATTAATGAAAGCATCGCGTTACGTCTTCAGGCCGCGCCCTGCCGATGAGACCTTTAGATTTGGCGATACATTTTATTATCTCCTTGTTATCCGCAATGGAGATGCAATTGCGCAGGGGATACTACGAGAATTTTTATTACGAGGGACCGAAACGAGAGAAGCCGCGCTCACATGGCAGCCGCTTCTGAAGGCAGGAATTTTGACAACTCGACAAAAACGAAACGCAACACCCGGCAAACCGTCGCTTTACATTTATTTCATTTATCTCTCTCCTCTTGCCGTGGGCAGAAATATTCTATACGGTTTAGGGAACGGTCGCCTTCCCCTCGTCGCAGACTGCAAAGCCGACGTCATGGATTGATTACTTGACTAAATGATCTATTTCCATCCTAACGCTACCTTCGAGGTGTCATTCCACAGACCGGAAGGAGTGGAAGATGCACGAGAGAGTGTACCGAAATCTTAAACTGCACAATTATCCTGGACAATTAACACCGCACGCATTTAATGCCGTTGACGTTCGACTCGGCCCCTTACAACGTAACTTAACATAATCTCTCATTATAAATAAAGATTTGCAATCGACAGGACTCCTGCTACAAGTGCCAATGTTGAAGTAATCGTAATCTCGGAAGCCGCATTGCAGTAATCCGTGTCACAGGTGATCAGACCCGAATCTGGCTGCACTTGCTTATCGAGGCACCCCCGCTGCGTTATCAAGGTGGAGCCATTAACTGCAAGATAATTAAGAGCTCGATGAATCATCTGGAACTTATTTCGCAGTACCGTGAGAATGGATACTCACCTAGATTGATGACCCCCTTCAAGCAAAGGATGTCCGTGGTCTCTTTGTTTGGATCGACCACGTTGGTCGTCGAGTTGCACGTCTTCACGTTTGTGGAATTAAACGGGTCGTGGCAGAAGTCAAAACCGAGAGTACCGGTGCACAGGTAACAGGTAAGACCGTTGCCTAAAAATCACGGCGTGAATTATTAAATATTTTTAATATCCTACCCATTGTAGATGCACTCGAAGAGCCCGGTGAACTTTTAAAAAACACCGCACCCTCGTTACACGATTGGTACTTACTCGATCCAAGCACGGCCAGCAAACAGGTCACGCCCAGAAGTACCACGGGTCGCATGTTAATCGGTAACTTTCCAAAGTGGTTTCCACGATCGATCTTCGACGACTGCCCCGAAGAAACCCGAGGTTGAGGGTATTTCATCGACACACTGGCTTAAAAGTTATCTACCATTATCAGATAAGCTCGTGACATCACCGAGCATTCTCGGCGATGGATCGGATTGATTAGACTTTTGAGAAATCGATGTTTTACGATGTATCAGCGGGGCGCAGCTTCGAGAATTCTTCCCTCGATTTCCGATAAACCATCGAAGGTGATTACACGAAGTAAAAAGTGATTAGAATTCCGCACGGAAGGCTTCGCTATCTAATCGCTAGACCTGATATTTTCACGAGTTTGATGGATTATTTGGCACCGGCCTCGACTCCAAAACGCGCATTCCAGGAAGGACAATTTACTCGGAAAAATTCGCATCATAATTGTGTAAATTTCGTAGGTTCTATTCGGTTGAGAGCTAAGTGATTGCGGATTTTTTTATGCCATCTATCGACAGAATCCGCAATCATTTAGTTACCAACCCAATACTTTCAGCAAGCTTAAATTTACTTACATTTTTATTATTTACAAGGCTTCGATTAAAGTACAGACAGGGGATGATTCGTTTTTTACAACACTAACCTTAGCGGCTAAGCGATGAGAATGGCTTCATGCGGTGCACCTCTTCTCGCTCCTCTTTAATATAATTTTTCTCAAGCACTCTTCAGGTAAAAGAGCACCATCTTTCGGCGCCATTACGCGATACTTGCATCCGTATCTCAGCATGTCTTCGCACTCGCCAACGTCGCCGGAAATTTCTTTCAACAATCCAACGAGGTCTTTCAGATCTTCCGTCGTTATGACGTCGAACGATTGCTTGGAATCGAGAAGCTTATCCAAAGCGATTAAATAATTCCCGAAACAAGCAGCGCCCACGCTGGCCGACAATCGACTCTTCAGGGTTACCAAAACGTTGAGTAGCATGAACCTTTCATTACAGGAGTGGCGAATAATTTTTGAGATGTCGTTACAAATATCCACGACGATGCCAATAGCTTCCTGGTCTTGAGGGTCAAGGGACACGGCGACCTCGTTTAACCAGGGCAGCAGGGCGTATCCATTAACGAGAAGCTCTCCACTTTTTGGAATCTTCCCTGCAGAGTCGACAACTTGCAGGATAAGATTCTGAAATGAAAGCAGGTTTTAAAATTAACTTCATCCGATGTAACTAAATTCCCTAGACTGCATTCAACGTCCACGATCCTACCTTCGTCTCTCTGTCACACAAGGTGCACATGTAGAAGTCGAACAGCATCCTAAACAAGAAGCAGTTGAAAGCCACCTTCGCGTCCTCTTCCGTCCTGAGACCATCGCGGACGACTTCCAGGATCCAATGCCTGTGATCCAAGTGCTGGATATCCGAACTGTGGAAGAGCTGGAGAAATTCTGGAATGGTTCTGAGATTTAGCCCTCGCTTCGCCGCGAAAAAGTTCTGAAGTGGAGCATAAAGGGGATTCAATGGCTGCGAGAAGATTAACGAAGTCCGCGCCATGAACGTGGACACCAGACAATTCAGGCGCATATCTTTCAGAGCTATTTCCATTGTCGCCATTCCACTTCTGAGCGAGTCGATAAGACGCATCCACAACAGCTTTTCCTTGGAACTGAAAAAATGAGGGATACTCTCAGCACATTGATTGTTCCGTCTTTGATCTTAAGGGGACGCGATAGCCGAGGAAAAATTCTACATTAATCGAGAAGGAATGTCTCGCACTGGGAGCGCTCAAGTTTGCAAATTGAGTTGATCAATGAACGGCTCTTCCGGGTCACCTCGATTATCGGTAAACTAGGATAACAGACCTAGTCGTTTCCACGTGGAAGTAGAATTTGGAAATGGCGGAATAAGCCGCCATCCGAATGTCGTCGCAGGTGCTGCCGCAGGCGGCCAACACCAGAGCTAAAGCGCCACTGTGCGTCACTTTATGACAAGCGACGACGTTGTTGTCGGACAACAGGTAACAAAGCAGGGGTAAATAGAACGCAGGATCGTATACAGCATCGGCTTCGTGCAATTTCTGGCCCTGAAAGTGAGATTCAACCCGTTTATTAATCTTCGAAGAGACGCAACTCGAAATTCATTGAAAATCTCTCAATGGAGCGAAGTTAAAAATTATTAATAATTCTGATCCACCTTCAGAGTTCTGTGAACGGGAAAGTTCTTCAAGGTGTTGTTCACTAAGTCCGAAGAAAACAGGTCTAAGACTTGCGACGTGGTAGGCTGCCTCCAAATGGCCGTATCGATTTCTCCCTTGACGCTGAAATGAGATGCCGCAGCTTCCCCCCAAAGATACGGACGGTATTCATGAAGTCGGATATCGTGGGATTCGTAATACCCCAAAATCTAGAAATTAAGTAATAAATTTACGGTGGACTAAGTAATAAAATGCAAACGACGGTAGTTACCATTAGAATTAACTGATCGCTTTCCTCTAGAGTGGCGTTGTACGCCGATAAGTAAAGCGGCACTTGAGTCGACTTCATGACCGTGTTGTTCTTTCGGATCAGAACCCAGAGTAATTCCACAAGGTACCCTGTAATGGAGAACGCAATTGTTAACGACGAAGTCGATCGCCAGTTGTATTCCAAAATATTTCGCTCACTTTTGACGGAGGACTTGGTGAGCATGATGCCGACGAACTCCGAATGGGACACCGTCATCTCGAACAACGTCTTTACGAATTCCAAGTCGCTGTCATCCTTGTAGGCGACGTTGATGGTTGTCGTTAATGTCTTCAACAGTGAACATTGTACATTGTCCTCTTTTGTAGTCTTCAGGCCCAGCCTTAACGCGAACCTTACGAATTGTGGCCACGAGGAATTCTTCGTCAACTCGTCGAATTCAAAGTCGTCGAATTTCGCGTTCATGTCGTCGATGACGTCGCATAATGTCTTGCACAGTAGAGTCAATTTCTCGTCGTTTCTAGAGTCCTTCTTCAACGCCGACGTAAGTATTCTGATTAGTATTTGACTCAGGTCTTTTAACGGAGCTGAATTTTCCGGCTCCAAGGCGGCCAATTTTTTGAACAGACCTTCGAGCAATTTTATACCGAAGACGCTTACGTTGTTCAGCTTGTCACCGTCTGATAAAATGGTCTGACAGGCAATTTTACAGGAATCTATGTCTGAACAATTTTAAGAAAGTTATTTGACAATGGATACAATTTTACTATGCATTAGTTATTCCTAAAAAATGTGTAATAACTTACCGAACATTTCCTGCATTAGATAAATAATTCCTTTAAAATTCTCTTCCAATAATGGGTTGGCATTAGACATGTCAGAAAAGTATCGTAAGATGTCATCCCTGTAAAGGCTGTCCAATTTCTCCAGAAATTTGGGATCCCACTTGTAGTCCAAATTGTTGGATAACAAAGGCAAAATAATCGAATTGTCTAACGCATCTTGCTTATCCATTACGTGTTTTATAAAGGCCGGAATGAAATGATGACTTCTACTTGTGAGGAGAATCAATAACTTCAATGTCGCCGGCTTAACTGGACCCTCCAGTAAAGACTTGAATGCATCTAAAAATCATATTGATCTGTCATAACTTCCCTTTAATACAAGGAACGATTATGCACTAAGAATCAAAAAAGGAAATTGACTGACTTGTGCCAACACCTTCGATGTTGTGTGGAAACCGTTGCAAATATTTATACAAACTATCTTCCCATAATTCCAAGTCTGCCTTAGCAATCTTCTTTAATCTCACCAAGTAAGCAAACACTTTTCCTACAGGCTGAATATCCAGTGCAATAAATTGTTTTGTCTCGGAACTTTCTTTTCTAGATAAAATATCCAATAATTTTGGAATCGTAACACCCCACATTGAAAATTGTGACACGTCTTCTGCCAGAAACTTTTCCGCAGGCAGCTGAATAATATTTTTAAATAATTCTGTGACATCCTCCGTGGTTAATTGGAGAATGTTTATGAAGTCTGCAGCTATCGATGACTTCTTCCTTTTTCCACCTTTCGTCGAGTCATTTATAGCATGAACCAATTGTTCAATCAATTTCTGCTTAAAAGGTAAAAATAGTTCCGACGAAACCGGAGGTTCAACCATATCCGAAGCTTTTGAACATACATGGAAAATTATTTCAGTTATCCTCTTTTCCATTGAATCCTTTTTGCTATTGATCGGTGAAAAATACTGCAACAGTACCGGATGACGAAATATCAACTTGAGACATTCCGAGATAAATTCAGGAGCCTCCTTGCCCTTCGTGTCTTCAGCAACTCGTAACAGAGCCAGGATTGCAACTTTGCAGTTATAAGACTGTTCTTCACTTAGACTGCCGCGTTGAGCGAGCTGTATCAATGTGAATAATGTCATTCGCAGTGTAGACAAGAATTCAAAGGGAGTGAACGAAGAAGAAAACTCAACTTCTTCCTCTTCGCACTTAAATGATAAGCTTTTTCCCTCGTTGAGGATCTCGCTCAATTTTATTCTACTCTGGGCTAACAACGCCTTGCTTAATTTGCAAATTGTATTCTTGGAACCGAATGGTTTTTTTACGTGAACTGGATCTCCCTCGTGTAACCAACTTGTTAAGTATTTTAAAGAAGGCAAATCCTTTACATCCTTCGATAGGTATATCAAAGGACCAGGTGCTACTTGACAATGCATAACATGTACCGCAACAAATGCAAAATATTGTAAGACCAATTCTGACGATGTCTTTCTTAAACTTTCGATCGCACTGCAAAATAATGGAGATATGCTGGTGGTCGGTTGAAAGTAACATGCTTTCACAGTTTTATAAGAATCCAAGTCTCTTTCTGCAAGCTCTGAAAATAACATATAAAAAAAATATATAAAATATCGAATAATCACTATTTATGAAGTTGATTTTTTTTAATGTATTTAATCGACTAGAAATTATTTTGATTCTATAAACTTTACCATTGAATATGTCTTGTATTTTTCTAGTATTGGGAATCTGCTCGCCAGCTGCCTCTTCAGCCTCGGTTATCATGCTTTCATATTTATTGGTATGCTTTATGGCGTTTTTCATAATTGTAACAAACCAATCGACTACAGTCCCTCTCTCATTTTGGTCACACAAAAAGGAGAATGCATTTATCCAAATTTCCACTTGATCGTTAAATCCTTCAAACATACCAGATGATCGTAGCAACACATTTACAGCTGCCCTAGCATTGGATGTTACATCTGCCGACATGGCTTCGTTATTTTGTATTGACAGTAAAAGTGACAATACCTTCATAAAGTGTTTCTGTAAAATAATTAAATTTCAGAAAATGTCACATTTTCGATCCGTAATTCAGTTCGAAATCGTTTACCTTCTGTGGAGAAAACATCGCCGAATCGACAGTCAACAGAAATTGCAGCAATTTTACTTTGAGGACACAAATGTCTGACTCGTCCATTTCATGTTGATTTTTTAATGCGTCCAATAACGTTAAAGGGTAAGAGTCAGAGTCCGATGTCAATCCGGTATCAAATGCTTCTGGACATAAATCGTGATACACCTCGAATAAATTCAGAATTTCAATTAAGCATTCTTTTATTGGTGGAATTGCATCCACTTCCCTAGATTCCAATAATTTAACATCAGGTTCTGAGCCAACAGCTTTCTCCCATAATTTCAATAAAAAATGTAAACTGGGCACATTCTGGAACGGAAGAAGTAATACGATTAAAATAAATAAATATGAAAAGATGAAATTATTTGGTACGATAATTAAATTCTCTCACCTTCAGCAAATAATCCTTAGCGCTTTGTACCAAAGTCGAGGCAACTAAATTCCTCTTGTTCTTAAATCTTGTTATGTTTATAAAGTCTTTTAATTTATTCAACATAACTACAAGGAGTTTTATGCCTTCGTGTTGCACTATGATATTATCATGGCATAATGACGGCATGATAGCATTTTTTAATACAGTAGGTGGTACGGATAAAGTAATTACAGCATTGACCAGCTGTGGAACTCCTAATTCCGTTTGGCACAATTTAATGCAGCTCTCTGCATCCATCGATAGAATTATCTTTTCAATGAATTTCATTACCATAAACCATTTCCTCGATAGCCGAGGCTCAAGAAATGGTTCGGTGTAGGTTAGCTGTACTTTTACCAGATCTGGACATGCAATCAATATTTTAACAACTAATTCCGACGGCTTTTCATGCTCCCAAGGACGATCCAAACGTTGGAGCACTGTGTCTACTAGTTGATTGTGCTTGCGACCAGAGGTACCGAGTGATCGATCATGGAATATAATTCCATATCGATTAGATGTGAGTAACGTTATTAGAAATTCGTGTACTGCATCCACAGCAACCTGTATGGAAAGGAAGAACAAATTGATAGTCATCTGATTCAGGGTTTGACGAGACCAAATATTTATGAAATAATAATTCACCTGCTTCTCCTGAGGATTAACAACATCCAATGTAGCATTATGCTTTGCATACCCAGGGCAACCATTAGGACCCTTCCAGTTATATAACGATACCAGAGTTTGTACAACTGGGGTTGAAAATGTGTGTATTTTAAGAGTTTTACTGATTCCTGGATTCTCAAGAACATACTTCTTTATAGTCATCAAAACTACGTTTACCAAAATATGCGGGTCGTACAGTAATCCAGGGAAAATACTGGAAAGGACACGACGCTTGTCCAGTAATGTTCGGATTACTAATACATTGCCTTCGACCAAAAAAGCTAATATAAAATGAATGAAACAAGTCCTCACGCTCTCCGAGTCAGTAGGTTTGCTATGTTTTGTAACGGTTTCCAAAAATTGACCATGTAGAGATAAATGGCTCAGCAATTCCTGAGGGAGTGTTCCCCCTAAAGATATAATCGCTGCTAACAGCTTTAGAGCAACTTTGCGTTGCTTGGCATTGCTATGCAGTGAGAGCATCGAATGAACAAAGGAAAAGTATGAGTGAATTAAATGACGACATGTCTCCTCCGCATTAGATTGGTATTGTGGATACTGCGACAATATTCTGGAAAATAAATAATGTATATTGAATGAATGTAAAGAAACAACCCACCTATATAAATCATAACTTATAAGAAAATAATCATACTTCATAATTATAATATATACAGCAGAGAAGACACTGGTAGCAGCAGCGACATTTTTTCTCTCTGGAGAATCTAGTAATTTAAGAACTTCGATGATGCTACCCCCAGCTTCTAAATATTCGCCAGCTACATCCCTCTCTTTAAATTGTTTGGAAATGATTATAAACTTTTTTAAGAAGTTCATAGGATTCGAAGACTTTAAACCTGCCCTTAGTGATTTTCCAGTCAGTTTGCCAGCATCGTTTGGGGATAAACATTCATCATCGGAACATTCATTTTCATGTACGTCTAAAGGATTTGAAATGATACAATAAAAATTCTCATAAACATTTATTCATGCTATAAATATAATACTGTTATATGAAAATTCATTGTAATTACCTTCCTCCTTATTACCCTCTTCGATTGGCTTTTCTTGTAATTTTGTATCCACACTGTCGTCCAGATCATCCGCTCCATTTAACTGACCATCTTTACTCTTCTTTCTTAGTTTTAATATTTCGCCATCATCGGCATTTGATTTTCTCTTTCTTTCTTTCTTACCTTCCACGACATGGCTATCGACGCACTCGGTTTTGTCAGTTATAGAATCCGAGTTATTCTTTGACTTCTTGGACTTAGATTTCCTTTTCTCTTTTGAAAAGGACTCCGGAGTCTGACTATTGTCATTGTCAAGACCAACAGACATATCAGCAGTAACTTGAAATAAAGTTTCCTTAATTCAAATATATTACGTCAAGAGGAAGATAACACTGGTTTTAAAAGTATCCTTCTATCCTTGAAATAAAAAAGCGTCCAACGTGAAAAATATTCGTAACTTTGTCATACACGCCACAAATATAACCTAACTAGAAAACCGCCGCACTGTAGACGCACGTGGTCGAGAATAAACTCCGCTTTTATAATTCCGATGACTTAAAACGTTCTCAGAACGGTACTGGAGAGGTTAGAAATAAACTGCGTAGATGTAGTTCCTCAAATGGCGCTGCCAGTAAAAGTTAAAATATATCGGTAATGCAGTTTTAATTTTTGTTTCTGCTGTCAGATGGCAGGGTACAATGGCAATTTTCAGTCATTTTGTTCCATTTAATTTGATTTGCTGTTAAGTAGGTTCGAAAATTCAGAACAAAGTCCTCTTGCATTAATTTGCATGCAGTTTTATCATTAGGAACTTGAGTGATAGCATGAGATTTCCTTGAGTTAATTTAAAAATTACGTTTTTAAATGTTTACGTCAGCATAAAGTTTACGAAGCTAATTCTGATATAATCATATAAAAAGAATCATTTGAATTTTCTCAAAGATATTCAATAAAAGCAATCTAGACCTTTACATTCTGTAAATAAATTAATTCAGAATAAAGAAGAAATCATGCAGTGTGTAAAATCTTTTGGTAAGCAAATTAATTATTAATAATTAAATAACCTTGAATTTATTTAGAAATCCATAGGTTTGAATTTTTTAATTTAATGAGAAAAGCTATTGTGATTTACAAAAAAAACTAGAATGTTACAATTTTCAAGAGAACTTTAAGATTTCAATAATTATTTTGTAAATGTAGGTAGCTGCTATGCAGCGATGAGAAATTATGGGAGACGTGGCATCGCTTCCATTTCAGAGCTTCCAGATGTGTATCAAATGTTGCATAAAACATGCAGGTATTTTTCCTATATTTTTAAATATATCAGTTTTTAAAAATCTCAATGCAACGTATTTATGCAAATTTTTTTTTATACACAATTAACAGAGATTTTACAGAAGGGGAACTAAAGCCTATTGCTGCAAAAATAGACAGAGAGCATTTATATCCCAAGGATCAAATTAAAAAAATGGGAGAATTAGGTCTCATGGCAATAAGTATTCCAGAATCTCTCGGAGGAACTGGTTTGGATTACCTAGCATATGCGATAGCACTGGAAGAGATATCCAGAGGTTGTGCTAGCGCCGGTGTCATAATGAGTGTGAACAACTCGTTATATTTGGGTCCAATTGAAAAATTTGGTAGCCAAAAGCAAAAGGAAAAGTATATCACTAACTTTACAAAGGGTGACTCGATCGGGTGCTTTGCTTTAAGCGAGCCAGGAAATGGTTCCGATGCTGGTGCAGCGAGCACTACAGCGAAACTAGATGGAAACAACTACAGCGTTAATGGAACTAAGACGTGGATAACAAATGGCTTCGAGGCTAGTGCTACCGTTGTATTTGCTACTACCGATAAAAGCCAAAAGCATAAAGGTATAAGTGCACTAATAGTGGACAAACCGACGAAAGGACTGTCGCTTGGCAAGAAGGAGGACAAGTTAGGGATACGAGGGAGCAGTACCTGTGCCTTGATATTCGAAGACTGTCAAGTTCCTGCAGAAAATCTCCTCGGTGATCCAGGAATGGGCTTCAAAATAGCCATGATGACTCTAGGTATATTACAAGGAATTCTAAATGAAGTAACTTTATGCGATAAAAGCAGCGAACATGAACTAAAGTCGATTACCTTTCAGATGCAGGCAGAATAGGCATCGCGAGTCAAGCCTTAGGTATCGCACAAGCATCACTCGATTGTGCCATGGACTATGCGTCAAAACGTATTGCATTCGGTGCTCCAATTATAAAATTGCAATCGATACAAAATAAAATTGCTGACATGGCCTTAAAATTGGAGGGTTCTCGGCTTCTCACATGGAGAGCGGCTCAATTGAAAGATGCCAGGAAACCATTTACCAAGGTCTGTTCGTTAAACATAACTTCTGCCTATAGTTTAAGTACATTTAAACCTTACTTATTTTATTTCTACCAGGAAGCTGCAATGGCTAAATTATCTGCATCGGAAGCTGCAACATTTTGTGCACATCAATGCATCCAAATATTAGGAGGAATGGGTTACGTCTCCGATATGCCTGCGGAACGTCATTATAGAGATGCGCGTATAACTGAAATTTATGAAGGAACCTCTGAAATTCAGAGGCTAGTGATCGCAGGAAATCTTGTCAAAGAATACGGACTGAATTAATATCAACAGATATCCAGGGTAATAGAAAAAGATTTTATGATATTCATAACAAGGTTTAGTTTTACTAAAAACAAAAGATCTACTGTCATGGAATAAGTCATTCGATTGCTCTATCGGTACTTTTGCCAACTCCAAGTGTACATTCTCGATACATGTCTCCGTTATAAATTCGATATAAGTACAATAGAATTTTTATACAGGTTTTTTCAATAAATGTAAACGATTATCTAACGGTTTCAATCATAAATTCTACGCGTTACTAGTATGTACAATAAAATCGTATGCTCAAACTGCCACTCCACGAAGTAGTTTACTCCAGTTTACTCACGGACGTTACGTCTATGGTTATAAACTAGTAGAGAAGCGCGCCCAGTTCCTAACCTCTCCACCTAGATCTAACCTCATTTTCGCGTCCACGCTAAGTGGCGAAATTGACTTCGACCCTCCAGGTTCGGTCGGTAAAACACCTCCACAGTTCGTGCAACAATCCCTCGGCGCGATTCGGCGGGGGCGGCGCGTCGGTGACATCACCTTCTACCGCGGCGGGCGGCGATCTTGCTGACACATTCGCGGCCCGCGCTGTTCGTGGCAGGCGTATTCCTCCGCAGTGTGCCAATTTTCAGTTGCCAGCAGTTGCCAGCTGCCAGCGGGTGTCAGTTGCTGGAAGTACGGGTGCCAAGCGGAAAGGCAAGCCAGTCAGCACTCGAAGCGAACGCGCCAGAGGGAGAGGGAGATACGGAGGCAGGCTGGCCCAGAATCCACGGTCCATGTGCTTCCTCGAGTGAAAATGCTCATCAAGGAATAGTGAGTATGCTCCTCTGGTCGGCCGATCGGGCGAGAAGCTTCGGCAGCCGAATAGAGCTCGCCTTGGCCCGGAAGCTACCGAGTGGCGGCGACGAGGCTGCAGCCCCGGAGCCGAGGGTCGGCGCGCGAGCCACCCTCGCGGGCAAGGGTCAGGGTTGCCACCCTCGCGCCGGTCCAAGGCCGGAGCGGATATCGGTCCGTCGTATCGATTTTCCTCATGAATTTCGCCGGAGTCGCTCTCCTTGGCCCCGTCGCTTCTCCTCCCGCTAAAGACGGCCCGACTTTGCTTCGATCCGTAATTACCTATCTCCCTCGCCAAATCACTGACATCGCGATTCTTCTTCTGTTCCAGCCGCGTCACTCTGCCCCTTACCGTCGAGGAGGTATGTCATTATACGGTGATACCTTATTACGATATACTTCATGTTAATGATCGTATCGAGGGAAAAAATCCAATGATGCGTGCCTCGAAGCCAGGGCTTGTTTCAATGCACCCGGTGGGCCGGTTTGCTTGGGTCTGTAGGAATTACGTGGAGGAATTTTATCAGGATCTTGGGATTCTCTTGATATAATTATTAATTATTAATTATTTCAGTGCAATTAGATGGCAAAGGCCTGCACGAGAATGACGGTGGATAAAGTGAGATGCTATGATTATCTCTTAATGGTCTTCGCGTGATGTTTGGAAGGGATAATTTTGGTTTTTACTCCAATGGGCAAGCGTGTCTTTATGGAAACTTATGTAAGATGGTGGATAGGTTTTTTTTTTTTTGTCAAATATGTAAAGGAAATGTGGGATAGTCCAAGAGAAAAGATAGGGATCAATGGAGAGGGTTAGGAGACACGTGGTTCGAAGGAATTGGAAGTAATTCTTTATCAGATGACTCAGTATCGCTTAAGTTAATTTAACCGAATCCGAAAGTGTACGTTGGGCCTTATCAAAAGAACGGATAGCATACCTTATCATGGGAAGATGGAATAGATCTAACGACGTCGAACACAAGTAAAGCTTGGAATAACTTTTCATGTGACAACGGTTCATAAACTGAGACACGATTGTCGAGTATGCATACCGTGCAATGTAACCAAAACACAATTGTCGTGCATTAGTAGTAGTGGGAGACGCTACCGCAAACATTTCGAATTCCCTTGTTAATATATTCGGTATCAAGGATGTTTTTTATTTGTAGTACCAAGTGGCTCAATTGTACTCTGTGGCGGAGGCAAGTAAAGATAATACCGGTGGAGGAGAAGGCATAGAAGTCTTAAAGAATGAACCATTTACGGACTATCCATTGTTAGGAGGAAAATACTCCTCGGGACAATATACGTATAAGATATATCACTTGGCAAGTAAAGTGCCTGCATTTATTCGAATATTATTACCAAAGAACTCATTGGAAATCCACGAGGAAGCATGGAATGCTTACCCGTACTGCAAGACAGTTATAACAGTAATTATCGATTTATCTCCGGTTTAATGGAATAATTGTTGGACCCGATCCAAATTACAGAATTTTCTGAAACGCTTTTTCAATACCATTGCAGAATCCTGGATACATGAAAGAGAATTTTATTATAATGATAGAATCATTCCATATCGGAGACGTTGGGGACCAACAGAACGTAAGTTAGCTTTTCGACAATTAACCTGTCTTCGATTAGACTTTGTCCTCACGAAATGCCATTTAATCGATCATAGGTGCACGAACTATCTCCTGATAAACTAAAAATTAGGGAAGTGATACACATCGATATAGCAAATGACCCGGTTGCTAGTTCCGACTACAAGGAGGACGAAGACCCGACCAAATTTAAGTCTCAAAAAACTGGTCGGGGTCCTCTAGTTGGCAAAGAATGGAAGAATAAGGTCCAGCCTGTCATGACTTGTTACAAACTTGTCACGTGCGAGTTCAAATGGTTCGGCCTGCAGACTCGAGTCGAGAGTTACATTCAGAAAGCGGAGAGGCGCCTCTTCACCAATTTTCATAGGCAAGTGTTCTGCTGGATGGACCGGTGGTATGGTTTAACGATGGAGGACATCAGAGCCATCGAAGACAACACGAAAGAAGAGCTGGACAGGGTAATCGACAGTTACATTCCTGTTAGAACTTTATCTTTCTTCCTCCGATCATCCTGAATTCTAACTTCTCGATTCTCTAATTACAGCAACGGCACTTAGGGGAAGTACGAGGAATGCGTGCCGAAGATTGAAGCTTTAGTAGTTATCCATAATTAAGATTAAATTAATTTCAATATATATATATATAAATATATATATATATATTAAGTACACAGGAGCGAACGCGTGCCGCGAAGAGCCATAAAACCATTGGGAAAGCAAAAAATACGCGAAACGGTTATACATAGTCTTCAGGATCAGGTCAGTTTTTGTGCATTACTCAGCTACGACTCGGTGTCTACTGAGATTACCTGCGATTTTAATTTATTTACCTTTGTAAGTCTTTTAGATGAATGTATCGACACTAAAGGGTATCATTACAATCGTCATCGCAGTCAATGAGTTGTAACACTTCACCGTTATTAAAGACGAATAGGAAATTGCGCAGGGAAGGGGGTAAAGTTTACTTAGAGACCAAGACGATCGATGGGGTAAACACAGGATTTTCGTGGGCAATATGGTGTCCGGAATAGACCAGCTAACTTATATAATTTAGCGATTTAACGAGGAAGTTAATATTAATTGTAAATGTTTATAACGGAGCAGTCAGGATGCCTGTCACTGGCAGCGTTCAGTCCTTGCATTCGACGATGTTGCTCGGATCTCGGGATGCGTGGATTATTTAAATAATGAATGATAGTTTACGTACTGTCGCTAGTGCACATTGCGCGTTTATTACGACCGTTTAATCTCGCACAATGCGCGAAGCCGAGGCTTCCTTTGTTAAGGATATATGTATGCATGTATGTACACGCCTCAATGTTCGTCAAAGTCGGACGGCTCTAAGTTTCTAGCCACGGTCGCGACATTTATTTTCGGAAACCCCGTCTCCTGAATTCTTTACGTTCTTCTGCCGTCGATATCGCGCCCTTAAAGGTTTCGTTGCCTCCAGCAGGTTCTGAGCGAGTTTATTTTCTTCGCGAGTCTCCTAGGTTCTATTCCAAGCAATCTGTACGATGCTATTTTAATTTCCATCGGTTGTACGAAAAACGACAAGTGCCACACCGTAATCAAGATGAATCTTAGTCTTAAAATGTCAAAGGGAAATATGGCGCCGCTCGAAAGTGGAACACTGGGTGTTCCGTTTTTCCGTTCGTTGGCCATTAAGGTCGCCGAAAAAAAGATCGTCCAACCGAGGAAATCTATGCGACCGCGCATTTACGTTAATCGTGATAATCGTACCAATGCTTATCGTTTAAAGAAATTTATATTCCGCTTGACGGCCGTCGCGAGGGGTACATGGACGATCAGCTGATTGTTGCATTTAACAATTTCCTGGTCGTTTTGGGACTCGAAGCTTAAACCGTTTACTGAAACTTTGAAAGTTACTTAAAGTGTTACGGGTGTCACGTATATATATATAGAATGACCCTTTCGTATCACCTTAAGGTTCGAAGGATAATTCGTCATTGCGGTGCGGCACTCTTGCGACGCCCTGTATATTAATTATTAATTAGGTCTAGGTCGGTATTAGTAATACTAAATTGTCCGAAAATGCGCTTAGCCTCAATTGGAAAGTAACCGCGTGGCTCGTTAATATACAGCAGAGGAATCCTCAAGATACTATGCGTACTTGAGATAATTGTTCTACGTGAAGTAATCGTCCCCCTTCCCGATCGCCCTTATGAATAATTAGCAATTTCGCTATGCGACGACAAAATGGACAATAGCGCGAGCACAGAGTATTACCGAGGTCGTCCTTGTAGAACTTAGAGGAGGAAAACCTGAAAAGCAAAAAACAAGGAAGAGGTTAACTCGGTCGACAACTAACTGCTAACGAAGTGCAAGACTAAGACTATCGAATTCCTCGTAGGTTCATTTCGCTTCTGGACTTGACCTCAACAAAAAAATAGAGAGAAGGATAACGAGTTTCAAAGTATATTAATAAAATGGTGAATATAGAAGAAATGCCAAAAATGACTAGCAACTGATTCTGTCCGTCGTTGATACACTGTTTAAGGTTAACTAAGTATTCATGGCGTGTTTTTTCGAGAGGATACAGCAATAGTAGGGTACGGCGACTCGAAAAGTATTTCAAAGCTGCCCTTTTTCCGATCACGAGCGAACATCGAACTCTCGGATTCGATCTTGTATTCTATCGTCTTAAAACTAGGAACTCTAGTGCCAGTAACCCTAATCTTAATGTAGTCTCGACCGTCTCCGTTTTCTTCAGAGCACTTCGATGTCGTCGAAGGAATTTATCGAGTCACAGCAATCGCATCTCTGTCTCGAGCCTGCCATTCCCTTGCACCGTTCCTCCGAGTTGACACATATAAAAGTCTGTCATCGGTTCATCGTCCTTTGAAATTCAGTACGATATAAGTTATAAAGAGATACCTTTATCGATTCAATAATGCTATAGCAGACTATAAATGCAAATACTATAAATATTATAAATATATATAAATATATATATATATATATTATAAATATATAGATACACCGTTTCGGAGAGGGAATCAGAGAAATCCTTGCAGACTATTAGATAGAACGTTGTGTGGTGTATCTCATTACTAAAAACGAGAAAAGATGCTAAAATTAGGTGAGCTACGTTAAGGGTGTGTTGTATATAATACGAGACACGCAATATGAAATTCACTCCGATGTATGTATAATGTATAATTTGATTGACTTTCGGTATGGTCGTTTGTACAGGAAGCTAGGCAAGAAAGGAAAAAAGAAGTAGAAACGATCGTTTTGAGGAGTTTAGCGTAATACTGGAAGATCTCGTACAGGGAAACGTGTGCTGTTATAATAACACCAGTCAATCGAGCCATGTGCAAAGCTCTGTTTCTCATAGTGGAAGTTACGAAAATACGACTAACTCGAGTTCGTTATCGTGCATGCTGTCATGTGATCGTAATAGTTACTGTCATCTGGGGCAAATGCCTGTAGAACTGCAGTTAAACGTATACAACTTGCTCCGATACAGCTCTGTCGTTGAATGTATAAATCAGGCTATGTTCATTTTTTGGCTGTCAGTACTGGCTACTTCGAAGACTCGTTGCAGTCGTTTAAAATCTACATGTAATTCCCTGTATATAATTCACGACACACCTTTCTGCCTCGTAAATTTTCTGCATTTGCTGCTCCTTTAAAAATAGGGGCAGCGAAGCGTAGTAATAGATATTTTGTGGTAACGTAGAGTAGGATCGAAACAAGAATATATAGCTGTCCAGAATTTTCATGTTACAATTAGGGTTTCCTTAATTGTCCTAAATGACAAAAGTATGCAGAGCGAGGAGACGATCGTGTATACGTCGCACCTATTTAGCGTTGTTTTTCAGTTCATGCAACTGATGCGCTGTTCATGACCTGGAACCAGATCGTATAATTATAGAAATATGTTCGGCTTGTCTTTCTAAGTTAATTATTACATGGATTTATAACTCCGAAGATATATCTCCCGTACATGGTCCGCTAAATGAGTGCAACATATATATTGGATTTTTTTTATATATATATACATATGGAAAAGGAAAGTGTTAAAAGCCTTAACTATTGATCGTTGGCTACAGTGTTAAGTAACTCACGTTTCGAAAGTTTGCATTATTGATCTTGGAGTTCAATGTAACGCTGTATGTATTAGAGTCATTAAAAGATCTATTCTTTCAACAGTATATGTAAAAGAATATATAAAATGCGCTTTACGGGTACGAGGCCTGGATTACATTACAGTCTTAGTAATAATAATAAAAAAAAAAAAAAGATCAACTCAACAGAAATGATTTTTCCATAGATGCCTTCGACTATGTTACATCGACAGTACTGGAATTATTTAGAATTGTTGCGATGAAAGTGCTGCCAGTTAAAAACCGAATGTAGCCTCATTTGTTCAAACATTTATCGGTCTAACCTAAGGAGATGCACGTTATATTTTTTTAATTTCATTTCTTATTTTAAGGCAGGTTTGCAACTGGTAGACGTCTGTTTTAGAGAGCAACAATATTGTACATTGTGTCTTAATTGTCATCATACGTCAATTTCATTTGATAACTGCATTTCATTACTCGCAGTTATTTCATACATATGCCCCGATCACATAATTAATTTAAACCTGACATGATTTATTTTGGAAATTATATAGGAAGGAATATCTTGTAACGTCGCAGAAGGACTGATTACAAATGAGTCCCATGCGTGTGTCGAGGTATCGTAAGATCAAAGTGCTAATAAAGTCAAAAGTTATAACGTACTGCATTTATTATTCCTACTAGGTATAAAAATAGTTATCTTTTGTAAGAAGATCCTTTACGCTATGCCGAATACTCCTGAATCAGATATGTTAAATTTTATGACCGTTCGTGGTACGTATGATGACTTTTTAACACATACATAACGATGGTCTTCACTTTTATAAAGATATAATGAGTTCGAGACAAGATTAGCCCAAGTAATCCCCAAAGCAGGTTGTTCTTTACTAAGTAAATTATCCACACAATCACTTTTCACAACTGCTGTTACCTGCAAGAAGCACTCGGTAATCCGTTATTGCAACTTTACTGGAAAAGAATATCAACGGTCGTATTTACTTGATTGATGCAAACAACAGGTATTCGATTCTTGAAAGACAAAATGTGCAGCTGGTAGCCTATAGATCGTAAACTTCTCGCTCTGTTCTTTAATTCAGAATCGGAATATTCGACTCTGTAAGGTGCAGCGATAGAATCAAGGATTATGAGACCTATTTTCTGAGACTCCATTAGTATTGGAATTCTTCTAATTACGCACATTTCCAAGTCTTCCTTTAGCAAAGAGATTGAAAAAATTAGTACATCGCCTTTAAGTCTAAGTTTACAGGCTACACGCAATTACTTCATCGAGATATTTTTTTTTTCCTTAATTTGTAATCAAAATGGTAAGTTAAACAAAAATTGTATCTTACAATAGTCGATACATGTTCTATAAACACCGAATCCCCAGTGATATTGTACTTCTCGACATTAGGGAAAGTTTTTAATAGTTGCAGCAGTCTTCTGGTTGGAAATACTGATTCGGTACATATGTATGCTGCACCTAGAGAATGTTAAAGGAATGACATGTTAGAATTAAAAAAACTAAATGGTAAATAGTGCATCATTTACCTGCTCCCAATCCACCTGCGGCAATTGGTATTTGCACCGTAAGACAAAGCTGTAAAGCTAACTGCGTCTTCCCAGTTCCAGACTGACCATAAATCTCTGTCAAACCTTTTCGATTGATACCTCCTCGTAAATTTGAATTCAGTACTGGGCACCCCGATGTAAGAAACTCATCAGGTTGTAACATACTTACAGCATTAAAACTACAAAGTTATAAATAACTTATCACAACCTAATAATGGAGCATGTCTGCAACGTCAACTAATTAGGATAATTCAAGTACAAAAGATGTTTTACTATGAATGAGAAAAAGGCGCGGAAATAATTTCGCCGTTTTAAATGAGAAGCAACCGCACTTGCCACCTGTTATCCCACAATGGCGACGCAACTCATTACCATATGGTCTAAGCTCATTACTAAGAGTCGCCGCTGGCGGCTCACATACTCGTGATGGTAATATCATCTCTGGTAATACCATCTACCAGACAAAAGTTGGGAGATAGCTCATGGGCAGGGTCGCGCGATCGCGTCCTGTGCTGCCCCCTGGTGGAGGATACGGACGGCTAATGCACTTGCCACCTGTTACCCCTCAGTAGCGGCACAACACATTTTCTATTCTATCGCTATCATAATATCTAATTGACTTCTATCTATTCTATCATATTATCTAATCGCCTATTCCTGATCCTTGAAAATCACCTGTAGTCCTAAGTTAATGTTAATTTTCTTATGGTGGGAGAAAACTTAGAAAAATTGCTCATTTTTGGCACACATCGATTTCAATATCAAATCAATGATCTATCAAGTCTTCGTTGACCCGAATGTCTAAAGATAAACGTGGAAGTTATATTTCCAGGATTTAGAACTATACAAATATCATGCATCAGTTATTCATACATAGAAAAAACCCATGTATGGATAATAATTAAACACCTCGTAACCAAACCTGGAGCAACTTCTTGGTTAAACTATTTATAACCGAAACGGAAAACCTCTGTATGCCTTAATGTATACCGTTAAATTAATATATTACTCTTTACTGTCCTGGATTTTCACTCCAAATGGAATTTTTGTACAAGCATCTCCGACACTCCATGATAATCTCAGTTTGTGTACCGTGATACTTAGAATTAACTAGAGCGAGATCCTTAAAGTTACAGGGACACGTGGGAGAGTGATTATCGAACTTGGTATGCATATCCTGTAGGAAGTAGTCTATATCCACTAGACGTCGACCAGCGATAACGGGCTGCCGATGAAAGTGTGCATCAAATTCGGGATCGAAGGGTAAGATGCACTCTTCCTCTGCGTGTCCATTATTTTCCGGTACCGTGCTATCAAGGAATATCGTCTCAGGTTGTTGGAAACTTGGCTCCTCCTTGATAATACACTGCAGGAAGTCCCCGTGTCTCTGCATGTCATCCAATGTCAGCAGCTCAGCCTTTTCCGTCTTCGCCATCTCCAATTCTAGCTGCTGCTGCCGTTCCTCTCTAAGGCGCTTTCTCCTGAACCGATAAAGATGTTTATCCGATTCAATGAAAACTTAGTGTTCAATTTTCATAATTTGGAGGTTATTATGCATGAACCACCGTGGAACGGGACTGTGCACAATAATAAAACTTTAATTTTATACATGAGCAACATACAACTAAATACCTATCGCGGGCTTTCTTCCTCCTGCTTAACCTCCTTTGCGATAGCCTCATTCTCTTCTTTCTGTAGGGTTTCTGGTCTCCATTATCCATGGTGGGGTTCTACAAGTATAATTAATTGAGCAGTGCTAACCATAACTTTTTTGATTATTTATAGTTTTGACGTTTACCCCTTCGCGCTTTCACGTTTTTTACTTTCATTTATTGGGTCTATTAAGTTAGTTCAAGATCTGTACACCACAGACTCAACTAGTGCACCCAATGAAAGCAGAAGAACAAGTCGATTACCAAGCGAGATCTCGCGTTACCCTGAAACACTGCACTAAAATCTCGATTTGTCACGTACTAAAAAAGAAGCGAAGGACTAATTACAATCAACAATCGAAACTCGAAAACCAGAGCCATACCAATGAATTTTGTCATATTCATTGGAAAGATATTCGGCTCAATCGGACGTTAGAAATTGCCGCTACAAACTATCGAAAACTATCGATATCGGTCGATTCAACTTCCGATACCTCGGAGCCGGTTTCAAATTGCCAGATCATATTTCATGCTTTTCAAACGTATTAAAAAAATTATGACAATTAAAGAACAACCTGAATTGGGTAAAAGTTTATTGAATCGCTCGATTTAAAAAATAATTGTAAACCTTGTTGATTGAGATGAATCCAAATTTCTGTTACTTCGATGCATGGCGTAGAAAATTAAGACTCCTATAAACATTATTCTACCGATTGAAACATTCTTTTCTTTGTGCAATATTAAAATGAATTAATTTATTTACCTTAAACAGTAACAAATAGGCCGTAACGTTCTGAGGTAACGAGACAGGATTATCAAAATATTCACGATAATCGATGGTAGTAAACGGTGAGTATAATACAAATATTCCCAACGTCTGTACACTCCGTATTATGCGACTAATAATACTGGATAAATCTCACTGCAACTACCTAGTCTAGTCGAAATTCGTTATTAAGGTATTCAAGGTGATATAACCGAGATACATAAGCATAGTAAGCTTCTGTAGTTTAATCGCGTATTGATTATTAATTTTACCCTGAAAAATTAATTGGTCTTCTACCAAATGTCGATTAAAAATCTACAATTGTACCTACACTCATTATTAATTTCCCTCTAAATTAATGACGACTGTTATTCGAGGTTTAATCTTTCAAAATAAATTGATAAACAACATTTGATTCAATTAGGAAGCATCCGTCTCTTAATCGAATAAGTACTAATGGATACGAAATACATTCCGTACTTACAAGGAAAACTGTATACCTACAGACGATGAAAGTAGTACTCTAATTAAAGCGATCGCTTAATTTTTATTATTGCTTCTAGGCCTAACTACGAAGCTTACAAAAGTACGAATCATCAGCGCCAATAAAGTTGCACGTTCCGTGACATCACTGACTTCCACATGTACACCTCGACAACGTAGATACTCATCTACCTACGATTCCAAGTACGTCACACATGTTCTTCATAAGCTACCTTCCCACCCTCCTGCGAGATCCATCGAAGATGAATTCCAACCACTCGGAGTCTCGATCACACCTAACCTCAAATATCCAGAATTCCAATCACACCGTAGCTGTCTGCCCAAGTAGTACTTTGAACTCACCGAAGAACTCCACACACATTCTAGGCGCCTAATTTTCTTGGAAAAAATAGGTCCGCGTGATTTAATTCCACCTTGGTACACCTAACCGTACGAGGCACAACTCGAACGTGCGTCCATACGACGAGCGTACATCGATAAAATGTTTACAGGACGAGCATCAAAGCGGCACTCGGCATAACCAACGGCGTTACACCAAGATGTCCCAGGCAGTGAAAGCGCCGTTACTTTCTGCGCCTTCGTCGTAGAAGGAAATCGCGGAGCATCGCGACGCATCCCCAAGTCCTCCAATAAGTCATCATGCGGTGAAATCGCCGTTATTCCCCACATCCTCGTAGGTCATCAGCGACACTCGCGAGGCATCAGCAAGTTCCCTGATTAGGTCTTCGGGGTGTTCGGTGTTGGAAATATCCGGAGGGCAAGACCTCGCGTGTCCACCGGCACGATTCACAGTGACTACGCCTGCTGTGGCTCCGCTCGCGCCTCCGCGACTCGCCAGTCTTCTCAACATGCGGTTCTTCCGCTGCTGCTCCCGCTCGATCTTCAGCTTCGTGAACTCGTCCGCTTCCGAGCCCGCCGAAGAGTTCGAGCTATTAATGCTAATGCAATCGGGCTCCAGGATGTGCGCCACGGCGTTCCCCTCGAAAGCCTCGCTGGACCGTTCCGACTGCGTCCCCCGTGGCTGCGACCTGGAAGAGAGTCTGAATCGAGCATTGAATCTCACGGTCTGGCAGTTCGGATTCCAATAAACGATTTGTAATCACGATTTGCACCCTAATCCAGGTCGTTTCTCACCTCCTCCTCGGCGAATGCGCCACGCTGGCGGCGGGAGCGCTACGGGAGAGCAGGTTGCACCTCGGCGGAGACCTAGAAGAGGCGACCGACCCGGCATTGACGGCTGTCTCGGCTGTCAAGTGTGAATTCGGCACGTTGACGGGCGCACTGGGAGGTGGAGGACCCGTCCCGAAGATGCTTTGCACATGGGGCCTGATCTCCGGCCTCATCGACGTCATCGTCATCTGCTCGTCCACCTCCTCGATCACTCCGATTCTCATCGATCCTCCGGTCCCTTCATCCAAGGGTATACATGAATTTTAACCAGCTACTTCAAGTATCAACCGAAAATAGTCGCTACGCGAAGGATGACATACAAAACTGAAATTCAGACTGTAAGAAGAGACGACAAGGCACCAACCGCTGATTTTGTTCTGTAGCGAGGCGGCCGAGCTGGAGTTGGGTATCCTGCCGGGAGTCTTCGTGCCGTCTGGTCGATCTTCCTTGCTAAAGAGTCTACGTAGAACGCTGGTCACGCTGTTGACTCTCGGCAAGGAGCCTCCGATATTGCTGGGAGTGGAGCCATCGCTCAACGTGCGGTCCCTGTTGCTGACCCTGCTCGTGCTCCTGAAATCAGCACCACCTTCGACATCCTATTCCGCCTTAACGAGTGAATAATAATTTATTTATGAACGGGAATCGGTATGTGCGCGTTCCTCGGTTACAACACCTCGATAATTTCGAATCCGCGGTGAAGTGGATTCCAGAAGCCGCGTCGTCCCCCACGTCGTTGGAGAATTTCCGCTGATACTCCGGCGCGAGGTCCTCGATCCTGACCGAGGAAGGTTGCAGTTCCTGCTGAGCCGCTGAGAGCTGAATCCCCGCGGTCGACGGGACCGGATGTTCCTCCCGGAAGGGCTGAGCCGCTGCCGTGTAGGGTAACTCCGTGGGGAAGACCTCGTCCCAGTACTGGTCTCGAATGAGCTCCGGGTGTTCGTGGTGCATCTCGTCGACGATCAGGTAGCTCACCTGCAACCGACCTTGGTAAAGACACCCAGAAGACGATTCGCTCCCAGAAAATGGGACGGAAAATGGAATTCTCGCTACTTGTAGGTTCCTGTCGATGATCCAGTTGACCTCGAAGTCGTCGTCATCCTCGCCGAAGGGGTTGATCAGGGTCTCGGCGACCTTCAGCCAGCCCATGTAGAAAAAGAACTGCAGAGTGGTGAAGACCGGAAAGTAGAGGTCGATCTTCGAGGTGGACGAGTTCTGGACCCACTGCCTGCCCATTACGCTGGTGAGAAAGTACGTGTACACGGCCAGGGTCACCACCTGGGTGTAGACCAAGGGGACGCTGATCGTATCGTAATGTATCAGACTCCCGCAGAGGCCGCGGAACTTGTTCAGCTCGTCTATCAAGGTCTTCACCGCGAAGTCGTCGCGGATTCGGCCCTCCTTCCTGGCGCGGGTCACGATGCTGGAGGCCCAGACTATCGGCAGCCAATGCTTGCTGGGCTTCGGGAACTTCGAGTTCAGGCTATGGAAGATGATTAGCTCGTTTTCCAGGAGCAGGCCAGCCTCGACGAAGTGGTCCAGCGTGGGGAATCGCTTCTTAACGCGAGGAGACACGTTGGTCAGCACCAAGGTCAGGCAGACGCAGACGTACCTGTTGATGGATCGTCATAAGACACGGTAAGGGATCCGCATCCATGCCGAACGATATTGTTCCGCCTTGAAGGAATTTATTGGCTCGGAATTATTCCAGGGAAACGGAAGAAACGTCACCTCACTATTGTTCGTCGCATCAGCCTTCCTCGTTCGTCGTTGCCGTGGATGGTGGCCGACACGAAAACGGCGATGGAGTCTGGCCAGGGGATCACCATGTATTGGTTCCACCATCTCGTCATGACGATGCTAACGTAGAAGCCCAACACGAAGGACAACGGTATCAGGTCGCTGTACTCGTTACAGTAAGCCACGACAGCCTCGAATATTTTTTTCTGCTCGTCGTTCAACGTCAGCCGATAAACGCCCGACAAGGCGTAGTAGATGAAGAGGAACAGGGCCAAGTCGAGCCACACTAATTTGTATATGCTGGCTCTCCACCTGAAAAAAAAAAAAAAAAAACAGAATGGAGTTGTCGAAACGTGCACTGAGAACGAAAGTCGGTTGACTCAAAAAAATATGCATTGCGACGACAAAGTGCGATCGAGTACGTGCAAAAAAATTTCTAAATAATTGTTTCTTGCAATTGTACACGATTCAGGCATTAATATATCTGTCTCGGTCAACCGATCCTTTTTCTCCGTGTGGGTCTTCAAGGATAACGTCATAGGACGAAACGTGGGCGTTTCGTCCTATGCACTTTATGTGCAAAGAAATTTCTAAATAATTGTTTATTGCAATTGTATACGATTCAGGCATTAATATATCTGTCTCGGTCAACCGATCCTTTTTCTCCGTGTGGGTCTTCAAGGATAACGTCATAGGACGAAACGTGGGTGTTTCGTCCTATGCCCTTTATTCCAGTGTCGTAACATTTACCTCAGCAACAACTTCAGGAAACATCCCAGACCTCGGCAGGTCGCGACTTCGGCCGTGTAGGTCACGGTCATTTCTCTTCCTCTCTCTCTCTAGTCGTCAATCTAAGTCAAAAGACAGGATGCAGAGCGACTGCACGCACCGATTGCTGCGATTCCCTTGAGCCCATTCTCCCTTTGGATACTGGGAGAGTTCTGGGGATAATGTCAATTATTTACACAATAAATTGAATAAAATTACGAAAATAATTACTCGACTCGAGTGAACTTAAAATAAATTATCGCAGTCCCGCATCGAATTAAATCGAGTTGAGGCCTGACTAAATTAACATTTTTTGACCAGCATGCGTTTATGAAAAATCCTTAATGGCCTTTTTTATTTTTGCTCTCTCTTAGGTCTTGTAAACGCTGCTAGTGCACATCTTGAAGGCATTTCCGAGGTGTAATTGCACAAAAGCATTACCAATGGTGCTACCTTTCCGGGGGCAGGGACGAATGGCGATAGTCCAACGTCGAGAGGTGACAAACACCGCGGCTTACATTGTTGTAAAAGTTGAGCTTGCACGGGAACATGATCAACGCCGAGATGCGCTAATCGCTAACTTCTCTCAACTGAAGGATGACCTCGGGAAATTAGCACTCTTGGCACGGCTCGTTCCGTCCATGGGCCTTGAAATTGTTTCATAAATGTTACAACGCGTTCCGCGATACCCTGTAATCATTGAATTATGCGAAAAATTCTCGCGACACATTCCCCGCTCGATATTCCTTTCTCCTCGTGCTCTGCGTTAAAGTTAACTAACGAAATAAGAGGAAACATCGTACATGAGCACGATCCCGAATTACCGATGCTGGGGTGAACAATGCCAAATTAATTGTCACAACCGCGAGTAATTACGCTCCTCGGGAAGCTCGTTGGTTCGTTGATCCCGGTATAGTTGTATAACCATTCACTCTGAATTCCCACAAAATGTCACGCGATCGCTTTGACATACAACCGCAAAGGAAAAACATACAGATCAAAATTACGCCATTAAGGCGTTACCAAAGAGTCACTCTAAATACATCAAACGTCAAAATACTTATAAAACTTTCCTCCAAACTGGGTGCACCGAACAATTTGAAACATTAACCCGCACTTATGAAGGTTCTAATGAACGTCTTGAACCTCATGAGATTTGATTTTCGGAAAAATAAATTTTTTGCCTCTTCTTGTCCGAGGTAAATAAAAAATTTTTTTCATTATTTTTAACATTAATATTTCACGGGTTTTAAGACGTTCATTAGGACCTCCATGATCACCTTGTTAAAGTTGCAAATTAATCGGTGGACTCGGCTTAAAGAACACTTTTTTTATATTTTGACGTTTTGGGGTATATACATGGAATGACCCTTTTGTAACACCTTAAGATCAACGTCGGATGATTATTAGATGAATGAAAGTGTATTAATTCGCCGTTAATATTTTCCAGCCGTGGAAACAGAACCGACGCCAGCTTGAAGTCGGATTACGTCAAAGAGTAATTTCTTCCAATTCGCAGAAAATCACTCCCTCGCTAAAAAAACCAGTTCGTCCGATCAGCCTTGAAGTGGTTCTCCACAATTTTCCCATTGAACGGCACGCAATCAAGGTAAAGTTCCTCCCTCTGACTCAGACCGGAACGAGAGGCGGTTGTTCGCCATCGAGCACGTGGAATGCATATATTTGCACCTTGATTCGCAAGTGACATCAGAGGGGTCAATCGTTCGCGAAACTTTTCTCCGGGAGTACCGAATCGTTAGAATTTCATAAAAAAAAATGTTCAATTAAAAAATTGCCCTTTAAACATTTTTTTTTACAAACCAATTTTAATAACAAAATATATATTTCACGAGTGTTAAGACCTTCTCCGGGACCTCAAAGAATTGCTACTTTCGTGTCGTTTCGAGGAGGTGTACAACTTTTTCATTTCGTCATTCATGTTTCAGGAAAATTTCACTTCCTGATGGCTTAGACCACTCCAAGACGAGGGATTCTTTTCTTAGACGTAGACGGACCTAGAACGATTCGACATGGATTCCTGACCCGACATCACGTGCCTCCACGTTACCCCAGCTTGTTTTGGCATCGAGGAGATGTGGACCTCCACCAGCGGAATCTCTAATCTCGTCGTTGCCTATTCGCGTCTTCGTGACTGTACGCGGGATCACTGCACCAAGTTCTTCATTTTTCCGGCGCCGTCGCGGGCGATCGTTCAATCCGCGTCCCGATTTTCAGTAAAATGATAATCCAAGTCAAAGAGCGGAATTGATAGAGCCGCTCCACATTCGACCGATAAAAGCGTGAACGAGCCGTGACGTGGAATTCCGATGGAATTCTTAGTCAATGAGGGAAAACGATATCAGGAATTACTCTCGATTAGAACGTTTATCCTGAAATCCGCGACGCGCGCGTTTCTAAAGACCGACTTTACGTCCTTTTAAATCGACCCGGCGATTAAGCTCCGAGATATCAAGCGTATCCTAGATGGATTGAATTTTTCTTCGAAGTGCAGTAACGGAGTACCGAGGAAATCGATGCCGACCGTGCCTTCAGCCAGGATCAATGAAAGTAACTGGTACGGAAATGCAACCAGGAACGTTCCGTATCGTTCGAGTCACGCGAGTGCAGCGGCGACAAAGCGAGACAACGCAAGGAGAAAGTGCAAGAGGGATCGATTTCCTAAACTCGGAAAAGCAGATTAAAGAGACCTAAGTGCGCAATTGACCTGGATTCGAATGCATGAAATGACGATGCGTCTCAATTAAATTTCTACCCTCTCGCTCTAAAATTGTACAAAATTGGGTCTTCCGCGATTCGTGGATAATATAACCAATTAAATCGCTACGCGCATCTTCGAAGAACTAATTACCCGAGACGCAGATTTACAAATATCGCTCAGAATACTTAAACAAACTCGGCTCATTTTAGTTTCGCTCTCGATAAAATTGCTAAATAATTCTAAACAATGCCCTGAAAGGCTTTAAAGGCGTATCCTCGTTATCTCGCTCGTCCACCCTCACCGTGTGAAATTGATGGACCATTTACGCAAGTGACGTGGCGTTCAAAAACGTCAAGGTCCGCGGAAATTTGCAGAGACATTAAATTCCCGCCGTAAAGGCCGAGGGAAAATTGCATAACCGAGTGGAGCAATAAGTAACGACAAGGATGGTACAGGACGCGGCGCGAACCGAGATCATTGTACATACTGAGACGTAACAAAAAAAAAAGAGAAATTAATCTTCGACGGAAAAATAGACCGAGGTCTCTCACCGGCTCAAACAAATCGTCATGCGTTTGTTAAGCGATGACGGAATTACCATTCGTGATAACAGGATTTGTCTCGCCGATAAGCGAGATAGCGGAACATGTGCGTAATCGAGACGAAGCATCAGGACTAAAAGGATCCTCGCGATAAGATTAATTAATTAATTGAAAATCGATAAGGCCGATCGCTGTTTATCACGGTCGGATATTTTTGGAAAATCGAAAGGATTACTACAATGAGTCCCAGGGTATTATTTTTACTTGCCCCACGTGTTCAAGCGGCAGGCAAACCGCAAAGCGAAATAAAATCCAATCAAACGCGGCGTATCCTTTACACCGACTTACCCATCGACCGGGTAAACAGGGTACAAGTGGATTCCACTCGATTCACAATGCTCATTCGTCACATATATAACGTCGCGCAATATCAAAGCAGGTGCCAAGAGTCTGCACAGGGAGTGAAACTACAAACTCGGATCATAAATAACACTCGCGATTACAAAACAAACAGCTATCGGACTCATTCACTGGATCCCTTCGACAGTCCGGAGTACACCCCGAGAAAAAAAAAAAAAGTCAATGAACCAAAGAAAGAATTCGTTAATTCAAATAACAATGATTTGCCCGAAACTCGAATAAATCGTCACATGTCCAAAGGACCGTTGCATTGGATTTATTCCAGCTGAGTGAAATATTCGTTGAATTAAAAAAATATTTCTTTGGTTCAATGACATTTCTTCTTTGTCGGTGCAAGTAATCCAAGTTCGCCCTCCTTTTCGCAGGGACCTTCACAGCGACCCAAGGCTCGGGTATACAAGGTCCTCTCTTCAAAAGTAACGAGTCACTGCGTCATGGGGAAGTCGTGGACCGGAAATATTCATTGGCGAAAAGCGACGATTACGAGCGGGTCACGGCATGGAGCGGTGTAAAGGATCGAGGAGGATCTGAAAAAAAAATAAAGCGGTTTACCCAGGGTTTCAGGAAACTGGGGGCCGCGACTCCTGCTTATCACAGTTCCCGATAGCGAAGAGGCCGCATCTCGCCCCGACCTCGCGAGACGACGCGTGAGCACCCCGCAGCGGTCCGCGGCAGACTGAGCCGCTGAGCGCTGTGCGCGAGGTCACGGTTGCAGCATACAAAGTCCGCGCCCCCACCACCTGGCGTACCTGACGGGCGCCGATCGGCTCTTTTGTGTATCTACAGGAAGCCGCTTTGATTTCCTGGGAACTGACCTGTACTCGCGACCGGGTTATCACCGGTTATCACCGGGCCAGACGGAATAATGAACCGGCAACAATTATCTCCGACTGCACTGAGAAAGGAAATGTAGAACCATACAGCACCGAGTGCTTAACGCCAATGTTCGATACTTCAATTTGATAGATATTTACTTTTCAGGGGACTTATCGTGGATCCATGTTTGGCATAAATAACATAAAAATGGTTGCATTACACGGTTTAGAAAAATGTGTCGGAATTTCCTAAAATATAGCGTCGGTTCCAGAACTCCAGCAGTGATTAGTTTCCATTGACTTGGCATTATCTATTTTCAGTTCTTAAGAATAGACATTTTAATACGGTTCTGTATAATATCGAGAGATTTCGATGATAGGGTTGAAGAGATTGATTTGAAGAGGTGCAAAGCGTACCTTGCGGGAAGACGGAACGGAGCGTCGGCGCGACGCCTTTCCTCCGTTTGACATCTGTCACCGTGACAGATGTCACGGTCTCCGTCGTCCGTATTTTAACGACCGAGGCGGGCTCGAAACGAGAGCGGGGTTCGCGATGGCGCCGCTATTGGCATTTGGAACCTCGAAATAGGGATCGAGCGTTGATCAGCTCTCTAACCGAGTTTGCATGCTGAAAGCACGTGAGTCGTCCGCGCTTCGAGCTCGATTAGCAGGTGCGCCGTATATCTTCTCACACACACACAGGTCGCGTCCCTCGAGACGACACTTGTCCGTTTTCGCCGTCTTTTGTCGACCATCCGGTCACGAGAGCACGTGTGCGACAATTCGCAACGAGTTCCGATCTCCCATTGGTACGGAAGAGGCGAAGAAGAGTCACCAGAGCAGAAATCGCGAAACCCAGTCCAGTGCCACCTTGCAGGTTATGTCGAAGCTTCCCTCGCCGTTCCATTCCATTTCAGTCGCGGCGGTCGACGCGACACGTCGGCGTTTCCGTCCGAATCGGAGCGGCTGGTTTGCCTTCTCTCGCCCACGCATACTCCATGGTTACAGGTCGAGCCGCAAGCCCTCGTCCACCTGTGCGGCGCCTCACGATGCGCGCGCATCGAGTGAGCGCACCGAACCTCCGAGAGACCGTGCGTTGCGCCCGCATAAGAGCGTCCTTGTCGCTCTCGTTGGGGAAATAAGAGCGAGCGAGAGACCATGGTCTCTCGCAAGTGGAATGGCTGTGACGAATGTGGCAGCCTCTCGGCGAAGACCCCCTTCTCGGCTGGGTGGCCACCTTGCACCGTGCCGCTCCGTCGCAGTCCCATCCAGTTCCATCGTCGTTCCTTCTGGGTGGATCTGGCCTAACGGTGTCGAGTAGCGGTCGGTATCCGTTGGCAAAGATCGAGCCATCTGGTTTTGACGTTATCTCCGATCGCCGGCTGGGACGAGCCGTTGGACGGTACCGGATTAGAAAGAATCGATCTTTAACTGCGCCGCTATGGATGAAGAGTACGACGCGATCGTGCTTGGCACTGGGCTCAAGGAGTGCATCCTGTCCGGTTTACTTTCGGTCAGCGGCAAGCGGGTCCTGCATATAGATCGCAACAAGTACTACGGTGGAGAGTCCGCCTCGATAACGCCTCTGGAGGAGCTCTTTAGGTACGCTCGCCGTTGTCCTCTCGTCTTTAAATTTCATTCTATATACTTTACGTGATATCCTATTTCCCCTTTGCTTCGCATCCGTCGACGTCGAAACTCGCTTCCGGGGACGCAATCGGTGCTTCCGTGTCAGGCGGCACCATCCACGGGGAAATTAAACCAGAATGTTACTTTCGCTCCCAAACGTGATAACGATTATTTACTGCAATTTGCTAGATAAGGCTGAAATGCGTTATCTAGTTGCCTTTATTATTATACCTTGACTATCGATACTTCACGATACGATGTGCATGAACTTTATCGAGTGAAAAAGTGGAATGGATCGGTATTCGACTGGAATTTTGTTATGGTATAATTTTTTTTAATGAGAATATTTGTTTATGCAGTAAATTCAAGGCACCTCCACCGGACCAAAGTTATGGACGCGGACGCGACTGGAACGTGGATTTGATTCCAAAATTCCTGATGGCCAATGGATTGTTGGTCAAATTATTGATCCACACGGGGGTTACCAGATACGTCGAATTTAAGAATATCGAAGGATCTTACGTGTACAAGACCGGCAAGATCTCCAAGGTACCGATCGATCAGCAGGAGGCGCTGTCCAGCGACTTGATGGGCCTTTTTGAGAAGCGACGCTTTCGTAACTTCCTCATATGGGTCCAGAATCTACAGGAAGACGTTCCTACGACTTGGGACGGTTTCGACCCGTTTAATAGAAGTATGGCTGATCTGTATGAGAAATTTAGGTTAGAGAAGAATACGCAAGACTTTACTGGTCATGCTCTTGCCCTATATAGGTAAATACAAAGGAACACGGGTCCATAATTGAAAATTAATTTTTACAAGGCACGTATTCGGTTTAATCCTGCCTTTGATTGCAATTTTCAGAGATGACGATTATATTATGCAAAACGCTATAACTACTATACGGCGTATTAAGCTGTACAGCGATAGTTTAGCGCGTTATGGTAAATCGCCGTACCTGTATCCCATGTATGGACTGGGAGAACTTCCTCAAGGTTTCGCACGACTCAGTGCCATCTATGGAGGCACCTATATGTTAGACAAGCCTATCGATGAAATAGTTATAAAGGATGGAAAGGTAGTTTGACCCTATCCTCGTTCGACATAACGTTATAAAATGAAATATCACACCCATAAAAATGCCTTTACACAGGTCGTCGGTGTTCGCTCGGGAGACGAAACTGCATCGTGCAAACAAGTATTCTGTGATCCTACGTACGTACCCGACAGGGTAAAGAAAGTTGGCCAAGTGATCCGTTGCATTTGCTTACTGAACCATCCCATCAATGGCACGAACAATGCCCTCTCGACGCAAATCATCATTCCTCAGAAACAGGTACGGCTCGTGATCTTTTCGTGCCTAAACCGTTTAAGAAATTACCACGCTAATATTAAAATCACCCTTCTCCTTTTCCAAACTAAAGGTGAATCGCCACTCCGACATCTACGTGTCTCTGGTGTCGCACACTCATCAGGTAGCATCGAAGGGCTGGTTCATAGCGATGGTGTCAACCACCGTGGAGACCGACAATCCAGAACTGGAGATCAAGCCAGGCCTCGACTTGCTCGCGCCCATAAAGCAGAAATTCGTTTACGTTTCGGATTATATGGAGCCAGTGGACGATGGCTCCGAGAGCCAGATCTTCGTCTCGACGAGCTACGACGCGACCACGCACTTCGAAACCACCTGCCTAGACGTGCTGGACATATTCAAGCGAGCTACCGGCGAGGAGTTCGACTTCAAGAAAATGAAGCACGAGCTGGGCGACGAGGATCAGTAACTGTGAATATGCAAAGATTCCTGGCTACGTAAAACGTGTAATTAATGCCGCGTGCATCGGTCGCGAGTGCACTCTCCGAAGGGGCGGCATGTCTTGGGATTCCTCGTCGAGGAATCGTCTTGGTTCAGAATCACGCCGGAACATGACACGATAACGACAGAGAAGTACTACAAGGAACGTTGCGGAACGCTGAGCCGCTGCATATCGACTCCAGGGCTACGCTACACCATGCTACACCTTCCTTTGCATATCTTATCGAGTCACGCGCCTCGGAATTCATAAAACGGTGGCTCTACATTTTCCTTCCCGATTCACATTTCCAAATAGGAAGCTGTGAGCCTCCCTTTCCCGTCAGTGAATATAAAGAAAAGAGGAATAATCCAAGTCGCGTTCTCGTAGTTCTCGGCGAATCTTGAGAAAATCGGGACTTTCCTTGCCGCCTCGGAATTTCATGAATAATGAACGCCTCCGTGAACGCAACTTTCATTCCCGCGCAGGAAATTCCGAGTTTCCGTTCTACAATCGACATTGTCGAATGTTTTAGGCGCGAAGGAATTTCGAATCGATCCCTTGATTCCGCAGGGCGGAGTCGTTCGCGTTTCGGAGGTTATAAACTATTACAAATAAGTGTACCGCATTTTTCGATTTAGAGGTTATGATCAAAGTAGTGGGGAAAAAAAAGAGTCCGTTCGCGCTTCTCTCTAGCATGAGTGTCCGAGTCTTTTCCATAGTCGTTAAATAAATGGATCCCGTGCAACAACGAGATTCCAGTGCCCCTCGGAATAACAATTACTATTGTTTCTCCCGCGAAATAGCACCGTGGTCCTGTAACGTGAGGTAAAATAACTACTATTTAACTGTCCCTGATAATTGTCGACTTCGTTCACGTGAACAAATTTATCCGCCTCTATGTGCATTTCTGCTTTCTCCTAGTAAGTTATGGTTTCCTGAAATGAACATTTTTTTTAACCGTGCAACTGCATCGCCAATGTCTACTTCCTTCGGTAGGAAATTAATGGAATTCCCTTTCTTTGCAAAACGATTCGTCGCAACGAAGAAAGATAGCTTTTAAAGGCGCTTCGAAGCCAGGACCTTAAAAAGATCCTAGAATTAGTAAGTGCTTCCTCTCCGGATGCAATTCTGTCCCTTCGATCAAAAACATATATACAGCGCATGCGCACTGTAAATAATTCCAAATGGAATTTCTTCTGGAGCGTTGCGAAAGGCTCGTACTACTATATTTTGTGCAATTTGTAGCGTCTTTGCATTTAATTCCTTCTTGGAGACATATTGAATATATTTTCTACCATAAAAACGCTACCAACGTGAAACACATCAGCGAATGTTTGGATTCGTAGGAAATATGTGTATCCGTAACTAGACAAACTAGTAAAGAATCGGTTAGCTGTTAAAAAAGAAGACAGATGATCCGACAGCATAACCAGTTCTATTATACATCATCGATGTCGTATTATTACAACAAAAAACGTGGAATTAAAAACAATGAAAGCTAACTGCGTGTGACTATCCTCTCGAAGCATAATTTTGGAACTCGAGCCAGCCTTGATTCGTCTGAATTGATTTTCCGAGGAGTTAATTGAACAACGAGATATCTAAAATAAAAAAAAAAACGCGCATAAGTGTAGCATGTATATATGTAAGTAGGTACATGAAAATAATGGCTGTACGTGGGACGTTCCGTCGTCTAAGCCCTGGAAAAAGTACCCTTACAGACCTGACGGAATGACCGATAGCGAGTCTCAAAAGGCGAAGAATTTCACGTATACCATTGACAGCGAATCGATTCAAAGTTAAGAAGAATCGCGAGAACATTTTTAGCGTACCCTTCAGCGACATAGCGAGGTTAAGTTTCGACGGTATCAGATATATCGGTGCATTTACCCTAGAGATATTCCATTACCGCAGACGAGTAGGATTAGTTGTATCATACAATTGCGCCAGCTAAAGCAAGGCAGACGGGAAATTCGAGCGATTGTATATCATTTTTTTTTCACGCGATTACTCTCTCTTATTGTGTCAAAGCGAGGAATTCGTGATAAAAAAAATTGATTCGGCACAGCATAGGAAAGGGGGGGAAAAATAAGCGGCAAATGGGAAAATCATCACGAGGGAAAAAACATGTCTATCATAAACGCACTGTCGAGAACTACTCGAATTTTATGTAACAAGAGATTGCATGGAATAAACGGTATGGCACTGAAGCGATTCCACTTTTCGTCACCTGTGATTACCTGCACGACTTATATCTGGATATATCCGGAGATTAAACCTCGAGATCGAAGAAAACTACGGTGCAGTCACCCCACGAATTTTTGTACATCTGAAATCTATTTATTTATACATCGCTCATATACAAATATCGACTGCCTACGAAGCATCACACCTCTGGTTGAGCAGGGTCCAACCACAGGCAGCTGTACCTGCAGACTATCCATTAATATTTCAAATCAAATCTGTTGGGCAACGAAAATCTTCCATATTCTCATCAAGAGTAAAACTAAGGGAAAAAAAAAAAAAAAGTGAAAACGAAAGACCGCGACGCAGAATTTCAATCGTGGACTGGAACATAGATGAACCCTACGCCCTATGACTATGATTAAGGTACATAGTTGTAACAAGATCTTGAAAATGCAGCGAATTCCACCTTACGATCTAATTAGACTGACTTTACACATCTCTTTCTCCCTCCGAGGAAAGACCTTTGAAACTAAGCATCACCTAGCCAACGAACTCTCCGACTCGGTGTGCACCTTTAGCGAATGCCGTGATCCGCTTACGCAATTAGTAAAATAAAAATACCCTGGAGTACTCTTTGCTTTCCATCCTCTCCGTGAAGGTTTGCTCATCCTACCGTGGAAACTGGTACCCACCGGTGGCATAGCCAAGACCCACACCTCGCTGAGTATGGGTGGTAGCACGTGCCACTTCGTATTGCTGCTCCATGTTGCTGAACATCTCTTCCTGTTTCTTCAGGATGTCTGGCTTTGCTCCAGGCGTAGCCACCGCCGGTAGATCGCCCTTAATGCCCATCAATCGCTTAAACTTGGCAGTTACTTTGCCATCCTGGTCGTGGGTGAACGTTGTCCCCACCCAAGTGTTCACATTCGATGCTGCCGCAGAGGTGCCTTTACTTTCCTCTGGTTTTGACTGCGTACCAAAAAAGAAAATTATGTTTTAAATGATTTAAACAGTTTCAAATTGAGAGTGGATATAAATATTTGATAAATAAACTAAATATAATAAATGTCTAACCTTATTAGCCCACAGGAGCTTCCTCTTCTGTATCTGCTCGGCATACTTCCCCTGGGTCGCCGTAGCCAGAGGATTGTAGTAATGCTGTTCGGTGACATTTGGTGTGTTGGATTCACCTTCCGGAGCTTTCAGCTCGATTCCCAGCTTCTCCAGCTGTGCCAATTTGCTGCGCCCCTTTTCGTCCCTATAGCTCAGCGGTCTGGCAGGAATTGGAGCACGATCCCTGGATTTGGATCTGGAACGCGGTCGATCCTTGTCCTTGTAATGATTCGACCTGTCATCTCGATGGTGATCTCTCGACCTGTCATCTCTGGATCGGCGCCGGTCTCTCTCTCTCTCCCTTCGCCTCTCCCTTTCGCTGCGGTCCCTTCTGTCCTCTCGATAGCGATGGTCCTTCTCACTTTTCTCCTTGTCTTCGTGCTTCTCTTCCCTGGAGGAGCCCAAAGAGATTCTGTCCCGTCGTCTCTCCTCGTCTCGAGATCTCCTGTCATCGTCTCGAGGCTTCCTTTCGTCGTCTCTTGAGCGTTTAGATGATTCTTTGCCATCTTTGTGTTCGCTGTCTCTGTGCTTTCTATCTTCATGTGGAGAACGTCTACTTCTGTCGGTGGAATGTTTGCTTTTCTCCTGTTTTTCGCTGCGTTTGGGCTCATCTCGTGCACCGGATGCGTGACTCTCGTGATCCGTTCGCCTGTAAAATGGATTACGTTCTGCAGGGGTACACCACACAGATTCGTATTATTATTTGGCTCACATTAAGTGTGACGAGTGAAGTCTGATTTATGTGGAAGTTAGTGATTATGCTGCCGCTGAAGAGTTAGGATCAAACTAAATGTCACTAACACCAGTTTTATAGATTTAATGAATAGCTTAACTAATATATTTGATTTTTCTACATGTCGGAATGTAATAACATAATGATATTCGAACTTCTTTGGCACGGATCTGGTATCGATGAAGCGGCTTACCTGTGATTTGAGGGAGAGCGATTGCTTCGAGACGAACTCGTTTTTGGCAGAGAGGCACGGGCCGTTACTGGACTGCTGGCACGGTCACTGCCGGAATCTCCCGACGAGTTGTTGTTGTTGCTCTCCTAAAGAAATAAAAATGAACAAAATTAGCAACACGGAACAGGGATTAAAAATTCAATTTGGGAATCTTCCTGAACCCAAGTCGATAAGTCCTAGTTAAAACCTACGGTTGGACCTACGAATCTGTCTTGACTTTCCATGTAATTGGAGCGTCTCGATTTGAAACTTCTCATTTCATATACAATTCCACCTACTCCATATGGCCACACCAAATTTATCAAAGAATTGTTTCTCGCTTTGTATTTTTTTTAATCCTTTTAATCGGTCTTAATATTTTACAAGATTTATAATGGATGAAACCCATGGTATAGTAAATACAGTATCAACGACAGGATTAATACTCAATAGGAATGTTAAAAACAAATCAGCCTTACACCATCATTACAGTACTAGAGTCTTTATCTGCTTCAAGAATAGTAAGGATCGTTACAAACGTTTTAACACTTTTCGTACTGTCGATGTTTTCGATTTGTTCATGTTTGGTTAATGTTACCTTCTGCTGGTTTCCTCTACTCACCTATGTCTTCGGTTTAGGACTTGGGATAGTCTTGAAAGACCCTCACACAGCATAGACCTTGCCGAGGTGCGTAGATATTGTATCATGTATTACCAACAGAGCTACGTGTTAATATTTTCTCACGAAATGGCACTAGTGCCATTTACTTATCATTTAATATTTTTAAAGTACGGCTTTTCTACCCTGCTCGGCACTGCCAGTCAAAAATGTTTTAAGATCACATCTTGAAATGTTTTACATTACCACGCAAAACCTCCATATCATTTAATGTTCTTAAATAGCAATGACACAATAAAACTATATATATAATGGTAACAACAAAGAAATGTATCTTTTGAAATGATTTCTTTAAAAGTTTCAAAGATTAATCTTACATCGCTCATGGGATAAAATCTTATCGATACATTTCAAGACATGACCTCGTCAAATCTTTAGGCACCAGCTTAGAGGACCTGTCTATGACACCCGCATGGACTCCAAAGACAAAGTATAGTCGCCGTCTCTTTAGCATATCGATTCTTAATTTTTAATTAAAAAAAAAAAATATTTTGTGCATTCTCTCGTGTATACCTCACTCATGTCCATTTGTACAGGATCATAATTGGCGTCGCTAGCTCTTCTGTTAGAAATCGCACCAATTCTTCCATACGAAGTCTAGAATATGAAATACAAACGATTTTACTTTGCAGTTCATCCATTAAACAGCCACGTATCACTTCTACAATGAATGTTTAATGTTGAAATGAAACCTGCACCTCGAGAGGAGACTCAAACTACATACTTTTGTTTTCCAAACATCCATTATTTGATTTCGTCAGAAAACAGCCAGGGCACTCGACGCGTACAAACTTCTTCCAGTCCTAACTCAGTTTACGTTTAATACTCTAGCATCATTCTCGACCAAGATAATCGAATAAGACAAATATGAATGATGTAAATTAAATCTTTTTTAAAATCCATGTACGTCGAACATGAGTACTCTCCAAAGTACCTACAAAAGACATCCTCAATGTTACTTCCGAAGCATACTCTTGCACCGTAATACGTTAATTTTACCAGTGAACTAATGAATGATGGTCACGTACATACAATTTAGCACAGAACTTACGACCGGACGTGTATAGTGTACACACTGCCTCTAGTTCCTAACCCAGCATTTAACGAGCCTCGATCTACAAGGTGCATGAATGTGTGACCAATCGATATCCGATCAGTTCAACAAAACTTCGATACCTCTTTCGTGATTAATTACCTTCGTGTCCTCGGAATTGTTGCTGTTCTCGCCGTCGCTCGCGTAATTCGCCAAGGAATCCATTATGGCGTCGAAACGGTTGAGGAGAGCACAAAGATCAGTAAAGAACGACCTCACTTAACACGTCGCTGCGCCATTGACCGCCATCTTGTACCGCAGCTGCGCACGCAGCGAGCGTCTGCTCCGCGAACCTATCGATATCGTGTCTTTCGATAGGACTCGATTCTCCCACCCTCGAACCTGATTTAAAAATCAAGTGCATACCGAGTTTGCTGTAACAAAGAAAACATATTGTTGTAAACAAAATCTCGCATAAATAAATATCAAGACGGGTCATTAGCAGACCGAGGTGTCGTCACGAGTATTTATTTGTTAACATCGTTGTTGAAATACAATTAAAGTTCACAAAATGGCTCGTCTTCTCGGGATGCATAAATTTCTTAACTTAAGATTAAGTTAACTTGTTGAAAACAAACATTCCAATTCAAGTAAGTCTTGAATATACAGGTAGAAAAGATTACCCGTGGGTAAGGTTTAATAGCCAACTTATTCATTGGAACGAGCAATCGCGTACTTGACCTTTTGTCAATTTTAAGCAGTGCCGTGGAAGTGACCGAACCAATTGGATTTGTTACAATTCCAGCTCTAGGTAATTGCACGTAACCGAGATCTCTTACTTCGTTGTCTTGTAAGGAATATCCCTGACTAAGGAAAAGGAATGTAGTTTCACCTGGCCAGCTTACCACACGTGTACTTTGTTATCATAGAATAGGTGTATCAGACTCCGAGGGGTAAAGTGGATGGTTTGATTAAATAAATAAGAATTAATTATATTATATTACTACTTGTATGTATACAATATATGAAGAATGAAGGCATTGGTTTCATGAAATATTTATGTAAAAGTAGAAAAAAATACCACTTCACTCGAGATCTGCTTCACCCTATTTAATGGTAAATGTAAAAAAGACTATACCGTGTAAATATAATCGACAGCGATGCACCGTTAGATTAATACTTCCGCTACAATATATTTCAAATCTTTCTGCACAGTTCAATAAAATTGACTCATGTACAGAACGCCGTAAGAAGTATATAACTTCTGAAATATACATAAAAATTGACATAGGTTTCCCAGCAGTCCGTTATTACCGAATTATTTATAATTCTCGCATTTTTCTTTGAATTCATTCTTGCCTAGATTTATTAAACTCTCGCGGCAACGCATTTCAATAACCTTTTCATTCTTGAAATATTGTTTTACTCGCACTAAATGCAACAATCTCTAGAAATACACAGTGTGATGTTGAACAAGCATTTACACACGCACTCACTCGGTGTCTCATGTCTCACTTAAAATGTGTTAATGATATTCGCATAAGTATAAACAAAATAAGTTAAGTTCAAACATGATCTCGAATACGAATTCATTAAATTTGTATGCTTCCCAGGTTAAGTCTACCAAAAATTGACTGCGGAAAGGTGTATTTTAAGTTAGTTGGATACCATTCATTCTTAAAAAAAATTCAGGCAGTGTAGAGAGACCTACATTATATAGATGTATGCTACACGGCACAATTATCATACAACAGGTATACACGAGATGCGTTGATTCGCGTAGGACATTTTGTATACACTTAATATCTCCATAGAGTCTCGAAATTTATAAGCAAACTCCATCCTTAATCCACTCGCTGCATACTCTGAATTACATATATTATTCTCATATATCAGTACATACACAGTATGTCCTTACCCTCTGTAATATAAAGTCGCTTTTAAATCTCATAAAACTCCGTCGTTGGTCGATTTCTTAGGTGCTAAAAATTTTCCTTCCATATTTCCATGAAATATCGATTTTCCAGTTTTCCCTTATCATGCAATAGTGCAGATAACGAGGTTACATTAAAAAGAAAATGATCTCCCAACAAGAGCTTAAGCTACGATATTATTTCCTTACACATCTTTATATTAAATTCTATATAACTACCTCTTGTATATATATATATCTGTTTTGTCTTGTAATGAAACTCTTTTCAATCACAGTAAAGCACCAAAGCAATGCTTTAGTTAACTAGCGACTTTTAAACTCCATGTATAATAACGGATAGGATGAAAATTGCTAGCAATCGAACGTTATAAATAAGAATATAATACTCGAAATATATGTACGAGCCTTGGTTGCTCGACGTCACTCTCTCCATCGAATGCAAAAGTGTCAAAATATTTCGTAGCAAAACAGACAGAAGACAAGCAGAATTGCTCAAGTAATTTTCATGACCAACTTAAATTTAACGTGCTAATTAAATTAGATTTAATTTAATATCATGATTTTTTTTTTTGTTCACAGTCTCGCATATTCTCCGTTGGTTTTTAAGAGGAAATGTTAAACAAAGCATCCGTACGATTTTGGTATGACCTCCACGGCAAGTAACTGCCGCATCTCTTAATCGCTGAAAATGTTATAAAAAAAAAAAAATGTAATATTAAACAAAACCGCGCGAGAAACGGATCGAATAAATTTCGAATAAAGCCCATCGTGCTTTCGTGCAGATCATTCGGCGCCAATTCGAAACCCATTGCTCCGATTTTCACGCAATACCAATTTACACCATTACAGGTAAAGTTCTCGACGAAACTTAAAATCATACGTACTAGAATTCGTTCCTGATGTCACCATTTCGATTCAGTACCGAAACTGTCCTTTCCTACCCATACCATTATGATAGACTCTCAATGGGGTATAATTGCCGTTTCCGTTCATCGCTGAAAACACCGTACAAAGGAAAAAATTAAAACAAAGTCACGTGCCAATCCTTGGAACAAAAATTAAATTTCGCGATCGAATCAGCTCAGTCTTCTGCATAATCCCGACATTTTCTTTTTTCGTGCCTTAAAAGTACTCTTTGAACACTATCCAAATATCCAGTACTGCTGGAAAATCATTACAATCACCGAAAAAAAAAAAGGAATGAAGCATCGAGGTTTCTATACTCCCCAAAAGACATGTTCACTTACTCAGCTCGTAATCTTGTATCGCAGCTTGCAAAAGAAGGGCAGAAATTACTCGTTAGACTAAAAAAAAAAAAAAGCGGTAATGATCTTTACTTTCCAGTTACCTTGCACTATGGTGGGAGGTTGTCGCGGTCCATGAGAGGTTTGAGCATGACACCTCGGTTTCAGCAAACCATGGTACAAAATGAAGTAGAGGATCGCAACAATGGCAGCAGCCGCCGCCATGCAGCGGTAGACAAATCGTAAAGAGTCCACGGGGTTTGTGCCGTCGACGACCACGTAAGCACCGATGGCGGCTCCTATGGATCTACCTGAAATTCCCATGAAATTTTTCAGCACGAACAACCGGGAGCCACGTCGGTCCATCGTCGGGAAACACGCGAGGACTACGCTCTACCATCCCGAAGAGAAATTGAGAAAGGGCTAAGAATAGAATGATGCCAAGAAAGGTCACCACGCCCACCCACCATGCTTACGCGATTGTACTACATTCTGTCGATTTCAAAATGCTCTTCAAGGTGAATTTCTCTTCTATCCCTAAGTCTTACCGACGCAGAAGTGCGCGATCACTGGCAAGGCCTGGGCGGTGACGGTCAAATGTCGAGGTACGAGATGCCTTAGGTACAGGATGGCCGTGACCCACATGACGCCTAGAGTGAAAAGTTCCAGGGCCTCGAAGATGAGAGCCCACCAGGGATCCGGGACGAGACTTAACCCGGTGAATCTAGAGAACAGGGTACATATACTCTCCTCCAGAGCTAGGAAAAATTCACGAGTTCTTCGGGTACCCACCGGACGATATAAATGGTGAAGGCGGTGATGAGGAGATTACTGTGACCGCAGTAGTCGACGAGGTGCTCCGACTTCCAGAGGAACAGAACCGCGGGTAGCGCACCTATCGTCAGGGTCAGGCCGATGGAGAGTTCGTCGCCTTTGAGGTTTGCAAGGTGGCTGCAAGAGTAAAGTATGAGTTGAGTTACCGAGAAAGAATAGGGAAGAGGTCGAAGAACGTGACGATTGGTTCTTACAGCGGCAGGTAGCTGTCCATCACGCTCCAAAATATCCCCAGGACGACGAGGATGAACACCAGAGCCGCAGTCTCGGTGCCGTATCTCTTGACGGCGCTCATCGGCAGGGCCAACATCCCGCTTCGGGTGTGCCACCACCACTCCGGCGGAGTAAGCGGCATGTCGCTGGCACAGAGGACGATGATGCTCGCGAGTATCATTAATCCCGCGAATAAGCATATCGGGATCAAGAATGCAGGTTTCGCGGGGCCGAACGAGGTCAGGTACCCGGACAGAGGTCCAAAAATGGCGAACCCAAGGGACCCAAAGGCCAGCTGACGACCTACGTCCCCGCGTCCACAGGACGTCTCCCTCGTCGCTATCACTATCGCCGCGTTCAACAAAGCCACACCCGCGGTGGGAAATACGTCACCCACGGAGCGGATCGTCAAGTACATCCAGAACGTCACTTCGGGGTTGCCGATCACTTGTCGGCACTGACTCTCCGACAGGACGCTTCCTGAAGAGGAAGAAAATTCGGATCGACCTTAAAAAGGGCTGCATTCATATTTTCTAAAAAACGCTTCTCGTTTCAAATGAACGCCGGTATACCTTGAAGAGTGTAAGGGTCGACCAGGTCGCACTCGACGGTGCAGCTCTGATTGAACTCGGCCATCGTCGAGACAAGCTCGCCGGGAATGCGGCAATTGAAGTACTCTCCCACGGGATACTGGCACCATTGTTTAAAGTCGTCGTTATTAACAGCCTGCTTCAGACTCGCGTTTATCGAGAAATTCTCCGAAAATTCCGTGTAGACGTGACAAGCCGCGTTTCCGGAAGCGTCCTTGAAGCAGAGATGAGGCGGTTCACTTTCGGCGATGACGTAGCGCGGCTCTCTTCTGCGAATCCGTGATTCCTTGTCCTGAAAAAAAAATATATATATGTAAGAAATGAGATCAGGCCGATTCTTTCCGCCGTTTCGTCGGAATGATATCCCGTAAAATGTTTCTGGAGAAACCGATGCATCCGAGGATGGTACAGATCGAAGCTGACCTCCAGAGGATTGACGACGGTGTCTCCGCTGCCTTCCGGCAGATCGAGGTAATCGGTGGTGTCGAGGGTCGACTCTCCAGGGGTCACCAGGTCGTCCTCCAGGACGACGAAGGGCGTCTTCCTGGGGACGATGGACTTGCACGTGTACTTGCAATCCTCCAGGAGAATCGGACCAGGACGTTCCTCCGACCAGCGGTGGCAGGCTTTCGTGTCCCTGCACCTTTCCTGATGAATCCTGGCGCCGTCACGGTCGCAAGAGAATTTCACCGAGGGTCTTCTCTCCTGGGGAAGGTCTATCCTGTTCACCACAGGGACCAGAAGCAGCAGAGCATAGATAGCCGCGGACAATATGCAGGTAATGGCGATCATGATCCTCAGGTAGCGGCCGTTCGACGGTCCATCTTCGGAGCCCTGGCGACCTGCGAGTTTATCAGCGATCGGACCCGCTATCAGCGGACCCAGGATAGCGACCGCGCCGGAGATGATGGACACCAGCCTGATTTCGTCCATGGTCAAGCCGGTCGCCACCATGTGCAGGGGCAGAAGTGGGAAGAGGCATCCCAAACCTGGAATTAATCATCGAGCATGGGATCATCGGGTTCCGGGTACGTTCCCATACAGAGAGATATCAGAAAATAATGTATACGCGTTATAAAATAACTTGACACCTTTTCCATTATTCCTAGACCGAGACCGTATGCGTGGAGGGCCGACTTAACGAGAGTACACGGTTCCGGGAAAGGTGTACATAGTACACGGGACGCTTTTAATTTTAAGCAATTAGGGTGATGGAAGTAGCGGCCGGTACACCTCGGGATTTCTTTTCCACGGTAACGCTGTTTGCGCCCGGAATGGAAGAGACGTCTCGGTGGCTCACCGCTGAAGAAGACGAAGAGGAGACACTTCAGGGATATCAAGTTAGGGTTGACGAGCTGTTTCCTCTTCCTCGGTTCCATGCTGTCGGTCGCCGTCATCGTGGACTCTCTTCGTCCCTCCTTTCGCTTCTCGACCTCGATACCGTGGTATCGTCTCGGCGACGCCTCGACGACCTCGCCGTGGAATTACGTTAATGCGACGAATTCAGACGATTACGCTCCGCTCAACGAAGACCGCTCACGTACACCCTCCCGCCGTCCATGCTCCCGACTCTCCAGGCTGAAGAAAAAAAGAAAGAAGGTTCCTTGAAGACGCAAGTACCACAGCCGTGGAACGTCGCCCTGCACTTCGGGAACCAGGAAAAGCGTCCTCCCGGCGCACCGGGAATAATGAAATCCACATTTAAAAGGTCCACGTGATCGATAAGGACGCGTATAAAATATTCCCGGAACCCTGTCGAAAGATCTCCGATGTGGATCACCTTGACCCGATTCCCCATCGGAGTCGTTTGCGTCCCTGGACGTGGAAGCGGCGATTGATTCGATCCTCACCTGCGAGTGCGGACGATTTCTTCATCATTCCCGTTCCGCTCGGCGATTATACGCGGAATGTCTTTTGTGAAGCCGGAATATAGGCGCGTACCGATGCCTAAGAGCGTATTCGTTACCTTAACGATCGTTCTATTCGCGAAGGTGAGCCAACGTCGAGCCTCACCGCCATGTTTATACCACCAGGCCGTATACATTAACTCGAGTCAGAGGTATGGAAACCTGGACCCGTCGTCATCGCGCTCTCTCGGAAAAGACGATTCCGTTAAATGCATCTACTCTCGGCCAAGTCCGATGATCAAGTGGACCACTAAACGGCAATTGTGCCGGAGCTATCGCTAACGTTTACTCGAGTTAACCGTGTAGATGTAGAAAGGGTCGTTATATTTTTACGGTGCATATAACGAGCCGTTAACCGCGGCTGTCAATTACACGGTGTCAGGTAATCAACGAGTGCCGTTAGTTGAATGCCTCCCGCGATCCCGGGTACAGTTTGGATGCCGGAGAGAGGAACAAAAAAAAAAAATGCGGATCGGTGTTGAAACTCGTCAAGGTTGCACGCACCGGACGCATCGACGTGTGTCCAAACGCGGAGATTAAATTGCATTTACGGCTGAATAATGTCCCGGGGTGGATGCAATAACGAAGAGTGAATTAATTAGGGAAACGTTTCAGGTATCGCGGCCGCCGGAGGAGCTTTCAAGGCGCAGGTGAGACTCAACATCGAGGATGGAATCGCTTTCCCACCCTGAAGAGGACGGGACTTCGCCTCGTCGAGGGAAAATGTAAGCACTCGATAACGAGCACCGACTAACCGAGTTAACGCGAGGTCATGGAAGCCTCGTGGATTTTTGTTTACGCATGTGCATGCAACAAGCCCCGGGAACGGGTTACGAGGTCGACTCCTCGGGGCCGGTCTTCCCTACTGCGAGCGGTCCAGGTTACGTCAGGAAAGACCAGGCTGCACGTTACGTCAGTGTCGTTTTTCGGGTACGATTGAATCGCTAAAAATATTCCGCTGATCTCCGCCGCGTTTTATTCCCCCGAGTTCGTCCCTCGCGGTTTAGAGCAGGAGTTATTCTAAATCATGATTTCTTTTAAAAAGTCAGAGATCCCGGACTACTTTTAAATCGGGATTTTTTAAATATATGAATTATTTAAGAAACTCCCCGTTTAAAGGATCAGGGTAAATCGATGTTACTCGAAGATCGGGATTTTTCAAAAGTATAAATAAGTTGATTTTAATCGCGATTTTAACCGAACGATTTAAATTGGCTCGACTCTGGTTGAGAGACATTTCGACGATGCACTCTCGAGGGAGAATTCCTTTTTTCCTCCTCCCGACGGAAACTCGACGAGCCTGCATTAGTGCGGAAAATCAAATAAGTTGAAAGAAAAGTTCTCTCCCACGGGCACCCCAGGGCGCGAAACGCGGACAAACTCCTCGACATCTCGGAATCGGATTTCTTCCTCGCAGCGGGATATATTCCCCGCGTCTAGAGGCTTCTTTTTATATGTACCCGATAGAATTCTCGCATTCGCCATGCCCCCTGATTTCCCATGACGCGCCGCGACGTTTATTTTCGATGAAAATGAAAACGCTCTTCGGAGCCGCAACGGGAAATCGCAGCTTCCCACGAAACACAGAGACTCGGGTCCAGCCGTTCTTAATCGCGATTTTCGGAAGGATAGGGTAAGAACGCAGACCGCAAATACTGGGCATTCTATATTAGCGAGTTACGGTAGCGCAGTTTCATTGAAAAAGTTCCCTGTCTCGAGGATCTCTTTTGGAGATGAATCTCTTCGCCGTGAAGTGGTCTGCGCGTCCTTGCTCCACTGCAGCGCGTCCTTTTCACGGTGCTCCCCCTCGGTTCTGAAACTAGACCTCCGTCAAAGGAAGCATTCTTTTCCCTCCCCCCATCGTGTCCATTCAAGGCTCCCTTTGGACGTTCGAATTCGCCGGCGAGCGCGTCTCGAAGCCGCCCAAGCCGCGACATTACGCCGCCATCTTGTATTTTCGCGTGACCTACTACGCGAGACGCAGCCAAGAAAAACGAAGACGCGAGTCTCGGGGGACTTCCCGGTCTCTCACCTTTCGATCCTCCCGTACAACCGAGGAAACACCGGGATACGAGACCTTCCCCAAAGAGCTCGTTCCGTTTCCTCCCCTTCTTTTCATTCAAGCCTCCCCTAGGACCTTCGAATTCGCCCATGAACGTTCTTCAAAGCCACCTCGGCAAGTTCCCCCTAACCTGACCTACACCGATGAAAATTCCCACATAAAACTGCCGAACCATTTGTTATTTTTATGCCACGATAAATTTCAATAAAATGACATTGTCTCTGTAACATCGCATTCAGCGTCTAAGTTGTGCCCATAATTATGAAAGTGGTCTAAGTCATATATTTTTGGTTTCGAAATTACATAGAATTAATTTCGTTTGAAATAATATGGCGTGAAATAACTGATAAACTCATTTTCTTTTTTAATTTTGACTTAGACCACTTTCATAATTATGGGCACAGTTAAGTTTTAATTTCCAGGGCGGCACAAAAATCCAGAATCGGGGTTTCGCCTCCGAGAAGATCATGCCCCCGACTGCGCGTCTCTTTCCCGCAAGCATGGATCCAACGAGGATTTAACTTTCTTCGGACATCCACTGCTACCATAGGAAGGCTAGAGGATTTTTCAACATCCCATAAATTTTTTTTCCACTTTTAAATCTAAATATCTCGGCCCGACCGGCGCCAAGGGTCTCAACGGCAAATTCGGCGGCGTAGAATACACGAGCAAAGTATTTCGTACCAAGGCCTCGAAGAAGCGACTCGGTTAATGCGGATTTCTCACGCAAAAGGACTTCGTCCTTCGACGAGGCGCATGTTAAAGTCTCGTTTGCGACTCCTCGCTTCCATCCAAGCCTTCCGCTCGCACGTCGGGGCGATTGCCGCGTCACTCGAAGAATTTGGGTTAATGAAACGGGGTTTCGAACGTTCAGAGGGAACTGAAAGTGAAATCGAACGCTCTCGTCGGTCCCCACGTAGGGCGTCTCGCCCCGTTCGCGAACACGTGATGTCCTCATCAGGCCGGTGCCTGGGTTATTACGATTCATTCTATTACGACGATTAGGTCCGGTCACGCATTCGCCCGAGCGAGATGTTTAAACTGGCCCTCAAGAAAACCCGAAATACTCGGGCCGACTGAAAAGTCAATTAGAGTCAACAGTGGTTCGCCGATAAATCGGCTAATAAATTCGCCGAAGAGCTCGAGGCACTCTGGTGGCGTAAATAGTCCCATAAATATAGTCTTCCTCGCGGCGTGGAGGAAACGAGTCCCAAAGGCGAGACGGCGAATAAAGGATTTTTTTTCTTTTTCACATTTTAATTCGTCGCCACCGGTCGATACCGTTTTCCGAGGCGTTCATTATCCTCAGTGCCCTTTGCCGGGTCGTTCTGGATCTACTGGAATCGATCCGTGGAACCTGGTACTTCCACGACGAATCCATATTCGTGCACAGCTTGGCACAAACGGCAGATCTTCCGCAAGACGGAAAAAAAAAAAAGAAGGTCTAGGAAGGCGTATAATCGGTCTAGGCCTTTTCATCCGACAATGCGGTCTGGACGAGGCGGTTTTTCTCCGTTCCTTCAACGAATTCGATCCCGACGTCTTTATTGCGCCTCCTTCCGGCCCCGCTCATACGTTTCGGGCCACTTAATGAAATTCACGGATATCATAATTAATTCCTTGAAAGGGATTGGTTCTGCAGGAAACGTAAAGGCGTCCCAACCCATTAGATTAATTAACGAACGTTAAGATAACGCGGAAGAAAAAGTTTGTTCATTTAACGAAATCATTTTAATTTCATCATTTCCGATAAACGTTTCGATCGAGTGGACCGAATTTTAGTACACTCGGCGAAATTCGTCGAAACAATCTTATTCTATGGTTGAATAAAAAAATGATATCGATTCGATGAAATATTATTCTGCGCGTAAGTTCATTATTTTCGGTGATCGGTATTTTTCGGCCATTTTCAAGAATGGGTCTACGTGTCGCTGGCTATCTCATCCGACGAGGATGAATTCTCTGGGGGAATTCCGGCGAGCGTGACCGAATTCACGCATCGACGCAATCAAAGTACGATCGGTTTAACTGGCGAATTCCATGCGAGCCCGGCTCGATTACTCGATCCCGGATCAGCGGAATTTTCAAGGTGGAAAGAGGAAGAAGAGCAACCTCGCAGCCTTGTTTACCCTCCAAGGCGAGATCAAACAGGTTGGCCCAAGAAGCGATGCCCCGTAAAAAGCCGAAAAGCCCAGAAATGGCGAAACCCTAAGTACTCGCGGATTTCGACCGTCGAGGCATACCTACGACCCCGGGCACTAGAAAGGACGCGCTCGTATACACAACGGCCAAGCCATACGCGGTCGTTAGACGGTGATAACGCATTTAACAATTCCCCTATTCCCCGGTTATAAATTGATTACCTTACCAATGGCCAATAAAGCGATAACTTTCCACCTCGTTCTTTGCCAGGAATGCCCCTCAAATGGCTCCAAATATTGAGCGTCGCTGTACGTGCGCGTTACACACTTTCCGGGACAACGAGGAGTATTAAAGAAAAGAGCCCGGTGCCCCCCTCGAGGTAACGAGTACGAGTTAAAATCCACCAACCTTGGATCTAGATTAACCCTGGCCGGCTTCTTTTAGGGCCGATTGCCCCAATATTGGATTTAAAATCCTTAATCAAGGATTACTTAACGCGGGATTATTACTCACCCGACTTAAGATGGTTCCCAAACAATGGATTGTAATCTTCGGTTAGGTAAGTTTTCGTCGGGGCTGCACGGAGTCCATTAATTTAAGACTAATTTAAGATTAATCACGGATGGGGTAATCGGCTCTTGGGTACGGAGCAGAAAAAGTGGAAAAACCCGCGCGGCCAATCAGGGGCTCCGATTGGTCGGCGATCCCGGCGGACCAATCGGGGTCGAAGGGGAGGCGGGAGGCTACCCTTACCGTGAAGACGCGCCGTGCCGACTGGTCGATCCAACGGAAAGTGGAACCCTAGGGGATCGAAGGCACGGCCGCGACCGGGAAGACTGTCCCAACGTGCACCGGAGGTGCTCGATCGATCGGCAAACCACTCGACGTCGGTCCGCTGGATCGGGACTCGCGGAAGGGAGCTCGGGCGAGCGCGAGGGACGCAGCCGCGTTCACCTGGCCACGGTCGACGAACGACTGTTGCGCGTCCCGCCGAGCGATTCCTACGCGTTCACGGCTTACTTCGTTACTTCGCGCAGGTCGCGCCGCCCGCGCCGCCGACCGCCGCCGACCGCCACGCACGCCCGCCCGGATTTCGGTCAAAGGGTCCGACCAACGATCCCGAGTTTCCGGATTTATTTCCTAATATTTCCTAATATTTCCCTCTTTAACCCTCTATGGGCCGAATTTTTCATTGAATAAAAAAAAATTGAGGGAACGAAAAATCAGCAATTAGGAAGCTATATATGCAAATGAAAAAAAATTTTTCATTTAAAATGTAACCTGAAAGTTACACGGGCCCATAGAGGGTTAAGGTATTGCGAAAGTGCCGTCAAAGAGTTTCGCACATTTTTCATTAAATAAAAAAAAATGGGGGGAACGAAAAATCAGCAATTAGGAAGCTACATATGCAAATGAAAAAAAATTTCACATTTAAAATGTGACCTGAAAGTTACACGGGCCCATAGAGGGTTAAGGTATTGCGAAAGTGCCGTCAAAGAGTTTCGCACATTTTTCATTAAATAAAAAAAAATGGGGGGAACGAAAAATCAGCAATTAGGAAGCTATATATGCAAATGAAAAAAAATTTCATTTAAAATGTGACCTGAAAGTTACACGGGCCCATAGAGGGTTAAGGTATTGCGAAAGTGCCGTCAAAGAGTTTCGCACATTACAACCTGAATATGCAGGCTATGAGAAAGACCCCCGGGAAACTGCAAGTTTTTAAACATTTTGTTTCTCAAAAATTAAATTTCATTTCTTTTTCAGTTTGGCGGGGGATCGTATAGCTTCGAGTAAGGTGGTCGTGGTTATTTTTCCCTCGAAAAAGATGGTTCGCTCTCGCGGTAACGAGACAAATATTTCATGTAACGGTATCCGGGATTGTATTAAACCGAATGGATTGGAACATGCGCTTGCAAAATGTATATTCGAGGTACGTTGGTTTGGAGCGAGCCGAGTGTGCGTCGCGACGCCGTTACTCGCTTCCTCCCGCATGCACGACCACGCGCTTATCCGGCGCACACTTCTAACTGCGCGCGCACTCCTTGCTCACGACCCGGAAGATAATTCCCGGGTGGTTTTTACCGGTCTCGGTGTACTACCTTATTAATACCGGCTATACCAAAGGCACGCCGGCGAGTGACTCAACGTAAAACTCGATTTGGCGTTAAATTAACGACTAAATGACGGTAAAGTATTTATGCGTTTAATTGCCTCAGATGAAACCGAAGAAGAAAAATTGAACGTTAAGTCTCGTTGCTTATGGTTAATTGAAAATGGTTGGGCGTCGATTCTTAGCTTTGGAGAGAGGCCGAAAAGGTGTGCTTGTGAAACATCCCACAGAGAAACGGCCGGAGAATAATTGAGACGTTTGTTCGACTCCAGACCCGTTACGCACACCTGTTCGTTCCGACTGCAATTGCTGTACACGTTTCTAAAGATAGTCCTCGCTTGGTTAAGCACGTCCGAAGGAAGTGACTTATCTGTTCGACTCTACAGAAACTGTATCTTTTCATTGGGAGAAGCAATGCGCGTTTCCGCCCGCATAAGTTTGTACTTCAAGTGAGCGCAAATCCAGCCGTATATCCTCGGTTCCGGTTGAACCGCTGAACCGCTGAACCGCCATCGTGGGAAAGTTCTTTTCGTTGTTAATGTTAAACCTATAAGAAAAATATTCATCGCAGGAATATCTGATACGAAAACTACGATCGCACGAATTCCTCCAAACCCGCCCTGGCCGGTTTTTCAGACCCGTTATCGAAGCACCATTTTCTCTGGATTGTCGTAACGATTTCGAATAATTCAGAGGAAGGATTTAAGCTGTAATATATTTTTCTGAGACTTATTGATTATTTTGTGTTACCTCCCGAGGTACCGTCACACGGACAATTCGGATAATTTGTAAAATGGCCTCCAGAGGTCGTGGAGAGAGTCGACGTGAAGTAGAGTCGGTAATTCTTATCGACACTCGATAAGTGAGTTATCATTCTCGTCGAAGGGGTTTATGTAGCATTGCAAGATACTATTTAAGAAGTAGAGAAATCTGAGGCTTAGGCCCGATTTTTTCATATTCCTGGACAGCTATCCTCGGGATAAAGACGTCTGCCAGATAAGTAAAGGTTTGGTTTTTTTCATTGCTTTAAACTTTGCTATCTGGAGGATAGTTAAATGTTTTATCCGTAGGTGAAATTATAGGATTTCGATGCAGTAGGAATTATTTTTAATTTATCGTTTCTTGTAATATCGAGTTCGCCTTCTTACGCACGCGCAGTCCATGCCTGTACACCGTCCTCCTGATTGGTCGACGCGCACGAGTTCTGACGGAAATCGACGAAAACCGCCGATCTTCCTTTCAAACTAGTTTACAAACATGGCGCTTGAACGTTTGAATTCGACCGTTAAACACAGAAGTTGGAAGCGAGGAAGAGTCGCAAGATCCTCGCGAGAATCGTGGTTTTTTGGGGGTATATTCTGTTCCTTCGAGTCGAAGTCCTCGTAAAGACTGTTCTCGTCCATTGACGCCGTAACACGATGGAGAATTTTGTGAAGATCGAGAAAATTGGCGAAGGTAACGCACATGATTTGGATCGGTTATTTACAAGCCGGTCTTTTAATTTGGAGATGTTCCTGTAATACCGTTCCCTGAGTTTCCTTGATTTCCCTCATTCTTGAGCCGTTTAAAAGGAACGCTCTTTGCTCTCGTGCAATCTAAGAAATATGGAATTTTGTTTTATACCTTGGTTCCTATCCTACTTTCAATTTCTACGATTTTAACGTTCACTAATGACCATTAGGCACATATGGCGTCGTTTACAAAGGCAAGCACAAAAAAACTGGGCAGATCGTAGCCATGAAGAAAATTCGCCTTGAGAGCGACGACGAAGGAGTACCTTCGACGGCAGTGAGAGAGATTTCATTGTTGAAAGAACTAAAGCATCCGAATGTCGTTAAATTGGTGGACGTTTTAATGGAAGAATCTCGGCTGTATCTCATCTTTGAATATCTTACTATGGATTTAAAGAAATACATGGACAGTCTAGGCACTGCAAAATTGGAGCCAGAAGTAATTAAATCATATTTGTATCAGGTGAGACATCAAAATCTTGTATCGTTATGGCTGAATCGAGCAGGGTGGTTATTTCTTTGTAACGTGTTCATGTGGAATTTTGCAGATCACTCGTGCAATTTTATTTTGTCACACCCATAGAGTGCTACACCGGGATCTGAAGCCGCAGAATTTATTAATTGACAAATGTGGTGTAATTAAAGTGGCAGACTTTGGATTAGGCCGAGCCTTTGGGATCCCAGTACGAGTTTATACCCATGAAGTTGTTACTTTATGGTACAGAGCACCAGAGATTCTTCTTGGGTCCAGTAGATATTCTTGTGCCATTGATATTTGGAGTATTGGTTGCATATTTGCAGAAATGGCCACAAAGAAACCATTGTTTCAAGGAGACAGTGAAATCGACCAGTTATTCAGAATATTCCGGTGAGACTAATATATCTCTATTTGAAAAATGGAAGTTTTTCTTTTGAGTTTTCATTATTTTTGTTGTATATATTTTTCAGTGTGTTAAAAACTCCTACGGAAGACATATGGCCTGGTGTAACACAGCTCCCGGATTATAAAGCAACATTCCCAAATTGGAAAACAAATAATTTAGCAAATCACGTGAAAACCTTGGATGCAGACGGTCTCCACCTCTTGCAAGCGATGCTCATCTATGATCCGGTGTATAGAATATCTGCTCGAGCAGCACTTCGGCATCCTTATTTCGATGACTTGGATACTACTAAGTTACCATCTACATGATCAAAGAGATACTTGATGCTGTACATGTACAATCTCAGGAGTGATTCTATGTTAGGCTTTTATCTTATTTAACTATTATTGATTACAATCTTAGTATCAACTTTTAAACATTATTTTATTCTATGTATTTGTACATCTTCCAGGTATTATGCTCTTGAATCGTTAAGTGTCAAAGTATATTTTTAATTCCTCGTTTAAGACTCGTCTTGCGTAAATATTTATATTATTAATACATTATTCAGGATTCTCAAATTTACTGAAATTCAGGTTTTGTACCATATGCAGATTAACACAATTCTTGTCTTTGTCCGTTTCCAATTTAGCGTTTTATTAACAAGACGTGTCTTGAAAAGAAATTCATCTTGTTAACTATAAGCTGTACAAAACAGGAAAATTATCGTATCGTCGAATGTCCATTCTTAATATGTGACAAACTAGTTTTTAAAAAAATCTTATACGAATTCGTGCGATAGTTGGCATAACTTTTTCTATGTAAAATAATGCACTATGTATTTTTGTGTCACATTGTTAAGGTAATTTATAATAAAAACGCATTTTTATGAACAAATTTAAATAATGCTAATTTTATCTCAATCTGTCCTCATAACTTATAACGAAATCTCTTACTTGAACAAAGAGGAGGTTCTTTTCAACCGAAAACTCAGCATCTTGGTCAGCCCTGAGAAAGATTCATTTAGGTTTCGTAGTCATAAAATGTTCCAAGTGGAAGTATATCCGTGATATGTACGTGGAGTGTACGTATGGTACGTGACGCAGTGTGACTCGTAGGCGATTCTAGAGTGGGGAACTCGTATAAAGTCGAGGATAAATCTACTGTTTACAGCAGTGAAGCCAGTGAACCGTGGAACCTCTCGACGTACATCTGAAAGTGAGTACGATTTGTTGGAAGCCTTTTCTATAGCACAATACTTTCCTCCGTTTAAACAATCAAGAAGTCGAAGTTCAGTTTATGTTCCTGAAAGTTTCCAAAGAGACTATTCATTTCGTACGTTCTTGAATGACTGTGCGCTATACTTTATAAGATCGAAGGTCGATTCACGCCGTAGTTCTTTAAGGGTCGGTGTATAAATTGATCCCTTGTGTTACATAAAATCAAAATGAAGATTCAGACAGCCCGGATACAATAAATTTGATGAACTATCGAGTAAGAACACATAAAATAAAATTAGAATGTTTGCGATGAGATCTATTAATATCAGATTTTTTAGAGGAAGTGTCTCCGTTGGTTCATCCTGTATTTTTAATACATGCCAAATTTTTTTTCAGATGGGTCTTTTAACGTTATGCGCTGCTTTAGCAGGATGCCTGATGCTTGTCGAGTCTCATACGTATCATTTAGGAGAATGTCCTATCGTGGAGCCGATGAGAGGCTTTCAGATGAGCAGGGTAAAACGTTTCGTCATTAATTGCTTATCAAAATCATGATGGTCATTCCTACTTTCTTATCTGGTTTTATTTCTCAGAATAACACTTTAACGAGCTTTATTAATTTTCCTCGTTTACAGGCTCTTACTTGAAAGTCACACAAATTTTTTTTTCAGCGTTCATATCGGTTATTTAATGATTTATCTATTTGTTGTATAGATTTTAAAGCTATAATTCATTCTGACTGAAAACATCATAAGGTTTCAATATTCCCACTAATTAGTTTCTAGGAGTTTGGTACGTGATACAAAAGACTTCAACAGCCAGCAAATGCATCACTTATAATTATACACGTGGTGAAGAACCTGGAGAATATGTACTCGTGCAAGACTCTGATCACCCTGTATTAGGTAAGAAAAAAGCGATCATAAATATAAAATATTAGCAGCCTTGAGAATATAATATGCAAAATAGATCTATAATTTGACTTTTGAATTAGCAGTACATCGATGACTGTAAATTACTTCTTGCGAGCAAAATTACAGTAATATGACGCGGCTCGTCCGTTCCCTATACTTGCATTTGTCCTTCGCTTACAGTTAACCTGCAGTCTCTTGACAACAAATCATAGAGGAAGTAAAACTATACATTTTACATACGAGGAGAGAAAAATGATTGACGTTCAAAGCCTTTTGACTAACGCACACTAAATGTGTACACACTCGATGTGATTTCGATCAGGCATTATTCTGTACAAGTTGATCATTTTATTAGCTAGTCGCCATACTTTATTAGTCCTATATGCAACGGAATGGCCTTTCCACTACCTGATCACTTTAATGAGTCACCTCTTATAGCGACTTATTCACAGATTCCATTAGGCTTCGTAAAGGCCTGCAATGGGATAAACGAAGTCACCAAGTGGAATGAATTATCCATAATTGTGTATGATTGTAGGACTGACTCCGCTAAAGCACGAGTATCACTATACAGGAGATCTGTCCGTCCCTGAACCTAGTACGCCAGCTCGCATGGAGGTGCGCTTCCCTCTCAGTAAGTATTAATCATATTCCTTCAGTTATCTTTGAAATTTACATTCACGTATACTTTGGGAAATAGCAAGTTTCTATTTTTCGTCAGTGTTGACAGTAATAATATAAATAATTATATTTACAATAGGTGTCGCTGGAAAGGCTTCTCACGTGATATTTTCGACTGACTACGATAGCTATGCTGGAATTTTTACGTGTCAGAAAATGGCCTTTGCTCATCGCCAGAGTGCAACCATACTTTCAAGGTACCGCGATCTCGATAAATCAAAAGTTGACGAACTCCGTCACATATTAAGTAGTTACGGTGTGGATCCATACGACCTCAGCGTCATTTCGCAAACGGGATGTCCTACTGGAAACAAAACTGTTGACATTAATATCGATCCCCACACCTTCTCGGCTGAGAACATTGGTCATACTGTGAAAAAAGCTGGCGAGAAACTTGGGAAAGGAGTCGAATGGGTAGCTAACGCCGGCAGCAAAGTTTATCACAAAATAACAGGTACCGAAGAAGACAAGAAACCGACCAGCAGAGACGTTGTCCTAAATGCTCCCAAAGATCCCTCTGGAAAATATGAGACTAACGAGGTTGAATGGATACCGTAAATACCTGTTTTTAAATTCTTATCTCCAAGTCACTCTAAGTCTATAATCCCGCTAAATAGTCGGAAATGTGTTCATACAAAATACATTTTTGACAAGATACAATCACTAAGTAAATATTTATTTGACTGAGATTGTATACAAGTTTCATAAATAAGACAATGGTTTCCCGAGATACGATTCAGTTTTCCTGCAATAAATTATCCACACAAACAATCTTTGCATTTTCTTCATTTAGTCAATAATTCCCATTACACTCAACGATAACAAGACATTAAGTGTAACATTATTCTACCATTCCAACCAAACACCGAGATAAAAGTATTAAACTTACCGCTCTGCATACTTGAAATGTGAAATAATAATTAATGTCAACAGCTTTTCCTGTTCTCTCGAAGAATATTTGATGCACTTCTCTGTTCCTGTTGCACCACCAATTAAAGTAAATTAAAGGACAGAACTGACAGGAATTAATTTTAATCCAGTTACTGTAGTGCGCCATGTTAGTTTTGCATTTCACTTTTTCTAGGAATTTCTAACGTTAGAACTGATTCTCCATTAGTCAATCAGAATTCGTCATGTGCTGGAAATCGGATTTAGAATAGGTTCACAGCGTTAGTTGCATTTTCCACGGTAGATGGCAGCACATGAGATTTCTACTGGCGGCGAATCGCGAGAGTTAGTGATCTAGTTAAGTGAAATCCACGACCACGGTATAAACAAGATGGAAGGCGAAGGAGTCCAACTGAATGTGTCCAAATTTTTTAAGAAACTGTTGAGTTTGTGCTGCGCCTTTCAACAAACTGCCGTAGTCAGGTACGGTTTTTTTTATTCGCGAACTAAATTGTGTACTCATATAGAATAAATTTCCATGCGCGAGGTGTGTTGCGACGCCTCATAACCTTAGTACGCCGATCTATCATAACCTTAGTACGCGGTTAAGTTTATGTGGAATGTTTACTACAAAATATATTTGTACTTAGGTAATTACAGATATATTCGGATTTATGACATTGATTGTAAATAATTATCTAAATAATTCAGTAGTAATATGAAAATTTAATTCCGGATTAGTTTCTTGATGGCTCAAGAAATTGACGGAGCACAGGCAATAAGAGGCTTAATTCGGGAAGGTAATAATCAGGTGTTATTTCGGCACATTTTGTGCACTCTTCTAACCTACCTGTTCCTGATTCCACAAAAAGCTTTTGAAAGTTACACATTGTTCCGAATTGCATGTCGCTGTCAGGCCTGTGGAATAAGAACGTGTTATCGATTGGTGATAAAAATAATATAAAAGAATTACTCTCGCCATTCAATCTCGAAAGTACTTACGAGTCACCAATAAAAAGACACCTTTTAGGATCATTAATTTCACATTGTTCAAGGATGAAATCTTTAAGAACTTTACTAGGTTTAGCACAAGGAATCGGATTTCTACCGCTCAACTCTGTTACGATATTGGTGAGTGGCCCAGGTCCTGCAAATTGATTTTAGTCAATTGATGTTACTCGATGATTATCACTATATCGTTTAGAGCACGATAGACCGATTATCCTTTACCTACAGATTATTTCTTAAGTACTCACCAAGTAGTGCCACATTTTTACTGAAAGGTACAAATTTGTCCTGTGCTCCCATTAGGAAAATAGTATTCTGTTTCTGCAAAGACAGGATCGCTCGCGTCAATTTAATCCAATTGCAGTCTAAATCAAAATCACATACTACGGCTTTTATAGATGGTCTATCGCTTATTTGCTCTCGTACCGTACTTAATTCTTCCATGACAGATAATGGCTGAAATTCAATATAAACCCTGAATCAAGTGCGATGTTAAAAAAAAAATCAGTATCTTCTTCATTGTAAAATGAAAGGAAAGCTTACTGGCGAGTCTGCCAATTTAATTCCAGAATCCTTTAAAACTTTTTGAAACGGAGTAGAGCCTATAGTAAAAACTTCACCGTCAAAATTCAGTTTTTTCAAGTACCACGCAATCACTTTTGCTGGTATTATAATTTGATTCTGCAAATGCAAGAACGTAAACTCACATAATTCTGCACACAATAAGTACATTTTTTTCTATCCTTTTGCCTTCTCTTACCGGAGTAGCCTGAAAGCCCGAAGACTCGAGTTTCTGACAATACTGTTCCACCGTAGATAAAGAGTTATTCGAAACGAAAAAGATTTTTTTCCCAAGTGTCTTCAACAAATTCAATGTTTCAATGGCCCCTTCGATCGGTGTAGAGAGGAACCAAATAACTCCTGTAAAAAAATTATATTAAAAGAGAAACTGATTATTTTAGTGCATATGCAGAATTATGTATTTACCATCGCAGTCTGTAAGAATGACATCAAACGAGTCTAAGAACTCCTTGAATTTTTTCCGATCGATTTCCCTGAGGTCTTGCGGTTTCGCCATTATCTACAGCAGATGTTTCTTGAATTATCACTCGAGTAATAATTGCATCGTCCTTGATGAATAATTCACCCCTTATTTACAATCTTATCTCGAGGTAGACTAAAACGGTGTCACAAAGACGCAGAATTATCACGAAAAAATATTTTGGTCTTTAGATGAACAGATAATATAAGAATTAGAATTTTCAAGGTTGCGGTTTTATTTGAAATATTGCATAACGATGCATGATATTCCTCGGTATTTATGAGCGTATTTTAAGAATGACACGATTTGAAAATCTATCGCCGATTTTCGATTGACGTGTTTTTTTATTCAAATAAGGGGATCTTTTTAATTAAACGCGTACTCTGAGAATATCGGTACTAATCATCTCGAGTGCGTGGACTTTTGTATGCCATGTTTAGTCATCGAAATGCCTCACCGCAACCTGGTTTACTTATTTTCAACCTGCGTCATTCAAACGCAACACGAGAAAGGTTTTTCAGGGACAAAAAACGGGAAATAGTCCGAAAGCACCAAGAGACAAATAATTTCACTTTGCGTAAATTAAACCGAAACGTTGCGTTATCAGATTACCACTTAATGCAAGTAAACTTTCGATCGGTGCCAGATGCAAGATTTCAAATACAATCTGTCCTCCGATGAGTCAGCAGGTCCACATTGTCAGACCGAACTTTCTTATCTTATCAAACCCATTTTCTTGAGTTCGCCTCTTAATTGCCCCGAGAAACAGTGGTACGGTTGTTAGTGGAAAAAGAATGTATTAAAAATTGTTGAAATTCGAAACCGGCCAGTTTGATTTGTCTGTCTTCTTGTTAACCTCTCTGACACTTGTCAAAGGTTCTTGCTTTATAGAGAATGCTTACCTTTTATTCTATTACGCCGACTTGAAGTTCCTTCGACGATCGTAGGAACGAACGGTACTGAATTTGGAAGGATGCGGAGCGACAGTCCTAACCCTAGATCCTAGCGCGGCGGGTAGCCGGGAACTACTGAACTACTTTACTGGCCGCTTTAGACCAATGGGAAGGCCACGTTGCCGGTTCGTTAGAGCGGGGATGATAGCGCCCCGGCACCCTGCTGCAATTGGTGCATCACTCTATACGTCATCTCATTACGTCACTATGCGCGTCGATATCTGCGTACTTCCTTTACAAGGGAAGGAAAGGATCGAGAATTGAGAAACGAAAGGATCAGGATACTTTCATGACAATTTAAAACACTCTGGTAATCGATAAATTTGCATTTGAACGGGATAAAAGCAAAAAAAGTGTTTTATGCGTTTCTATGCCAAAACGATGAGAATACGTGGGTGAAAATTTTGTTGACCTGGAAATCGCAGACTTGGATGGCGCAGGGTGTCCCCTGCAGTCAATTAGGGCCCCAGAGAGCATGACTTCAGAGGATTTCTGGAGTTTTTCTTCGATTTCTTTATAATTATTGTATGAAAATGTCAGGTGGAGTATGCCAGACCGAGTTCCTCGACGTGTTTCACTTCACCTTAATCATCGCCTTCCCTGTCGGACAGAATGTTGACGTGGATCGTATGCATTGTAACGATCGATCATGTGAGACATCGATATAAAATTTTATGATATTTCAGGAAAATTTTTTTTTTTAGGTTGGTCCGAAAATGGGGCATGTCCTTTTCTATATATATATTTTTTTAATTGCTACCATTATCATCTTCCCTTTAAGATCGCATTTCGGTTACTCCACCTTACCACGTGGATCGTGTACATTGTGACTTTGACAACGTATTCCGAACGCGATACGGCGGATTCGCGGCTGAGGGGGAAACGTCCCCATGGATCAATGGAGCGGCCTTCGAAAAGCGATTCCATCTCGGAATTTTTGATCTTTCAATGACCCGGTTCTAAGAGCGAACCGGAACCGATTCATCGTTGCCCCCGGACGGGCGAACAAAGTCGATCGGACAAAACGGCACGCTCTACATGTCAATGCAAACGTAAATCCCGCGGTGGACGTCACAATGGGGATCACTCCGGAGTTTGGTCTCTTTCATCTCCTTCATCTAGGCGGAACTTATCTCAATGACCGTTTAAACACATTTGGGTTAATAGAATTTCAATTTATTAAGTTGTCCTAGCCGTCAGTGTGTCTTGATTCTCATTTACAAAGATATTATATTATTGCGGTAATAATCGTAACCATAATCATAATCGTAATCATAATAGAGAATTAATCGTAATAATTAATCGTTAATAATAATTAATCATGGTAATCAGCGATCGTCATTAATATCGTAATTCGTAATCAAGCATCGTAATGATATATCGACATCGGTCGTGTCTCGTGGTCGCGATTTTCCTCGGACTTCCGGCCTACGCCGGAAGTTCCGGTTCGCACCTTCGCGTGCTCGTGGACGCACTTAGAGTGGCTCAACGAAAACGTACCTCTTAATCGAACGCAAATATTCCTTTATTCCTTCGTTCCTTTCGTATCTTTGTATCGTTTCCTGACTAGAAATTAATCATCCCCGCCCGTCTCGTCTCGTTCTCCCTTTTCACGTTCTTAGCAATTATTGGTAATCGTAGGCTATCAGTTAATGTACACGTACATAGAAACATTCGTCGTACAACAAGCGTGGAAACGTGGAAAATGTCATCACGCGATTCGACACCCTCTTGCGCGGATTCGATATCATATCTTTTTCTTTTTCATTTTTTTTTCTTCCTCGTTTTCTCGCCGCGAAAAATTCATTCGTTCCTCCTCTTTCTTCTTTTTTTCTTTTTAATTCGTTTCGGCGATGACGCGTCCGGAATTTACGCGGTCTCAGGAATTCCGTCGGCGGTTTCTCTTTTAGGTAATCACGGCAAGATGGGGTCGAGTGACGTCAATCGTTGTCAGTGATGACGATTCCGTCAAGCTCCCGCAAGACTCCGTTCGACGAACTCGCTCGAATCCGACAAACCTGACTCCGAGATCTATCTCGAGTAATTGCGGAAATGATTAAGCCGAGGATCGGTCATTTACGCTTCCGATAACGCGAGGGACGATTTCCCGGAGCTGTCGGGCGTCGCGGAAATGACGGTAATCGGGAACGGCGCCCTTATCAGTGGGCGAGGAGACGTCACGCGAAAATCGGGGTCCCTGGGGAAGAAAACCGATAAGGTGCCGCCACTCTTGGAAAACCGCTGACCGTTCCGCTTTATCGATGATACCGTCAGTTTTGCGAAAGCGGAACGCGTTTCCGATTTACTCGGTGATTCGGCACCGATCGAATCTCCTCGCGGGAGGACTTTCCTGGCGGAACGAATATACGCAATATATTACATAACGATCGTCAAAAAGTAGGACGCGAAATCAGGGCTTCAAGGTGGGATGATACGTACATCTATCAAACGTCGAAATATAAAACTTTCCTCTAAACTAGATCGATACTTTAACCCGTGATTAAGAATATCCCAATGAAGGTGCTGAAACTCACGAAATGTTTTTCCAGAAAAGATTTTTTTTTTGGTCTTCCGAGGTAAATAAAAAAATTTTTTTTCTCGAACCGTGACATCTCGCGAGTTTCAAGACCTTCGTTAGGACCTCCGTAATCACGGGTTAAGGTTTCAAGTTTGTAGGAAAGTTTTTATCAATATTTTGACGTTTCGATACATATATGTATATATTTTTTTTCATGACACCTTAAGGGCGCGAGAAACCCGATGATAAAGGGAAATGCAATTCCTCGGGACTGCGTGGGTGTAACGAATTAGCGAGTCGACATTTAATGCCGGGGATAAGTGCGCATAGAATAATTTCGTAGGCTTGGACGGCCTCGAGAAGGTGGAGGCCGGCAAGGGAAGAGAATTTGTGCGGATCTCGAGCGCGGGTTCGCCGATCGGAGCGACATCGAAAGAAAGCACGAAGAGAGGAAGGATAAGGCAGGAAGGTGATAGGAAGGAAGGTCGCGATAGGAGGAAACGACGAGGTTAGCGCGGACCCAAGGGCGGCGTGGACGCGGCTCTCGAGGACGATCTTCGGGGACTCCGGGCGCGATGCGAAAAGACGCCATCTTGGTTCGAGGACCGAGGTCCTAGGGTTTCCGGCGACCCAAAGAATTCAAAGAATCCCATAGAAACTTAGACCCTACGTTAACTTCCGATATTCTAAAACATGGCGGACAAGCCAGGAGTGAAGGTAAAATATAAATATCTCGTCTCGTTAACCCGTTGTCATACAAATTAGCACCTCAAAATCCGAGCCAAAACGGCAGAAAGCGACGCTCGCCAAACGGACCAAAGTGGTCCGTAGAGATTTTCGGAAAACGAGCCAAAGTGGCGAGGAAGAATTTTCCCAGAACGGGAAAATTCGTTTTACCCGATATTTCGATCACGAGTCCGACTCGGTTCGTGTTCGGTCTGAAATTTTTTTTACGAGTAAGACCGGTCAAAGTACAACGAGGGGTTAACCAACGGTATCATATTTATGTCGAAGAGAGACGCGCATACGCTGAGAAAAAAAAAAGTGTCTGAATGGATTTTTTTTCTCCGTGCAGAAAAAAGGGTACCGCGAAAAAGACGAGGAACGAGCGCAATCCGCTATGCCCCGCCATAAGAGAAAGAGGGACGATCGCAGCGCCGTCATTGGTCCGTTAGCTTACTAAACGTCGAAAATCGCGCGCCCTGGGCTTCTATGGAAAACTCCGTAATTCTTTGGCCGATCCGACGCTTGCGCCTGCGAGACGCGAAGCGTCGATACCGACATCGAGGTGTATCGATCCTCGCTGGATCGATCGGGGGAAGCGTCGAGTGGTGGCGGTTTTAGAGACGATTAGTAGTAGGAGTAGTAGTCGTAATAGTATTAGTAGTAGTGGTAGTAGTGGTAGTAGTGGTAGTAGTGGTTAGTAGTAGCGGTAATAGTAGTAGTAGCATTGGTATTTTCGAGTAGTAGTGCCTAATAGTAGAAAGAGCGTCGTCGCTTGGTATCGGTAACGGTAACGAGAACGGCGCGGCGCGTCGCGGCGCCCCGCGCATTCGGGCAGCACTAGTGGCGATTTATTAGTACCAAGTAGTAGTTATAGTAGTAGGAAGTACATTAGTAACGGCCGCGGTAACTCGCGGCATCGGTGGTGTACTTTTAGCAATAGCTCTAGGTCGTAGTCGCGATTCTCGCTGCCTTAAGGCGGGTACGTAGTCGCGGCGGTGACAACGCTGACGATCCTATCGATACGCTACAATGTCTCCTCGCTGCCCCGAGAACAAAAAATTGGTTCACTCGAAGAAATATACATTGAAACGAAATCCTGCGATCGATTTCATTTAAATTCACACCAAAAATTCATATAAATCAACGATATCAATTTTTTGTTTCTCAACGGAATAAGCGTTTCTTGCAATTATATACGGTTCAGGCGGCAATATGTACGTCGACAATGTATATTTGTTTCGGTCAACTAATGATTTCTCTCATCGACCCGAGGTCTCCACTCGCTCCGACGGTTTCGTCCACGATTTTGAAATGCGGAATTTTTCATGCGAAAGAAATCGGTACGAACTCGACTATCGGGTCTCTGGGACGATTCTCGACCGTTTACGATCGACGTTCGCATGCGAAATTGACAGTCTCGTGCACGACTTTGTAATGCGGAGTTTTTCATGCGGATTCATTCGTATGCGAAAAAAATCGGTACGCATTCGAAAAACTCGCCCCAGGACCTTGGCGCTCCCTCCCGCCGGCCGTGGTCGGGTGCCTAGCTATCCGTCTACGTCGCCTATCTTCGAATCTGCCTACGTACCTACGCGAACCGAACGCAGAACTAGTTTAACGCTTAGATATCGCTACTCTCCGACGTTTGTGCCAAGTGCGTGCGCGCTAGGTACGCCCTACATATTTCGTTAACACGGTTAACTCGGTTTCCGCGACTCCCTCGCACTCCTGGTGCCGATCGCCCCCTCGCAGATGTCTAGGATCATCGTCCCCGGATATCTTCGGCGTCCTCCTCGAAGGTCGATCCTTCTTCGATCCTTCTCCGATCCTTCCCGAGCGCCTTCCCTCACCGCCCCTCGTCGATTCGTAGCAATCCTTAATATCGTTATCGTTATCGCTATAATCGTTATCGCGTCTGTGTATTGCGCCTATATGTAAAACTAATGTACACGGACTATATACATTAGAGCAACAGCATCTTTTCGGCACGCCTTGGCTCGCTTCTTTTCTCCGCTCTCTGGTCGCGTTATCGAAACTTATCCCTCGGAATCTCCGAACGGTCCAATTCGCGCCTCTTCTCCTTTCCCTTTTCCTTCGCTTTATTCCCGATGCGATTTCGACCGGTCGACGTTTTAAGGCGACGCGAAAGTGGCACCGAAAAAGACACGTTTGTGACACTTTCCCGACTTGGGGGCACCGAATCGTTTCGAACTTCGCAACCTGAACGTGGAGACTACAGGGGAGGTCCTGACGCCCGTGAAATTTCAATTTTTTACAATTTATTTATTGACATTTTAAATGGTTTTTTTTATAAAAAAAATCAAATTTCATGGGCGTAGAGACCTTTCTCGGGGTCCCCATATGAAGGGGGGAAAATTTCAAGCGTTTCGGTTTGTTCAGTTTTGAGGAAAGTGTCATATTGACGACTCCGATGTCACTTTCGTGTCACCTTAAGCGAATTAAGGAAACCTGGTCTCGGTTCTAGAAACCTTCGCCAGATCGCTTCCTTCCGCTATTCGCTGCTGTATTTTTACGTTGCTTGGAGTGTCGAAGGATCTTGTCGCGAAATTCTTTTTCGTTTACGAGTTCGCGAGGTTTCGGTTCAGATTTTCCTCTCGCGAGGGATTTCTGACCGGTCGACGTCGCGTCGAGAGGAATGCGCATTTCATCCCGCCGAGCGGCTCGTAAAGGAACTACGTTTTCTTTCGCAAATATGCATATACAAATACGTACAGTACGGGCCGAGGCGAAGCATAGACGGTTGCGAAAGACCCCTCCATTTTTCGGAGCACTTATAACGAGGATGACGTTCGAAGGAGTCTCGCAAAAAATCGGGGAAATCGTTTAGAGTGGAAGAAGTTACTCCCCGCGAGATCATTGGTTTTTGCAAATAATTCTAGTATCATTCTCGAGATAAATTCGGCTGATGACGTTATCGCTATTTATCTGCGATTATCCGGATGTTAACGCGATTACTTATAAGGGTGATACAGCTTGCAATGGTATCGTTGATTTTACTAAATTCTATGAAATATTCATATTCCTCGTTTAGGCCTTTCGATAAATGACGAGAGTTCCTCAAGTGACGGACCGAATTTCCTGGCTCTCGGGAAAAGGTCTCCGGGATTTGCGAGATCCGGATTCGAGTCTTTCGCGATCGCTACGCTCGCGCCTCGAGATTCTCGCAGAGGGTAGAAAATCGCACGACTGCCGCAACCCTTCGATATTCGATATTCCCGCGAGCGATGGACTCCCGACCGACGAATTTCTCCCTGGCAGGAAATGACAAAGATTCCCGACAACTCGCAACGAGTCGTTCCGCGGTGCCACGAGAAAGCGCGCAACTAGGTGTCGAGGCATTACAATAATTTCGGGATAACACGGTTTGAAAAATTGGTAAAAGTAATCATCCGACAATTTGGCGAATCCATAGGCCCGCGTATCCTGGGGTAACGTTCTCCAGGATCTCGCGAGTTAACGATGGCGCCCGCGGACGTTCGGCTTTCGTATAAAATGATCGGACGATGGGATCGATTATCCGGCGGACTTCCGACCGTTCGTTTCCATTTCCCGCGACACCACGGAGCCGGGCCGCGGAACGTGCCTTGGCTCGGCCTCTTCGAAGCGGAAAGCAAGAGCGACCGCCGGGTCGCGAAAGCATCCTCCGATTCCTAGAATAGGTTGACTAGAATTTGCCCCCGGGCTTCCGTCCTCCGGGGAAGTCGTGCGACTCCGTCCTCGGCGACCGGCCGACCGGCCGACCGGGCGCAGCGGCCCCCCGCTCCTCGCTCCGTCGTCCCGGGCCGCCTCGGTCGTCCCGACGCCCTGTTACTCGATTATAAATTAAGCGGTGTTACCATTAAAATTATTGCACATCGAACAAACGATTACCGATAATTCTCTGGTGCGTATTGCGAGATACTCGTTTTAACGGCTCTTGGCCTGGAGTTCGTTTAAATCTACCGACTCCGGGCGTCGGTGGGCCCGGAGCGTCCCTCGCAATTAGTAGCTACTTAGTTAAGGAGGAATGTAGTCGTAGTGGTCGGGTCGCGTCGAGCGAGTCGAGCGAGTCGACGCGACGCGCGTCCTCGTGTAGGGTCATCCGCGGCTTCTTCGCAATAATGTACTAGAGATTCGCGTAGGAGTAGCGCATAGGAGTGCCGGTGAGAGAGGCGGACCCTCCGAGTCTCCCTCAGGAGGACGTTACGCCCCCGCCCGTGGAATGCCTTGCCGTGTCACTCTGGCTTCTTCCTCTTCTTCTTCTTCCTCGTCCGCGAGCGGCGCTCGTCGCGGCTCAGGTGGCGTCGGGGGCCGAGCCCGCTCCCGCCAGGTAGTCCGCGGGAACAGCCACCAGGGCGCCGCCCCGCCGGCCCAGCCTCGCGGCGACGCCCGTCGCCGGCGACGCCGACGGTGGCGGCGTCGTCGCAGCACGCGCGACGCCGTCGCCCTGAGCGCCTGCGCCTGCGGCTTGGTCTCTCGCAGGGGGCTCCAGCGAGAGGGTGGCGCTCCTTGGGGACGAGGGGACCGTTGGTACCGCTCCTTCCGGTGCACCCACCGCCTCAGTAGACCTCGCAGCACCCGGTAGGCCCAGCGTCCCGGCGACCAGCGGGCGCCCTGGCCCCGGCCCAGCGCCCAGATCGCCAGCGCAGCTGTAATCGTAGCTGCAGCAGAGCTGCCCGTCCTGCGGAGAGACCGGACGGGTTTAGTCGGGGCTTTTTAACCTCCTGCGCGAGTCGCTTCGGTGTTCGGGTCGACCTTTAGTTATGACTCGCTTCGTTCAATTTTCAACTGAGAAACAAATAGGGGCCTCATTTTTCAGAGGTGGACTCTGAGAGAAAAAATTCCTTTACTCGAGGATATGTACGTCGCGACGACAAAATCCTTCGATTAAATACGCCCAGAGAAGTGTCAGATCGAGTAAACAAAATTCGTTTAAAACTACAATGGTTTCTTTCTTCTCGACAAAATAATTGTTTCTTCCAAGTATATATGATCCAGGCAACGATATATATTTTTTTTTCAGCCATTTAATTTTTTTTCCTGGTGTAAGAGCTAACGTTTCAAAATAGGTTAATGCGTAACATTAAAAAAACGTTGTGGCAAGGGGTAGCCCTATTTTTTCTCAGTATTCTTGAACCCGAGAAAAACGATTCGTTGATGCAAAGAAATATTTTGATAATTGAAAAAATAATGGGGGAGGTGCGGTGTCATCGCATCGTCCGTTCGGAATGAGTTATCAGAGAAAAAGGCTTATTCGAAGTTGCTATGATATACCGATGTTCATAAATATAGGTCGACGGTACTTGTCTAGGAGTATCCAAACAGAAAGAGAGCATAGACATTACGGAGCGAAGCAAGGAATAAACCGCCATTTTTTAATCTTCTACTTCGCGCTCGGGCAAGATGGCGAACGGTCAATTCGGCGGCCTCCAATTCTTGCTTCGAGAACGCATGCGGTAACCGTGAGCATGTCCACTCCCCTCTCGTATCTTCTTAGATTCTAACGCTCGCCGAGATGCGATGGATGTTAGGGCGGAAAGAATCGAGTCCGGACGAAGCTTGCTACAGCCTTATGGACGACCATGACGCGAGACTTTTGCGGAAACAAGATCTCCAGCTAATTGAATAGCTTAAACGGCAAATGCATTGCGTTAACCAGTACCGGAAATATCCGTTTCATCAAAGAACTCAAAAGTGTACGGAATATATTCCCCGTTCATGAATAATCAACGTTAACAATAGGCGTTACCGTCGGCGCGGCAAAAGTGATTCCAAGATGGCGGCGGGCGCCATTGCAGCGGTTAAGGAAATCGGGACCGCTTTTTCGCATACGGTGCGCGTCTCTGCGCCAAAGTCGTCACTAGGTCGACGGATAACATGGGAACAGAGGGCAAAAGAGAGTCCTGGTGCTTCTATCGCATCTCGGATGCGTGTCAACAACCGCCGAAGAAGGTGCAGAGGAGGCAATCGACTGCGTGTCGCGTGCGCGCGCATATCTCTGACGACAAGGACGGTGCCAAGATGCGGTCGGTGTGAGCGTTTCCTCGTGCGTTCCGCGTCGTCGACCGGGATGAGAGAAATGCCGGTCTCTAATCTTTGCGTGCGAGCGTGCGTGCGTGTTTATGCCGTGTGCTGCGTGTGTCGGTGCGCGAATGATACGGGAAAGCTCGGGAAACGTGGGAGAGCGAGTCATGCGTCGGGCCTGGACAGGTGACTGCGAAATCGACAGGACGGCCCTTTGAACTTAAAAAGAGTTGCACTCAGGAAATATCAATAAACATGGGTGTATCTCATTCGGCGACAAAAGGTACTGCATAGCCAGGTACGTGCGTACAGATTACATGCGCATAACACCGTTTAATGGATTTCAAAGTAAATTCAAGATCGGGGAATAAATATCGCCATCGAGGCGGTAGCTTAAAAAAAGCTCTCCCCCTTAGCAGGAATACAATTCCAGGACTAGTTGGACGAGAATAAAAATCTGGACCCACACAAAACTGGAACGGGTTGCTGCCCAAGGTACCCCGGCTTAACCTTTAAGGATGTGCAGGTAATCTAAGACCGATAATCCCGAGACATCTAAGCGAGGGAAATTGAACGCAAATCGACTAAGCACAAGCGAGCGAGCGAGCCAAGCCAACACCGAAGCAATCAAGCCCGATTAGTTGTAGAATAAAGAGACAGGTAAAGATATAGGTGAGGTAGAAGTGATGTGATTACCGATGCACACAACACGCGCTATTGCTCACCAATTGGGCGCAGTACGGCACCTGCAAGGATACCCATCGTTAGGCTGGTTAGTTCACGGGCAAGGACAAATTGGCGATTCAAGTAATTCCATTCCTGCGTCGTCGATCCAACGTGCCTCGATGGTCTTCGTAAGTTTAGCCCTCGAGGCCATGGAGAGGGTTTCGCTTCCGCTGGGGTACTTTCTTTCACCTTCTTTCGTGTTTCCTATGCTTCGGGACGTTTGGCAAGGCACTTTGGATCGACGTGGTTATGGCAAAAACTGCAGAGGGTTAATCTGGGACCACAGCAAAATTCGATCCATGCAGGGCCGACCCGAAGCACTCTCGATCGCGACTGGCAATTGCTGGCAATGGCCTCGATCGATGGTAAAGCTTCGAAAAAAGAGAAGCGAGCCAGCAGTCATGAAAGGTGTCGTCGAGACTCGATCGCTCGAACTATCTGCCGAACCGTGTCCACCGGATCGTAGGATTAATCTTAACCTCGAGGTACGTTTATTGTCGGTGATCGATCGCCGCGCGGGAAGTACCTCCACGCGTGGACACGGTTTTTTGGAATAGCAGGCAACTTAAGAAAATTAATTAGGCTAGCTTAGGGGCGCCCCTGAATCTTGACTCGACGTAGAATTACGACCGTCAACGGCACGGTGTTTACGATAACTAGCGGTTAAAGTGTCGCGTGATCGAGGTATTAGCGCATAGCCATGTCTGTCGTACACACCGAGTGCGCAACGAAAAGTCAAATGGAAATTATAATAACGACGCGAGGTATCAAAGGCGAGGATCGACCTACTTATGACGGCAAGTGGGAAAGATGGACGGGTCTTTTCTATCGTCGTACGTCGATATGGGTTCGTGTGAGTTGTACGGATGGAACGAATGCTCTGTCGTGGTGGCATGTACTTCCTCGTGTTCTCGCTCCAATTTCGCGAAATTCGCCAATTGGAGAGAGGAAAGGTCGATTCGCGACATCCAGCGGTCGGCTCAAACCCGTGTCGATCCGACAAAACGTTGGAACGTGCGTCGCGATGCGTATTTCGCAAATAGTGCCATGCCGGCAGGGAAATTTCAAGCAGCCCAAGCGACGTGAAATATTTAAAATTGCATAATTCTGTATTGAATGTACCACTGGGTTTCGCTCGTAGCTCATGAAACGCAAACAATTTCCCAATCTCGATGACCTGGTCAGAGTTGACATTGCTCATTCCACAGGATTAGAAAACGACATTCTCTGTCCAGTTTGACGCGCCAGGCTAAAAATCGCAGATAATGACTAGGTCAGTGTTTCGCGTCTATGTATGTATTTGGCACGAAACTCTACCGAGATTCTTAGTTGAAATATTCAACGTTTTGTCGGATCGGCACGGGTTTGAACCGATACTTGGATAGGGTGAATCCAACTTAACGAGACGGGATGTCGACCTTCGTAGGGAGGAGGTCGTCAGGGATGACGCGCTAAACAGCATCTACGCGAACTACGTAGACTCTGGCCGTTGCGGGGAAGAGGAATCCTGATCGTCTCCCTCGCAACGGGAATAATGACGGCCATACTGGCCTTCGAGCGGGCGCTCGTTTCGAATGGCTCGTCCTCATCTTCCTCGAGTCCCTCGCTCCCGGTCGGGCGACGCGTTTCGTCGACTCTAGCGAAGAGATTCGACCGGTTCCTGCTCGGCGGCGTCCAGGCTGGCTGCTTCCTTACCTTGCACTCGCAGGTGGTGCACTTGTCGTGGGGGTCTTGCCAGGAGCTCCCACTGTCGTGCACGATGCCCGCGTAGCTACAAGGTCGAGGTCGGTTGGGAACGGCGAGGAACGTGCCGTTGGCCGAGACCTCCCTCGCGCAAGGGTCGTCCTCGCAGCGGGGACAACAGTCGCCATCCTCGGTGACGGGGTTCGAGCACGTCACTGGCGGGCACTCCATCTGCCAGCAGTCTATCTCGCCGTACTGGAAAGTCAAACGTAACGAAGAGGTCTCGATAAAAATCGTGGTCTCTTTTAAAAATCAAAAGTCCCCGATTTTTTTGTTTTCCAGGGCGATTAAAAAATAAATCTGCCACCCCCTGGCGCCGATCGCCTTACCAGACACTCGCAAGTCTGACACTGATAAATCCAACGCTCTCCGCTCCTGAAGACGAGGTGGTGCAGTTCCTGGTGCCTGCAGGAGGCCGAGGGGTCGCACTGCGGGCAGCACTTGTCCCTGCGGCTGCCGGGTACGCTGCAGTCACACGTGGGCTCCTTGCACGTAATTACACCGTCTGTACAAGTGCAACGTCTGCACGGGTTCCCGGAGGGAGCCAGGGTCTCGCCATTCTGGACTTCTTTGCCCTCGAACCAACAACCTGGAACGAGATGACATAAAAAGACCATGTTTTGGATGATCGTGCAAAGGAGACAAGGCGTGCTGCGCCTTCCATATTGAAGGCATCGTTGATCGGTTAGCGAATAGGCAGACTATTGGCACGCTTTGTCGCCTTTACGTCACTGCACGACGAAGGGGATCCTCTTCGGGAACTCACTGAGCCTGCAGTCCTGGGCAGCGTGTTCTTCCTGACAGACGCACCGGTAACCGCCGTCCGTGTTGACACACCTTGCGGTCGGGTGGCACGTGTGTCTCCTCTCGGTAGACTGGTCGTTGCACTCGTCGATGTCGAGGCACTGGGTACCCTGAGTAGTGTCGTGGAGTGCGCTTCGGTATCCGGGCTTGCACCGGCAGTAATACCAACCCGGCATGTTGAAGCAAGTCGAGGACTGGTGGCACCGGTGCAGGTCGCTGGCGCACTCGTCCAGGTCGAGCTCGCAGCTGCTGCCGATGTAGCCGCGACGACAGGAACATTTCCCAGGAGCGACGCACTCTCCCCCGTTCTGGCAGGTTTGATTGCAAACGGCTGTTGATCGGAGAGAGACGTGAGCTCGAGTCGAGGTAGCACGGACAATGAGCGAAAAAGAAATTATTTTCTAAAAAATACTATGCAACATAATTCCCATTAATATAAAATAATTATTCTTCGAATTGACAAAATATTTCTTTGGTACCGTTCAAAGAAATATTTCACTTTTTTTTTTCTTCGATATAGAAAGTAAACTTCTCGCTCATTCGCTTGCAGATTTATCAGAGGAAGGAGTTTCGCTTTGCCGGAACGATACGTCACGTTTGCAGGTGTAACCGTCTCCGGAGTATCCCTCTTTGCAGACGCAGTAATAGCTGCCGGCGGTGTTGAAGCAGGTCGCGTGCTCGTCGCAAGAATGCCGACCTGTCGCGCACTCGTCGAGCTCCGCGCAATTGAACTTGTCCACCCTGTGATAGCCCGGAAGGCACTCGCACGTGTAAGAACCCACGACGTTGACGCAACGCGTGTTGGCGTTGCAATGGTGGCCGTCCGATCCGCCTTGCTGTTTACACTCGTCGACGTCTAGAGCGACCAATGATCGTATCGTTAATCGGATTAAAACATGGCGGGAGAAAGACCGCCGAAGCGGGCATCTTCGGACGTTAGGTATGTTAGCAAGTGAGTCGTGTTAGATATACCATGGCAATTATGACCATCCCCCTGGAAACCGATATCGCAGTGGCAGGCGTAGGTGGTCTGGAGATTCAGGCAAGATGCATTCGCATGACACTTGTGGCCCTTCGCGCAGTAATCCACCCCTGGTTAGGTTAGGTTAGCGAGACAAAAACAGTGGGTTAAATACAATGTTTAGCTCCCAAAGCACGAAGGAACGCGAACAAAAGGAGCTCCACTCTGGGTCTCGCGATCCTTACGGTAATTCTCGCAACTCGAGTACGCGATATGCCGCATGAGTCGTGGTTTTGTCCTTTTTATTCCTCGATATTTTTTAAAACGTTAAGTAATAAGTGTTTCGGTGGATAAATAATTTCCCGGGATTATCTTGTATTTTTTAGAGGACTTGACCAATTGTGAAAATTGAAAAATGGGGTCTTGGCGAGGAATTGTAAGGCTTTTACGTGGAAAGTGGGAGCTCCTTTTGCCACCGCGGGTTGAAAAGCTTGTCGGCGGATGCGAGCATCGTCGGGAAAGGTCGAGCGTACCTGGACAAAATTTGCAGCACTCCTCGGCGACGCTTATCTGCTCGCTCGGTGGGCAAGGAAGGGGCGGACACCTCGTTTCGGTGTCGAAACGCTGGCAGGTGAAGCTGCCGTCGAAGCAATCGCACTCGACGCACTGTTTCGGCGAGACCTTCTCACCGTGGTCGTATATTACTCCGTGTAAGTAGCACTGCTCTGTACCGGCAAGTAAGCGAGCAAGTTAGCGCATTCGAAACGGTTATCGCTCGGAGAGGATCCTCGGACTTACTCAGACACACGGGGCAGCATTGTCCTTGAGGTACGACGGGGTTCTTGCAGGTGACCGGCGCACAAGGGGTCGGTCGACACTCGATCTCTCCGTGGACGCAGGAACACTGTTGGCAGCCCTTTTCCCAAGTAGCACCGTCTTCGTGCACCGTCCCGTTGGCGCGGCAAGACTTTTGGCACTCGCACTCCTCTACCTTACTTATCCTACCCTCTGCAGCAGCTAGCTGAAAGAACGACGTGGATGAAAAAGCCGCACGACGCATAGAAACCAAAGTCGATCCGCACTTTGGCTTCGTTTATGATTAAACTAACCGCGAAAAAAAAATAATTGGCTGACTCAAAGAAATTGCAAGAAAATTCTACGATCAAATACGGATCGAGTGAATGAAATTCCTTTGAATCGACGAGGTCGATTTTTCATCTCAACGAAATAATGGCTTCGGTCCATTAATTTTTTTTTCTAGGGGCACCTCCCTCGAGAAGAATACCCACCCTCCGAGTCAGCTCGTTCAGATTGTGCATCAGCTGCTCGACGGTGTTTTGCAATATGGAAAATTGGCCGCAAGTTGGACAGGACGAATCCAGCTGGGGGCACTGCGAGAGGTAGCCGTGGGCTCCCGGAATTAGTTTAACATCCTGCAAAGCACCCTATGGCGCAAAATGGCATTGGCTCAGTTCGACGTGTTATCGTTGCGGGATGCTTCGCTTGGGGTGAACCTCGTCCAAGACGAGCCGTACCTTGAAGAGGAAGTGCTTGGCGTTTCTCTGGCCTACCCAGAGCTGTAGCTGAGGTAGAGTGAAGTTCGTGTCGGGCGGGCCCGGGTGCAGAAGTCGCCTGTAGAGGGGATGGCAGTCGACCAGCAGCTCGACCTGCGAGCCACTTATGCTCAGGGCGACTCTGTGCCATGCTCCGTCGGCTAGCCTGAACGGAAACGCTTCCACGTGCACTGCTCCGTCACGCCGGGAGACGTAGTGCAGACGAAGCTCGTCTTTGCGGCCGCTGCTTTGCAGCTCCAAGTATCTAACGGTGAAATTTCTCGCTCGAGTCCGATACCGCAAATAATTAATTAATACATATATATACCTCGGAAACGACCCTCACCTATTGTTACCGTGAGAAAAGGCGATGATGGTGCCAGAGTTGGCCTCCTCCTGCTGCAAAGCCGCGGCCACGGTGAATTCCGGAACCCGCCGGAGTAGCGCGGCCGCGCGTTCGAAGCTCGCCTCATTTAACCGAAGCTCCCTCTCCTCACCTGAAGAGAAAGATGAGATTAAAGTATCTCAAAAAATACGCCCTCCGCCGCGTTTTGAATTCGCCGAACGTCCATGTTGGATGCGTGCGAGCGTGGCTACGAACTTCCGGCGCTCCCCGAGAGATGGCGCCACGTACCTTCTCCGGCCCGCTCGGGTGTTCCTCATTCGAGAGTCGATTTTTCTGTTTAATCGACCCTCAATAGCCGCGCGTTTCGCGTGGGCTTCTCGAAGAAGAATCGACGCTCGAATTTCATACGTGCCGCGCCGCGGGTAATCCGACACCGTCGGTAATAAAACGAGGCGGCGCGGTCTTTCGTGAGTCTAAGAGCCGCACGAGAGGCACGGGGTATGTAATTACCTACGGCCACGCGTAATTACGCCGGCATGGCACGTGGCTCGGGGACACGCGAGTGATCCACCGGTAAGCGAACACCTCGTTTACCGACCGCCAGCGGACAGGAAGGGGCTCTGCGTGCCGCGTCCGCTGGAACGTTCATTAGCCTCACCGGTTTCCATGAAAGCGAGAACGAGGGGGCCAAAGGTCTCGGTAATTGAAATATCTTTCGGCGAATTCCCTTTTTCGTCCTCCTCGGACCCGGTCTCGCGAGAAATCACGCAACCGTCGGGAATTCCCCGGAGATGGGGTAATTGCAGGGCGCGACCTTATCGGCGATTGCGCTCCCGTTCCGCGAATACCGTCTTGCCGAGACTAGCCGAATTTCGTATTAACGTCTCCGGCCTTACGGCGGACTGTGTGTGGATCGATTCTTTCGCGGCAATGCCTAGGGAAGACCGGAGTTCGCTATGAATTAAGAACCTCATTTAAATTGAAACCCTCGCGCCTTACTCGCGGTAAGCGCACCGAAATGATTTTTTTTTTTTTTTTTCCGGTATTAAGGTGGACCGGAATCGGAAAGTGGCACCGACAGACGGGTTAAGAAGAAAAAGTACATTAGGAGGTTTTCAATGGGTCCGGTTAATCGTCGACGATGACCCCGACGTCGATTCACCGACGCGAAAAATAAAGAGAGAAAAAGGAAAAGGTAGGGAACCCTAAATTGTCGTGACAAGCCCCGCATATGAACTTTCATAATTCTCGATTTTTTTAAATGAACAACCCAAATCTTTTTCTTTTAAGGGCAACATATAAACATCTAGACGCGAATTGGATCTAGTGCCTGCTAAAAGAGGACAAGGAGAGGGCGTCTTACCTTGTTCGCAACGAGCAAAATCGGCAAAAATGTTTGCAACACCAAGCCTACCACGGTTTAGCTCGTCGCTGCACCTCGTCGATATTCGTAAGTCTCTCGATCACCTCTCGTATCGTTGCAAAATACGCGCACGTACGTTGCAATAAAATTCGTACATATTGTACATTGAGAAAAAAAAATTCATTAAACCAAAGAAATATTTTATTCACTCAAATAAATTGTCGTAATTCCCGAAGAAACGTTGCATCCAATCTATTACAGTTCATTGGAGCGAAATGATTATTCTTTGAACGAACAAAATATTTTTTCGATTCGATGGATGTTTCTTTTCTCAGGGAATTATTGACCCTTTCCAGGGTGGAGGAGGGTCATTCGCGAACCTGCGTCCACTCACCCTGAAGATAGTAGGCAGGCTTCAGCCTGACTAACCCTGGCACCTGCGTGACACCCTGCCTCGAAGTGTTGTGCAGCTGCAACGCCGCCAGCAGGTCTATGCCGCCTCCCGGATCTCCCCCGATCCCGGTCCCGGTCCTGGATCTGGTGCCGAGCCCCCCTGGACCACCTGCAGCTGCGGCCTCCTCCTCCTCCTTCTCCTTGGTCACTCCCGACACTGAAACACCGATCGGCGGTCATTGTTTCTCCTTCAACTTCCACGGAGGCATGGGATACCCGCGATCAACGGGTCTATCGGTTGCTCGTTAATCTACTCGATTCGATCCGCATTCGACCAGGATAACGTAATTATGACGGAGTGACCCCCACGTGGCCATGGAGGAACGACGCGTCTCCATGGCGACGCAAAACGGACTTCACGTGGATTTCGAATGCGACAACGGGACAGATTTTAATCCCGATTTTCATGGAGTCCTCCCAGCGCGATAACGTTAACTTTAACGGACAAGAGATATATTTTTAATTCAAAGGATAATTATTTCGTTCGAACAAGCTGTCAGAATTTCGAGGAAACGACGCATCCAATTTGTCCGATTTCATTAAAGTACTCTTCGAGTAACCGAAATATTTCTTCGGCACTATTTAAAGAAATAGTTCCGTGGTTCGATGGGTTGTATGATTTTAGGGTAAAGCTGGATATTTTTTGGGAAATCCTGGAGGCGGTTTTCGTCGCGCCACCAGGAGAAGAGCCTCTCGATCGAGTTCGCGAGTTCTCGCGGTCGCATCGAGCCATCGTAACCATGGCATTGGTGGTGCTTAAGGTCGAACGCGAGTACCATGCAATTATTCAAAGTTCTAGGAGAGCGAGACTAGAGGCGTCGGGTATCGATCTCCGAGTATCGACCGTCGAAGGTACTTTGGTACCGTCTCGGTTTACCCTTCTCGTATTATAAATATTTCTTGAAACAGTACCAAAGAAATATTTCGTTAATTCAAAGTATAATCCTTCCGTTGAATGACTTTTTTTTTCCTTACGGTGAGAGGTCGAAATTTAGGCGTTCCTTTGATTCGGGCAAGAATTCGAACAAGAACGAAATATTTCGTTAATTCAAAGTATAATCCTTCCGTTGAATGACTTTTTTTTCCTTAGGGTGAGAGGTCGAAATTTAGGCGTTCCTTTGATTCGGACAAGAGTAGCCGGTGACACGCGTTCGACGTTTGCGTTAATTGCGGAGCCGCGCGTGCTCGCCACGTGCGTCGAGTCCTCTTTCGGTCCGTTAACGGTGCGTGTCGTTGAGCGCGTGCACGGTCCGTCGCCGGCCCGAACGAGACGGAACGGAACGGAACGGAACGGAACGGAACCGGTGGGGCAGACTGCCGGGCGTCGCGGCGCCGCTATCGAACCGGCGCGACGTTATCCGTAAACTTCGCGAGTCGAAGGTGGAGGTTACGTTGGGTCGAAGGGGTGCCACGTCGAATGGACCCTCTCGGCCGGCATTACACGTAACCCCTTATTAACCTAAGTACCTAATAACACGCTATATACGTGGATAGTTATTTGCGTAAAAAATGTTAACGACGCGACAATTCGCTTGCCTTAACGCTAAGACCAGAGATTAGGTGGAGGGCATCGACGAGTCGCTTTCCAGCTCGAGGGGTTAAGGCGACCCGAAAGTGGAATCCGAACTGTCGCTCGTGACACTTTCCCCCGAGATGGATTTACCAAATCGTTTGAAAAATTGTACACGCATTTATTTATTAAATTAAATCCAGGTCGAGGGAGTCGAACCGAACGCCTTGGATGCCCCTTCGCGTCGCCTAAAAAGTCCCGGCGGTGACAATTGCATCTCATGGGTTTGATACGGTTTTTAAGGGCGTCGGATAGCTGGGGATGCCTCGAAAGCCCGTTTATTCCCTCGGCTCGGGGTCGGTATTTTCTTTTCACTTAACGAACGTAGCGTCCCTCGAAGAATGGCCCTCTATCTCGCACGAATATCGCCCTCGATCGATCCGTGACGAGAGTCCCGTCTACGAGGAAACCCGTTGTCGTGGAGTACGCCCCATCGATCGGCCCTCCGCCGCTCGTCCACGATCGCGGTTACCCGCGCGGGTTCCTCGCAGACGACTTGCGGCTCGACGGCGGACGATGGAAAATTCTGCCATTTTTAGTCCCGGGAACCGCAGCCCCTCCGGATATCCCGAAACGAGGACTCCTCGCCTCGTAAAAGCGGTCGACGATGCTCTTCGATGGACGCGAGCTGCGGTCGACGTCGCCGCGATCGGCGAAATCGTAAAACGCGGACGCTCCGCGTCGAGTCGCGGCCAAAACGCCGAGGGAAAAATCCCGCCAGGGGATTTTGCAACGCGGCGAAAAATCGCACGCGTGGACACGCGATCGCCGTGAGAACGCTCGTCCGGAAGCGGAGGCGTTCAGGTTGCGACGGATTTGCGGACGACACGTGCCGAATCGACTAAAGATGTCAAAATATCGCTAGAGTACACGGATCGACCTGGGGGAGTCTTCTGGATGAACCAGTCGTAGAGTGAAGCGATTTGGATCCTTGGGGAGGTCGGAGCTCTAGACGAGGACCTTGAAAAGCGATCTTGCGAATGTAGGAATTTCTGAAATTCCGAATTTCTGACCTTCCCTCCCCGTGACCCAAACTGCCGATATTTGTCCGGCGAAGCGTATATAAAATATTATAGATTTCTAATGTCTTTTAAAATTGTAACTTTGATATATTCTTTTTAGCGTCGACGCCGTCACGGACGCCACCCAGGGCGTCGCTCGTGGCGCTCTTCGGGATCAAGGTCGACCATGGTCGAGGACAATGGACGAGGCAGGTCATCGGGAAGGGCGCTGCAGGGTGGCTCTTCGAGGTCGTTCAAGGCCCTCCACGAGGGGTGTGACTCGGAGAAGAGCGAAAACGAGGCGACAAGCGGAACTCTAACGAGATGCCCGGTAATCGAGGTCCGGCTCGCGAAGTAAGATGAGGTCTCGAGGATAATTCCTTCCTCAATCAAAGGCTCCTTTATGCCGCCATGGCCAAATCGCGACCTCTTCGCGGGATGGCCGCGTCCTCGGGGAGCAAGGAACTTCCTCCCCGAGGAATTGCTTCGTGTTTGTCCAGCGGGCTCTGCTGGGAGGAACAAGAATTATCCCGGATGAAACGCGAAAAATATTTGGCGGATTACGAAAACACGATACGTTCCCGGAGGACGAATAAAACGACGAAGACGAGGCGACCGCGAAATTATCAAAATAATTCTTTGGTCTGATGAAATTTTTTTTCTCAGGGCAGGGGTACTTGCGGCATCGCTTTTTAATAATTAACAAATTCTGCCAGGGGTTTATTTTATACCATGGTTCTTGGTGCCTTCGAGATTACCTTGAAGAGCAGAGTACGCGGATGAATACCGTACGTATCCTCGGAGGCAAATATTTACCCGGTGAATTCCCACCAGGGCATGACACCGTATTTGCTCCAACCTAATATGGTCCCACGATGCGACCTAAAAAATAACCGCGATTTCGTATCTTCCCCGTAACTCTCGCCGTGCTCTTATCACCCCCGTAAAAATTGATAAAAGCCCCCACGAAAATCCCCCCGCCGGACAAATCGCAGCTTTCGCGCATCTAGATGTTCGGCCAGCGTTGCGGAAATAACCGACATTACGTAACTCGTCGGTGCAGCTTTCAGCATAAATACCGTTCTCCATTTGTAAATGCGTCGTAAAAATGAGGGATGCGTCTAGAAACGACTAGCTTTAAGGAAGCGTAAATCCCGTGGGAAAAAGAGGGTACACTTTTTTTAAAACCTACGATTCATATTTCAAATGGAACCTAGTCACGTATGCTATCATTTGTCGGGGGTCAAATCATGACGCCGAGGTATGATATATTTCTTTGGTACAATGCATTTTTTTTTCTCGGGGTAAAAAATCTCAGGCCAAAAGCGACACCGGGTCGCGTAGTCTCCTGGTTATTCCACGGCGCACTTGGCCGATAATTGCATACTCGGTTAACCGTAATGCAAGCAACGAGGGCGCCAAGAGACACGGAGGCCCCGAATCGCGCGATCTCGCGTTTATCACGTGCTGATCTCAGAGGGTTATCGCTCTGAGAAAACATAAATTCTCGCGCCTCGCCAAGTGCCTCGTCGTTTTACGATCTGTTTGAATTGCCGATAAAAGTTATCCCGCGGGGGCGAAAAGACGAAGTCGCGACACCTCCTCCAGGTTCACGGGACAATGTCGAGCGCCAAGTGCACTCGATGCGTGCAACGCATGACATTTTTATAAAAAATAGACCAAAGAAAATAAATGCCCGAAACTCCCACGAGTCGAAGCGAAACCTCCATATTTTGGACGAGGGGCACATACTCATTGGTATTTCAAACATTTCATTAAAAAATACCAACGTTTCGCTACTTTGCTCTTTTGGACCTCACGAATCGAATTTACCGTACCGTGGCTAAAAAGGTCGCTTTAAAAATTGAACGGTACCCGACTCGCATATGTATATTCGATGAAATGCAGGGAAATGCAGCCTATCGGCTCACTCTTTGCGTGAAAGGCTACGTTCCCTGTTTAATATTTTAGATATATCGATTCCTCGACATTTTATACGTACTTCTGTTGCAGATAAGTTTGGAGGGCACAATTTCTGTATTCCTGAGGAAAGACTCCGATTTGGCGACGACGATTTTACCGGTGCTCGAGGCAGCGAATATGGAGCGATAAGAGCATGCGGGCTTCGCAAGTGCGTGTAATTATTCATAATAATTTGCATACGCAGATACGGACGATTTAATCCCGCTGCGTGGGAAAGCGCGCATTCGTACTCCCGAAGTTCGAGCGATGCGCCCATTTTTTGCAAAATAAAATAATCATTTATTTAATAATGATGAAATAATTAGAGTTTCCTTTGTATTAAAAATAGTTGACGATCTCGGGAAGAGGTTCGGTCAAGAAGGCCCACGTCGAGACGAGGCGAGACGAAGGGGAAAGAAGGGAAGAGATCTCTGGAGGGCGAAGAAGAGGAGGCGAAGAAGACAGGAGGAGGACAAGCGTCCGTCTCGGCCCGATAAACGTCGCCAGACTTTACGAGGCTCCACTATTTTTGCGACACTCGCGAGTCAGCCTGCAACGCGCCGATTTACGAGGCAACGCATTCGTCGATTCCCAAACCGGGATTATGGAGGGAGAGTCCCGAGGGAGACGACGGGGCGGCGACGCGACCTCTTGTAAAAACGTCAAAACTCCAGTTCGTTAGACTTGAGCCCGAATTCGCGAACCCTCAAGGTGATGCGAAACCCTCAAACCGGGCA